GTGCTACTTCACACGAGATCAGGATAGATACTGGAGCACTGAGGGTTTACCACCGTTCAGTAATTCGCCAACTTTATCGTGGTTTTTCTATTGGGTTCCACTGTTTTCCATTTTTATGCCCTTTTTTGTTTTGTTGGCGTCGGTTTGCTAACAGGATTTGCTAATTACGCTGTGGAATAATGACACCCTTCACCTACTTTCAAAGAGCTTGATTTTACCCTTAAATCTGACTTTAAGTCACTAATGTGTGAGAATTTGCTTTCTTTCTTATGTGCTTTAATCTATTTCCTACTGAGTGACAAACACGAGTACAGAAAGTATTTTTATTTTTATTTTTTCCTTCTTTTTCACTGAATCTTTCAGACCACTCGGTTAGATGTAGCTTGGGCTGCAAGATTGACGGGGAGTTTTTAAAACGGCAGAAAATTCATAATAAGTCGTTTGCAAAATTGAAAAGATCAATCATTTATTTATTAGAACTTAAAGTCTGAAAAAAGAAAATGTATGTTTCTGGTTTCACTTTTCGGGCCCCCTGGTAAAGATGTGTCAAAAGCCTGAAACTAAATTCATTTTTTATTCTACTTAGCACAATCCTACACTGAAATCTGATTTTTATTTAAGAATATCTGCTATTAATTAATGTTAACAGAAAGACCTCTAGTTGTTTTGTACTCTCTTCAGTATTCCCACTGTCTGTGGAAGAGAAACGGGCCCACAGCATCACGAATCCACCACTGTACTTAACAGTAGGCACAAAACCGCATCTTCATTCTTTCACACCAAACCCACCTGGACTGATTAATGTTGAAAAGCTTAATATTAATCCTGCCTGACTGAAATGCTTCTGATCACTGTTCTAGAGCTAATAGAAACTTAGTAAATTATAAAATAATGGTAAAGTGTAAGTTATGACATGCTTAAGTTGCATTTAGTTAATTGAAAGAGGGACCAACGATTGTTCCAGCTGTGACTTTGTTTAAAAACAATCTTAACTTTGGTCCCCTCCCTGAACAAATGTACTGACATTACATGCTGGACTTTTCAACATTTCTCTGTAAGAAATTGTTTCTCTAATAAAAGATGAATATTATTATTATCATTTGAACAGTTTTTCCACATCTTCACCAGGGGTGTCAGTAGCTGCGGCCAAAATCGTGTTACTGTTTTTGTCCTTTTCCTAAAAATATCTCCTCATGGCTTCTCACGATGTATCTGTGTTTCAGAGTCTGAATGTTACACCTGAAACACTTGAAGCTGGGATTTGATAGAAATATTAAACGGCCAGCTGCTCCTCTCACACACACACACACACACACACACACACACACACACACACACACACACACACACACACACACACACACAGGCAAACCCCTGTACCTGTTAATGATCCTATAACACACCAGGAGCAGCTATAAAAACCTAGGACCTTTTTTTTAATTATTATTATTATTATTATTTTTTTTTTTAGCAACAGTTGCTATATAGTATATGCACAGTTTTTTCTATAAAGATAAAGAACTGTACAGAGCAGTTTAGATATGTAATGTTTCCAGTTTCTTTTTGCTATTCTTTAAATATTTGTATTAACAGAAGATGTAAGAAGTTCAGTGCATGATGATAATGATTCCTCCCCCTTAGATAATGTAAGTTATTCTGATATCTTATGGTGAACATGTTCAGGGTTTAATTTTTGTTGTTGTTGCTGTTTTCAGACTTTATGGCTAACAGGTTAATAAATGTTTTAACTGGTGGGCAGAGCAGGAAGCACAGACAGACCGCCTACTGGGCCCTGAACGATGACTACAATGGGCTCTGGATAAGATTGTATTAATGTTAATAACATTATTGATGGAAATAATAATTCATTGTTTTTGTACATGATATTTTGAAAGTTATTTTTGTACACAAAGTTGTTTCCCACATGCTCACTCAGCTTCTCCATTTGATAAAATCTCCACTTCCCCCCTCAGTTAATTTGTGCGATAACATTATTTTTTTTTTTCGTCTTTCACTTGGCGTCTTAGGGTTTACATTTTTCTTAAAGCTGTGATACTGTACTGATCGCTTCAATTAAGCAGATGCAAGCTGTTGGCCGTTCAGAGTTACAGAAAAAGAAAACACAGACAAGAGACACGGGCTATTTAACTGTTTCGTTTTCTCGTTTTCCTGTCTCCGCTTCACTCATTTATGCAAACCTCAAACTCAGAAAGGAGCCCAACTGTGCCTTTAAGCGAGAACGCCTCCCATCCTCTCCAGCCTCTCCTTCAATCGTCGTCTAACTAAAATGCGAGTTGATTCGCTGCCTCTTGCTCCACCGTAACACAAAAACACACACAGACCCAAATGTTTGTATGTTGCAGAAATCAATCAGTAAAGATGAACCTAAAGTAAACATGTTCCTGTTTTTGTTTCGTTTCTCATTCAGGTTTTGTCAGTTGGATGAATAACGGTGTGCGTGGATGGTAATCGTTTTAGGATGCGGACAAGACACTTAATAATTCACTCTGACTTATGAAGTCATAATTCTGTCGAATAAATTACAATATGATGACTAGATAATGGATCACAAGTGAACTGTTGGAGGGAGATTAATGAACATTTGTCATGAAGACACCATGGTGTTTCCACGCAGGCTTGAAGGGAAATCATTTTATGGGCAAAGGGAAAAAACATCAAAATTAGAAAGAGAAAATTGCGCTGAGTTTCCAGAATTTATTCTCTTATATAAAATAATACCAAGCCATAAAATAATTTAGCCAAAAATGTTCAAGAAACATTTTGTTCTGTAATATTTTTCTTGTGCTAATTGTGCAAAAATAGTTAAGGTTTTTTATCGTTCTGCTCTTTAAAGAGTAACATAAGTCTAACATATTTACAAAAGCTGGTTAATTTGTGCTCTGGCTGCTCTCTGAAGTGCAACAGTGTTCAGTTTTCTGCTTGTTTTTGTTCCTAGAAATATTTTCAAGCGCTTTTTTCCCTGTAAAAGAGATAAGGCACGGCTAATTCGTAGACGTTAACAAGAGATCATAATTTTCAACTCCACAAGTCATCCTTAAACTGGGTGTGGTTAAGATGTCGTCCAGAGCTTATTTTCACAAACAAAATAGTTATCACATTTTCTTGTTGCATAATGCATTCCAACATTTTTTTTTTCTTTTTTTGTTTTTAAGTCAGGGAAATGGAAGCGATTTCAACTGGGAAAAATACTGAATTTGGAAAGTCAGCCTATGCTTGATTTGTGTTAATTACACTGGGATGAATAATCATGAGACAAGATTCACTGTTAGACCCTTTGCAGTGCTTAGGTTGGCAAGGACTGGTGGGGGGGGGCAAAGGGTCAAGAAGACCTGCGAGGGGGACAGTTCCCACGCTGAATTCTGAATCGGCCTCACCACTAGTGAAAAATCTGGCAACGTGCCCCGCAAGACATAAAATTATAAAACGCATGACCTCTTAGTGCTAAACAATAGAGCTCTGATCCACATGCTCCTTTAGAGCCTTTGCTAATGGACTATCCATCTTTTTTTAAGTGCATTACTGTAACTAAATTCTGCTGAAAGAAGAGAAATTGCATTCGTGCAAATTGATAACATCTCATTTAGATTGAAATTAGTGAAAATGAAGGGTCGGTTGTGCTTAAGGGCAGGGAATTAATTAGGCATGAACAGCATCCTTCATCAGGAATCCGGAAATCATTAATGTTTCTTATTTACAGTCATACATTAGAGGTTAAGAGTTGTGATCCAAATGCACAACTATTGAATGCCCTGATCTGTATGTTTTAATGATTAAGAATAATTCATAAAACTATTGGAATAATCTTACACAGCTTTACCCAAATGTGCATTTTTTTTTTTTTTTTTTTACACTAAATAGAGACTGAACTGTGTGCATAACTAAAACAAACAAAAAAACCTCACCATTCTTTCTGGGAAAAACATTCAGAGGGACTGATCCAAGCTCTGATATTTTATTTGGCACAATATGAATTAAAAATGTTTCAAATGTAGCCCGGTTGCTGCCTTAACTGGGCCACCTCTGTTTCCCCCAAAGAGCGTTTTAACTTGTTATGTAATGTTATAAATATAACCAGCTTCAGCTGAGCATGTGTGGCTGTAGCACCAGGATGCACTGGCGTCTGAAGACACTGCAAACTGTGTCAGCTCTGATTGAAAACATGTAGACAATAGAAAACCTGCAGGAAATGCTTGCATCTAATCTCAACGTCTGATGCGGTTTACTATTTTAATAACAGGCTGTTGTTTGACCACATTCACACTGACTTAATTAAAACTATTTTAGAGTAATGCTTTGAATCAGACTGGTTGGCATCTGTCAAGAGAGAACAGACATCCAAACCAACCTGATGCTATGTGAAAGCGATTGCTCCACTTTGTGCTAACGAGTCTTTTAAATCAGCTAGGAGGAATTTTTTGCTGAATCGTTTTATTTCAGCCACGCCAGAGCATTTTAAGCATGAACAACCTGTTTAACATACTTCCACAGCATCTCAGTCAGATTTAAGTCAGGACTCTGACTAGGAAAAGTTGGACCAAGTTGATTTGGACTTTTCTCCCATCTAATACATAAAATGAAAACTGCATTTTGCATCTACTGAATTTGGAAATTCAGCCTATGCTTGATTTGTGTTAATTATACTGGGATGAATAATCATGAGTCAAGATTCACTTTTAGACTCTTTTCAGTGTAAAGGCTCTGACTTCTAAATCATTTTCAAAATCAATATGTAGCAAAATGTGCTTTACTAAATCAAAAATAGTTTACTAAATTGAGTTTTGATGTAGTTGTAAATGCATTTATTTTATAATTACTTGAGGCAATTTACATCATTCAGTGTCTAAGATGTTAAGATTACTTTAATATCTCAATGATGTGGAAAAACAGTTCCTTATTTATTCAGGCTAGCCCCGCCCACTGCTGTCAGTCATAATTAGACTCCGCCCCCGATTCCATACCTGTCAATCAAGGCGAAGCCCCGCCCCCACATAGCTTGCACGTCGCGGAAAAAAAACCCCCAGCAGCATCGGCGGCCGTTGGGGAAGAGAGTAAATAGAGGGAGAAGCCTCAAGATGGCTGACTCGCAGGGCTCTGTTCACCTCTCCGGAGCTCCGGGTGTTACTGCTTCTCCTTCCGCTGGCGGAGCTTCGGTCAAAAACGGACTCGGTAAGGCAGCCGAGTCGAAGGGAGCCGCTGACAGCCGCCCGCAGTGTTCCGGAGATTTTAGCCCACCGCCATCCAAGAAGGTCCGAGTCGAGGAGAGGAGCGTTAAACCCAAGAAAGTCAGCAAGGACGGCGGTGATGGAAGCAACGGCAGCGGGAAAAAGAAAACCCAGCAGCTCACCAAGCAGCAGAACCGTAGCAGTGGCAGCGCGGGCTTATGGAGCTTCAGCCCGGTTAAGACGAGCGGCAGCAAGCCTCCGGTGCCTGCTACCGACGGATCCCAGCCACTCAAAGTCTTTAAACAGAACGATTTCTTCCTCCACAAGGCGCCTTCCTCGAAAACCAAGTGTAAAGATAAACAGAAGGAGGAGAGAGAAAAAAGGAAAGGAGGCGGGGAGGACAAAAAGAAACATAAACTGTTGGTGACCTCCGGAGTTGGGAATAATGTTACTAACAGCAACGACATTAAAGGGTTTAACAACGTTTCTGCGGCGAAGAGAGAAAATGGAGATGTCCTGTTACCATCTAAAGGTAGGCCACTCTAATTTTCTTTTACGGCTTTCAGCACCAGAACTTTCATGATTCTAATAAGCGGTCTCGAGTTGTGCCCTTTTATAGCTTCTTGGCTGGTGGATTCAGCCGTTTGAACATGTGGCCCTGACCCAGAGAGTGTCTGCCTTTTCATTTATCCCAGCAGTCCCGCTTTTAGCTCCCGTTTCAAAATCACCACTCGTGAAATCTCACACAAACGAGCCCGGCGCTTCCGTAGTCGACATTGGAACGCCAGGGGGAATGTTTACAACCTGTTTAGTGATTTTTAAACTCAGTTTGATCGACGTGTCTACGGGCTGCGCTCTGCCAGTTTTCTTTCTTTTCTTTTTTTTTTTTTTGTCGCTCGCTCACCCGCGCGTGAACCCTCCAGCTCTAGAAAGAGCATCGGTCCGTCGCGCGACCTGGCAGTTGGAATTATAGTCAGCCGCTCTCGTGCTGCGGCGGAATAGTTACGTAATTACGACGTATGGCTACAATGTTACACATTTTAGTAGGAAACGACAATTATAGTTAAACTAGACCAAATGTCGACCCAGAACTCAAGCCGAGTTGTTTATTTTTTGTCGTTCTAAGCTTTATTTTTATTTCGAGTTGTGAGCTCACGCTCATTCTGTCAAAACAATATGACAGCCGCCCGCCATTATGGGATAAGTGTTGTTTTGGTAGTGCACCACGCCCCCCTCTGTAACCTCAGGCGGTATTGACGAGCAGTTAGACGGCTTAAACAATTAGGAAGGTGGCAAAAATTAATTTAGAAATTAGCACAGTTTGTTTCACATTAGTTGGATTTACTGCTAAAGTGTTACCACGGGCAACTGTGTTGTTAAGTATTACTTTCTGAGAAGCAACAATAACATTGTCACATATAGTCACCTAAATAAACTATTCAACCCTTCTATGACTTAACCATTGCATGTTGAAAGTAATTTAATATATTTGTAAGGTTTTATTTTAATTTTGCCTCAATTAAAAAAAAAACCTCTTCTATTTATTCTACATCATGTCATTGGTTGAATCAATCTCCTACTTTATCTTAACAAGTGTACAAAAGCAGTGCTAGAGCATCCGTCTAGACTGGCCAAGCATAATATTGTAAAGCTGAGTTTAAATGTAAGGCTACCAAAATAATATGAGCTTTTCTAAATATTGAATCCACGTTGTTTTTGCAACAACAACTCTGCAGCTTATTTATTATATTTTATTTATTATATTTTAGTGGCAGGTTGAGTGCCAGAGTATAGCAGTATTCATTCACTTTTTACTTTTCCACATTTATTCAAGTTAGAGTGAATATAATTTTTATTAATTCTGAGTCACACATTTTACTTTAAGTTTTTAGTCAGTCTTTTGACAAATATGTAGTTTTGTTTTATTCAGCTTATCCATCTGTTGTTGTTTTATGACTAAATTTACTGTCAATATAGTTGACTAAAATATGAAGTCACATGAATGCTTTTTATTGGATCTTGAGTGCAAATAATTTCTTATCTAAGAGAAATCTCCTTTGAAACTCATGATTTCCACCCTATGTGGGATGCAAACTGGCATTCACCCTACGACTCGAGAATGTTTGTAGCTTTGGAGAAGTTTAAAGTTGGATTAGGTTAGGAAACAATAACCCAAGTGTTGATATTGTGGATGATTTCATCATCCTCAAATCTGGCTTCTATGGAAGATTTGGCAAAAGAGAGCTATTGTGGAAATAAATCTTGTTTTTAGTTTGCTGAAAGGCATGAATGGGACACGACAAGGTGTTCAGGTAAAACTGGACTAGGGATGAACAATGTGACCAACATCCAAATTGCGTGGGAGAAAAGTAAGGTGATTTTCCCATCCCGACAGTGAAGTATACAGCGAGAACAAATTATACATTGAAAACAATGTATAATTTTCCTTCCACTTTACAATTATGCATTTAATTCTTTTGGTAAGTCACTTAAAATCCTGATAAAACACATTGCTGTCTGTTTGTAATGTGAAAAACGTACAGGGTAGACACATTTTTACACAGATCCGTGTTTTGTTCTCTGTGTGCCTCTGTCTGCTCACAAATGAACATTTTTAGTGCTCTCACTCCAGCGGGGAGATCCGGTGGGCACATGTCGGTGTGTGTGAGCGCATGATGTCACCCTTTTCCAGTTGGTCAGTTTAAGAGGTCATGACACACCATGAACAACTACTGCTGTCAAATTGGACACTAGGATAGGATGTTGTTGCCCAGAAAGGTTGGAAGATGCAGTGCTGTAAACAGACTTTGGGGGTGGGGGCAACACTTTAATATTGTTGGTGTAAAAAAGAAAAAAAAAAACCTTACAGGCGGTACTTTAAAAAACTACAATATTGATAAAAAATGGTATAAATGTAAGGCTACCAACATTTATGGTAGCCTTACATTAAATGTTAGGCTACCATTTAATGTAGCCTAACATTAAATGTTAGGCTACATATCTTCTACCCTATTCTGTGTATTACACAGATGTAATACACAGAATACATCTGTGTATTCTTGCTTTAAAAACAAGGTAACGATTTCCTTTAATGCTATTCATTTGACATCTATGGTTTGCAACATGAACTATTATTTTCTAGTAATATTCCCTTCATTGGTTTTAAACATTTTTCTCAGATGTAGTTTAAGCATGGAGACGAATAGGTTCAGAAACACTTTCTTAAAGTTGCACTGCACTCTCTCTTGAAGGTCAAGAATTTTCCTATGAGGATCCAAGCAGTATCAGGTCATCAAGTAATATTATTAGTGTTAGCTGGTGTTGGTGCTTCCCTGAAGGAACAGCGACTGCTGACTGCATTTGGTTCTGCAACAGAAAAGGGTTGGTTGTTATCGGCATAGTGAATGTAAATGTTTTAAGACAATTCTCAGAATCAAACAAATCAAAATTTTGTGAAGAAAGAAGTGGAGCAAATTTTTACTCTTTTATTAAGCAAATAAAAAAGCAGCAATAATTAATGTTTAAGTAGCTTTAAAAACATCCTCAGCCCACTGTCGATTGTTAGTTTTCCCTTTAAATCTGACTTGTGTTTGTACCTTGGCTAGTCAAAGGGCTTATTTAGAAGTTAAAAAATTACTTTGTGTTGATGTAAATGTCTAATAGTGACCTTGGCCAGTATGAGATGACTCAACAGATTTAAATAAGAGGTCACAGAATGTCTCAGAATATTTTTTGGTCACAGACTATCACATAATCTGTGACCAAGAACATGTAAAGCATATCTATACTGAGATTTAATTGTTAAACAAAAAGAAAAAATAATATTCCTAATGCTTTTAAAGTGATATAAATTGTTACCTAAACATTTTTCTTTTACTTTTAATACAATTAAAAGTACATATGCTCATCAAAAACAGCTATTAAATTTCAGAGTAAATTTTGAGTGATTATTGTGTAGAATATACATTTTTTTATTGTTTTCCACTCTGTAAAGCAAATCATCACAACAAGTTTATGCTAGCAGGTTCGTTAGCCATGCTGTCTGCTCCGGTAGAAGCTATAGTTTGCTGCTTCATCAACATGCTGCCGGTATCATGTATTGTTTTTTGCTCAGGAAATATTTTCCATATTTGACTCTTGGAAAAAACAAAAACAGATGGACCCATAAAGTCTGTTTACTCTGGCAACTTCTCTGACATCTATGACAAAGTCTACGCCTGGGTTGAATTTAGTTTCCCTTATTAGATATTATTTTTTTGAGAAGCCTGGACTTGCTATACCAGAAGTAGCATATTGATGTGGGGGTTTCCTTTATAAGACGTCTGTGTACTCGGCTTGCTTTCATTGGAAATAAAGGATATCTTCTGCCCTATAGCTATTTGTGAATCAAAAATCTGACTTCATGCACCTTTTTATTATGAATAAATTCAGTTTCATTTAGGGGCGATGTGTGTGCTGAGATGGTGTTGACAGATCCACAGTATGGACCTTCTGGAAAAAATATGGTCTTCATTTAGCTCCTTTAAAAAAAAAAAAAAAAAAAACTTATATAACTTTAAGAATGCGACAGGCTTGATGGATTACACTTCCCAGCATTCCTGGGTACACAGTGTTTGTGCTTGTTTGAGTCTCCCGTTAAACTAAGCATAGTGCTTCTTTTCTTTCATGCATTTGTGTTCTGTTTAAAAAAGAAAAAAGTGCAAGGCTTTTTTTTAATATTGATGGTCAGACGTTGAAACTGAAAGAAGCTGTTTGTCAGTATTAGTTTACTACATCAAGATTTTGTACAGTAGCAATATTATGTTGCTCTAGGACCAAATGTTCTCCTGTGTTTAAAGGTCACTGGGGTCACCCTGTAGCAGGTTTGCTCAGAAATGTCTGCAAAATACACAAGTTTTGAACACCAGTGAAATGAGAGCAAAACTGAGCACGGACAGTAAAAGAATAAAGCTGTTTTTCATTCTAAATGGCATTTTTTTCCCTCCCCAACAGACAACATCAAACAAAAACCCACTGATATATGCGTATATCTCATTTTCTCATTTTGTTCCCCTGGATTTAAGACGCTGGATGCGAGCAATGGGTGGTGTAGTTGAAGATTGCGAGCCGCCTGCCTCTGGCGTCTTTCCTGTGATCATCGGAATGGTGAAAACCGCCCGCTGCGCTCCCTTTCAGAACCGATGGCTGCAGCAAAATCAGAAAACAAAACAACCAGAAAAGGGCTGCACATTCATTTCTGATCATTTAGTACGGTGCCGTTTCTTTCTACAGAAGTCTGTATGTTACAATTAATGAAGCCTATGAGAAAGTTTCTGTTCATTTCTGTGGGGAATTCCCCTGTATTGAGCCGTGATGCAGTCTGCTCTTTCTCTTTTTCTTTTCAGTGTAGTTGAGCTTAGGTAACCCACCTGGGCTGCTGTCTTCTAGACGCAGGAACAGACCAGGGTTCATTTTTGTATAAATCTGGCAGTAAAGTTGAGGCTCCGTCCACCAAAGCCTGCTGCTTCCTGTTAAGCAAAATTGATATGAAACCTGAAGCTTTTATTTTCCTAATTTCTTTGAGTGATCTGACATTTATTTTATTCTTGATGTTCAGTTTATGAAATGTGGCACAGGAGTTAGTTTTCCCTTGCTAAATTTTGATGGACCACTCTATTATGGATGCACAATATATTGACATTTCAAAATCTGAGTGTGATAATTGTTGGCTCATATGTTCCAAATGTTATGAACTTGCATTTTATTTGTTAATATATTAATTAGACAGTTAGACAGAGTTTCAGAAGCAGATGCTAAAGGTCACAGAGAAATAGAATCACAAATAAGAAATACAGGAGCAAAGAAAGTAGACATATGCTTACCAAAACTGCCACCATCGCAAGCATATTCGATATCCAGCTCTAAACGCTACTAGACATTAGAGATTTCTGGTAGATGGCAAAACTTTAGAGAAAAATCTGCTTTTTAAAACTCTTCTTAAAATCCTGATACCTCCTTGAAATGTTTCTTTCTTTCTACAGTTTCTGGTGTGAGCTGTCATTCATTATTTATGATTGGATCAGAGCTGACGTCACACTATTTCTGTAAAACAATGTTTCACATCTTAAATGGTCACCTCCACTGATTTATTTCCCTGAAATCTCTATGGACAATACCGATATTTACCCATCTGTAGTATGAGTTGACATACTGTGATGGATGCCTCTTTTTTTCTACCTGATGATGATGACCAAAATGACAAAAAATTGAAGCAAACACCGCCTAACTATTTTCTTACATGTTTGCTCCTTTTTGTTAAAGCAAGACTGATTCTGATATAGTAATACCTTAGAGTCTTTTCCTCCTCAGTAACAACTCCCACATGTGGAGAGACGGTGCATTCACTGAAAAGACAGAAGATTGGAATTTTTTGTGGTCAGCTGGTCAAGCTGAAAATTGGTAGATGTCAGTAACCAGCTTACTTGGCGTTATTTGAGTGTGAATATCGTACCAGCGAATCAGTTCACTTATTATTCTTCTCCGCTCCTGCAAGGGTTCTTTTATTTTTGATCCTGCAAACAGTGAGCAGAGCCAGACTGTGGTCTTCTACCCGCAGTATGAAAACACAGCTTCCTTTTTACCAGCTGCTTCTGCTGACAGGGTTCAAAGAAGAAAGTTATCAGTTTTTTTTTATGAATTTTTTATGGGAAGTGAAAGGAAGCAAACGATCAAAGAGGGTGAGAAATAAAAGATCGGATCAAACTTGGAAGTTTTATCAAGAAAGGTGGAGGCTCGTTGCACAGCCGGGAACTTAGGGTGTTAGTCAGCGTCCTTGCTGTGCCTTTCCACATAAAAAAACCCCACTCCAGCAAACAAAAGAGGAATATTCAAATTTTTAAAAAGTTAACCTGGACTAAGTGCGCATCAACTTGTGTAGCCTGAAATAATGAAACCCACCTCATCCATTTTTGCAGAAAACCCCAACAAGGACAAGATGAAGGCACGCGAACAGAAGAAGGTGAAAGAACGAGAGAAGGAGAAGAAAAAGCACAAAGTGATGAATGAGATCAAGAGAGAGAACGGCGAAGTCAAGCAGCCGATTAAAGGTTGGTGGAAACACTCATGCATACCAAATGATGAGCGGGAGGGAAACAAATCTCGTCTGTTTAAGCTGCAGTTGGTGAAAGTGGTATTTTAAGATGTCCAACTGAAAATGCCCTCAAACCAATTATTTACTTTTGAAATAATTATTTTCTAATTAAATTAATTATTAGAGAAATTTAATTGTTAGATCAGAGCCTAAACGGCAGAAAGTAGCACAAAACTTTGACATTCAAAAATGAAAATGTTTGTAATGTCAGACATCAGAATGAATGTGCTCCATATTTCAAACTCTTTCTTCCACAAGATGGTGTGCAGTTAATCATTAGTCCAAGATTAATGTTCAGAGGTTATAAAAACTCCTAATACGGTGCCGTAAAAATCTAAACGTTTCGCAGTAATGGGGCTGGCAGCAGAAAGCTGAAGGTGTAAGGATAGCATTTGTGACATTAGGTTGACCTTTGGGACGGCTTCCTGCCATGTGATGAAACGGAGCTCATGATTTATTTAGTCGGACCATCTGACTTTCTGTGAGTTTCTGCACTCTGATTTTAAAACCAAATACTCCTGTTTGGCTTTTGATCACTTTTGCTTATGGTTTATAAATTTGTTTCTTCTCCTGCTCTTTTTGTCTCACCAATGCATTAAAACCCTCTGTTGGCAAAAAGGTTTCCTATTTTGCCAACAACAAACTAAAATTTATTTTGATTTCATTTAATAAAAAGTCATAAGCTGATGTAAAACAGCAAAGCTAAAGGAAAACAATATGAGATTGTTGAAGCTTTGTGCCAAAAAAAAAAATCTTAAAATGGTGGCATGCTTTTAGATTCAATCATTTGATAACAAACAAAACCTACTGTGACAACACGTGCATATTAGAATATTATCAATTTATTTATTTGAGTAATTCTGCTCAGACAGTGACAATTGTATGATGTATAGGCATATATACATCAAAATTATGTAATTTCAATGCCTCTCGTTTTGCCTGTCGAAGGCTAAACTTGGCATATATTTATTTATTAATATATTGTTGCTCACTACCCAGCCAACTTGTATTTTATTTGTATCATAATAGAGCATAAAAATATTTTCTTGGTTTTTTTTATTTCCCAGTCGGGAAAAACATACGTTGAGTGAAGCTTACAGGGTTAAATCGGCATCACACAGGCGTGTAGATCTCAATGAATACCGCTTTATTCCCATTGATTTGATTTGTTCTGAAACTACAGTCGGACTGGCAGTCTTCCATAGCATAATGTCATGGCCGCGCCGTGACATTTCAAGGACTTAACTGCACTTTAACCACACACCATGACCACTGGCTGTAGATGGAAATTACATAGAGATTATCTGTAATATGTCACTCTTCCTGCTCTCTGGAGAGAGGAAGTGCAGCCTCGTAATGTTGATTCATCTTCTCATTACTTATGAAGACTTGGGAGATGACTGGTCTGGCGAGAGACCGAGAGTAAGAGTGAGCGCTAATCCTGCAGTCACCCTGCGCGGGAGTCTGGTATTTAATCATGTGTGTTTAGGATAATAGAGACGCTGAAATCCACCGTGAGATTTCGAATCTTTTGAAGGAGGGGGGAAAAAAACATTTTACTAGCGGACAAGAGCAGGAAAGTACTGCGGTGTTAAATCAGGGTATTCAACCTACAAATGCTGCAAGTGACATAGAGACTGAGGAGAAAGTTAGAAATCTAATCAGCGAAAGAGTGTTAAGTTTACAATTGAGACAGAGAGAGAGCGAGTGAGGCAGCCAGTGGAAGAAAGGATAGGGAATCAATAAGCAGCAAACGACCACTCTGACAGTAAATCTTTTTTTTACTGCCGCTGAGGTTGTTTGTGGGCCTGTGTGTGGATTTGACTGCAAACCTATCTGACCTTAAACAGATCACGACTGTTCAGCCGAGTGGCACAAGGAATTTTAGTTATTCATTAGACGTGCTTTAACTTTAAAGCAGGCGGTGGAGGGGGAACAGAAGGAGATTTCCTGTCAGGTCTAGCTCCACTGGTTTTATTACGGCTGTCATAACATTGAGGGTTGCAGTGAATTAACTGATGGAGTGGTTGTTTATTAAAAAATGGTTTTCAGTCTGTATTTAGTTTCAGCGTCAGTCTTTCAGAGCTTTCTGCTTAACCTGCACACGTATTTTTACTAGATTTAAATAATAGTGATGGGATCTTCAGTTTATCTGCCCTGTTCATTGATTGACCAGAATGAAAGGTTAGACCTCAAAACCTGAATAGGTATCAGCCTGATAAGTCAGTAATAGTGTTCATTGAAGGTTTCAGTCGGTCAGACAATGGAAAGCCATGTGAAAATATTACACAGCATATTATGACTTGGCTAAGGATTAGAAATGTATAAGCCTAATTATATGAGTGATCCTAATTAACCCAAATAATCAGAAATGTATAATTATGTAACAACTGTGAAGGCCGACTTCTCTTCTGTGTGAAATTATTTGGCCGTTCTACGGAGAGTTTTTATTTAATTTTTTCATGTTTTGGTTGAGACAGCCTCCGCAAAGATTTAACCTGTTCAAGGGTCATTCTATTAATATTGATCATACGTGTGTCATACTTAATGGAGGACTACACACCAGCCTGTGTACTTTTGTCACGAACAATCCTTCACCATGAAGTTAGGTTAGTGCAAACAGAAACTGAAAACAGCAAACAAATAACGTAACGACACAAGCAACTTTATGTTTATTGTAAGAAATATGAGGACATGGAATATTAGTTAAAGCACAACCAGACCAGAGGTAGAGGTCAGCGTCTTAATTTTTTTTTGAGTAAAGAAATATTTTTGCCACTCTGCTGACAGACGGCCAGACTTTGAGAGGCGACTCGTTCTTATTTTGGGTTGTGAGACAAGCACACGCCACACTTTTCAGACGTTTATTCTTTAAAAGATTAAACAACTGAGGCAAAATTTTGTATTCACATAAAATGAAATGCTTGTGGATAAGAAAAAGCTTTAGAGCGTTTATTAAATTTAGTCCTGGAAAATACTAACAGAAATCTCCACCAGACTGATTATGATCCATGCATTTTTGTCAATATCTGGCTGGTGTGATGAAGGTTCACAAGGTTCACACATCTGTTCACAGAAGTGTTTCTGTTTGTGTCCATATTTAGTTTGAGTTAGGGGGGAGGGGTGTTTTTTGTGTTAAAGAGCTTTTGGATTAGTAGCTCTAGTATTGTACTCTAAATACCCCGTCTCTCTGCTGCTCTCTTTAATACCGTCTGTCCCTCTGCTGTTTCATATTCTGCATCCCCTTCCTCCCTCGTCTGGCAGGAAGAACATGCTCTTCCAGCGTCGCTCACACACATATATGCACACAAATAAAAATGAGAGTAAGAAATAATCATCTTCAGAGACTGGAAGATTCAACCTGGTAATTGTTTCCCTCACACATGCAGTCACAAACAGCGGCGAGCAGAAATTTCCACGTTCCAATTTGTCTCGCTTCTGGGATTTAAGGAGATGAACCGAGGTGCAGTTTTTTTTGTTTTGTTTTTTTAATCTCTCTTCAGATATTGACTAAACTGTTTCCTGACTTAGTCGGAGCTGCTTTTCTCGAGGGATTCTGTTTCCATTTATTTGGTATGTACACCACGGGGAGACGCATGTCAGCTGGGGAGAGCGATGACTCATCTGTCTGCTCTTGTTTAAAAATAGTTAGTGCTCATTTCTTTCAGTGTTCTCCTTCAAATGCTTGTTTAAAGTAGTCGCCTTGTTTGGATTGTTAAAGGCTCAATGTGGATGTTTTGATTTCTTCTACTATTATTTGTTGTTTTCCACGGTATTCCGAGATCAGAAAGTTAGAGAAATTATTAAAATGCAGCGCTTTGCTTTAAAATAATTCTTGAACTTGCTTATCAATATTTGAAAACTGAAGTTTCGATCTCCCTTTCTTTCTGTTGGCCCCGTGCAGAAGAAAACGAGAAAGCGAAGATCAAGTTGGAGGAGCTGCAAATCAAAAAAGTGAAGAAGAAAAAGAAGAAGAAACACAAAGACGGGGAGAAGCACAAGAGAGTGAAGATGTACCACCGCTCCTGCCAAACCATCTGCGCCGGCCTGCTTCTCCTACCACCTCCTCCCTCCTCATCCGCCAACTCCTTCTCCTCCTCTGAGCAAACAAACAACTCTTCTGCATCGCCCTTCAAGTCTCCTCCACCAGTTTACCTGACGTCCAACAACAAAAACTCCAATCTCAAGCCCTCTTCTCCTCCTCCTGCCTCCAAGTCGCTGTTCAACTCTTCCAACTCAAAGCTCCCCTTTTCTACAAAACACAACTCGCAGAGCATCCATCCTGGAATGGCAGGCCTCGAGTTTGCACCCTACATTTACATCGAAAACCAGCCGAATGGAGGGGCTCTGGTAGCTCATGCGTATGCATCTCAGCTCTCCTCTCTCTCTGTGGACCAGAGGCAGAGATTTGCCCAGGAGTTTGTCACGTTATCGTTCAGCGAGGACCAGTCCAAGGTAAAGTGCCTCTGAGAAATAAATAACCTTTCAAGTTGCTTTTTTTTTTTTTAAGAGCGCGTTTAATGTTGCACGTTTCATTCTAAAAACCTAATCATTCGTTTCCGAATCGCATTCCAGATTCTTCCTTTGTTTTGTTGCAGGCAGCTCATTACGTCATGGGAATTGTTCACGGAGAAGCCAAGAACCTTCCCGACTTCTTGGATTACTTTTCAACCAAGTTCCCATCGGCTCCTGTCAAAATGGAAATACTCGGAAAGAAGGACATAGAAACAACCAGTATGGCTAATTTCTACTCTCAGGTAGGTTGAACTCAATCTCAGAGAAAATAAAGAACAAACGGGGCCAAAATAAAAGGACCGACGCGGAAATGTTTTTACCTTCTGTCACATTCTAGCACGACCTTTTTACTGACAAAGAGGCAATAATTTTTAAATGGAATGAAATTTTTTTTTTTGCAAATAGAATAACCTTTTTTTTTTTAAATTATAGCTAGGCAGAGGATTAACTTTATAAGTCTTCTAACAAAATACTTAAAACCACACATCTGTTTCATTTCACTTCAGACATGCACCACTTTTTTGCAGTCTATTGCAAAATATCTTTGTAAAATACACAAAGGGGTGTGGTTAACATTTGACAAAAACGTGAGAAGACTCCAAATGTGTTTTGCATAAAATGTGCAGAAGAACAGGCATGGATAGTTTTGCTTAATTCCTTCTTTAGTTGGAGAGAAGATCTTTGTTTAGAAAACAGTCAAGCAGTGTAGGTCCTACTTAGATAAAGATCACTTGCAGCAGAAATAAACCGAGTAACGAATGCCAACACGGCATTTAAGACTTTAAACTGTCTCACGTTATGGAGGCTTGCAGGCACAGGAAGAGGCGGAGGCCTGCAAATTGAAGCTTGTCGTTTTCTGTCGTACCAAGAGAGACCAAGACTTTCACACGCTCACCGACCTGTTTATGTCTATTTACTCTTTAGCGAGTCAAGTTGCATGTTGCGGTCTGCAGCAGGGAAGATGTCGTTGCAAGTGAAAATGGCCTTGGCTGGTGAAGTTAGAACATGCTTTGAAGAGTTTTCACAGAGATATTTTATGAGCAGAATTGCATATAAAATATGGTTGTGGTTTCCCTCTCAAGGCACAAGATGTGAACCTAAGATACTGAGAGGTTTAAGCTGTGATCAGGGTTGTACAGATTATTGGAATTATAATGACAGGATACAGTAATATGTTAACTTCACTGGAGCAAATTGTCCACGATTTATGCTTTTTGGCTTTTGAAATAGCCTGTCTGCCATGCAGTGGTTTCTTTTAGAAGATAAATATTTGAGCAGGGCTCTTTTGGTGCAAGTTTTTTACGATTCTCTCTATGGGCTCTTTGCGTGTCAGCTTCTGCGTTCGGGGAAAAGCGGCTCGGTTGTTTCCGGTCTATTGAAAATGGCATTTTACACTCGGTGCTTGCCCAAGGTAGCAATTAATGATGTACATCAATCCGAAGCCCCAACAAGTAAGCTGGAGAAAGGTTTGAAGATGCACGCCTCGTTATACATTCACAGATACGAATGAAACGTTCAAGTGGTTAATAAATGAAGGAATAAATTTGTTGTTTAACTGCTGAGTGCTTGATCGAGTTGTATGGTTGAGGTTCTAAGCATCTGGTTAAAGCATCTGCCTCCATCTGTTCTGCATTATTAACATGCTGGAAATCTGATCTAAATCTTTTTTAGACTGAACAGTAACAACAATGTCAAAACTTTTATACAATAGACATTTGGGCACAGTTTTTATGTCAGAGTTATCGAAATACAATTTAAATGAGAACTGAAAACCTTTTTTCTTACTTTCTGACCTTAAATACCTTTACTGATTTAGGTAAATTATTATTATTATTAAACATAAAAAGGCTTTTTATGCAGTATATGTAAGTACCCACTTTCATTTTCTAGAGAAATTAAATTCAAAAGTAACAAGTGGTCATTTAAAAAAAAACTGTAGAAAGAAAGAAGAAAATACAAGTGATGGTAGAAAATGAGAAGTGGCGTTACCAGGCTGTGAGAGATGAAAGCTGTAATGCAGGTAGCAGCGGTTCACAGCATGTCAGGCTGGGAGTCAAAAACCACTTAAAAAAAAAAGGTGTTTTTCATCTTCGCTATTTAAAACGCTTGAGTGCTGCAGCAGTTGATAGTCTGAAACCTGGTGAGCGCAACCGTTTGAGGACGAATGGCTGAAGGGAGGAACGTGTGTGTGGGGGGCGTAGGGGGGTGTCCGGATGGTCTCCAGAGCCCGGTGACACAGATGCACCTCTTCATTTCAACTCGTCTCAGGCCTACAGTTTACTAATGAAAAGCCTTTTGTTGCCTCAGACCTCCTGAGTGGGTCGGCAGTCAGAACCTGCCTGCTCTTTTTGAGTGGAAGCGTGTGAATGCTGCAGGGGGCGTGTGAGGGGCTTTTCTTTCTACAACACTCCCTTTGGGTTTACTGGAACTGAAAAATATAACCTAAACGTTTTATTGGTTTTTGGTCTTTCTTTGGAGCTTCCCTGCATTAACAATAACAAAAAAAAAAAAACATTTGTAATCTGCACAATTTTTAAGAAAAATTTTAAGAAAATTTTAAGAAAAACCCCAGAATATCTAAGTTAATTTTCTACATTTGATATAATCTAACTAAACCCCTTGTCTTGCTTCTCAGAGTAATGTTCCCTGTAGGGCTAACGTCATTGTCCACTGGCCTTGTTAATTTTTTTTCCTCCCTCGTACCTCTCAGCAGTGACCTTGGGATGTAGATATACAGTCTGCACATACACACAGATGTGAGCATGCATACTGATAACATGCCCACACACACATGGATTAATGGTGTATCGGGCACAGTTTTCTCTCCCTTTCTTTCTCTTTTATTGTGTGCCTCACTCTGTTAGTCTTTCAGTGTCTCTTTTATCCCCGTTCTCCACGGTTCTGCTCAGTTGTGTAGTAGCTCTGTGTTCCAGTCATGAATGACTGCACTGCTGCCTTTTATATGGCGTGAGGGCAGAAAGGAAGGAGTAAAAGGAGAGAGGGAGAGAGAGGGGAAAAAGCAAAAGCTGCTGGTGCAGGTTTTTCACTTTGGCTTCAAGAGCTCACGGTTTATTTGCAATGTTCGAATTGTGAAAGCGTGCAGGACCCGAAGTTGGTGCGTCGGGTGTTCTTTGAATTTAGTACCTGACTAAAGCCATTTTCACTGCTGGGAAGGATTATAGAAGATTACAGCTCTCCGTTTTCTCAGGGTAGGCAGAGCCTAGCAGTTGATGCATGATGTGCCTGTACTAAGAAGTAATTTGGTCTCTTGTTCAGTCACAGGTAGCAGGAATGTTGTCACAACATCAGGTGATAAGCGAGCAGGAACACAGTGCAACCTTTAGAAGGTGGACTAATCATCATCTCATATTGTACTTATGTAGGTTTGGGGAATTCAAAAATTTATGGAACCGAATTGACTATAGCAGCTACTAATGGTAAAGCAATGACTCAGAAAACTTCCTACTGCTGCTAAAAACATTTTACAACCATTCTGATAATGTTATGGATGACATGTTAGTAATTTTACTGTGATTTTCAAGCGTCCTTTATGTCAGTTATAAGTTATAAACTGCTCAACTGTTGCTCAGCTTGCCAACAGAAGCTGCGTTTCCATTGGCCATACAAATGTACGGAAATAAATTTGCTGGATGGAAACTGAAAATTCACGTCTTTTGATTAAAATGTTTTTGAGGTGGTTTTTCAGCTGTTAAAATATTTGTTGATTTCACAAAACCACACACGTCATGTGATTAACAACTGGATGCAAAGATATGAAGAAAACGACAGGAAGTGGTAGAATGATGAGGGCGAAGCATGTTTTCTAATTACTTATTGCATGATTAAGCTTATTCACATTTGATTTTAATGTGTCTTTAGTCTGCTAATATGACTATATTTTCATAATTAAGCAAAAATTCTTGTAGCCAGGCCCTAATACTCCGTCATCCAAATCACAGAAGAGATGAGTGAAATAAAAACACGTTTTAAAATTATTTCCTGTCATGTGATTTTTATTTTATTTTATTTTTTAAAAGAAAGCAAGAGAAAATTATTAAAATCAGATCCGGAATAACAACATCTTTACTTTCAGTCCATATTGCTAGGGCCTAAGAGGACAGCAATGATCTAAGTGAAAAATTAAAGTGTGTTCACCATTAAAAAAAAAAAAAAAGCTTTACAGGCAAAATGATAAGTCGTTTATTTTCTTAAGTGTTTAATAGACACAGTTTATGTCTATTTAAGCTTTTGCCTTCATCTGTTTCACTTTGAAGATAGCAAGGGGAGAGATTATTGTCCAAAAGTGTGTCCAGTTGTGTGTGAGGCCCCCAAGTCAGCAGTCTGAAGCTTTGTTGTGACGCAGGCACAGTAATGGACTAATAGACTTAGCAGTCAAGAGATGGGCCGGGCCTAATGACTGAGACAGAGAGACGCTGAGAGCCGAGGAAGAGGGAGACACAGGCAGACGCAGAGGTTGCAGAAAGGTCAGCTAGAGTAGTGAGACGATGGCTTAGCGTAAACTCAGCCAGGATGAGTTGATTTAGGGCAAGGGATGTTGGTGCAGAATTAACAAGCAGAAGAACAGTTTATGTCTCCAGCTGGGATCAGAAGTTTATGAAGGAAATGGAAGGAGGGGCTGATGGAGAGACGAGACCAAAACAATAGAGAAAGTGAGACGAGTCAAACGCAGAGTAGACGATGTGTTAGCGCGCACGTAAACAGAGGCGATGAACCGGAGAATCTCGTTGATAACTGCTCAAGAGGAAGTCTGCCGCATTTCCCTTTTCCTTCTGTTTTCCTTCTCTTAATATAGACCCAAGCAGCGAGCAAACCGCAGACTGTAAACCGCATCTGTTTATTTGAGGCCCGGATAGTGTTTCCTAATAACGCTCTTTGCAATCGACACGGAGGTTATTCAGCTGTTAAATTATGCACATGTAAACACACAAACACGGATAAATAGATGCTCGTGAGTGGGGCTAATTAAAACCAGGGACACAGACAAATACATCCACTCACAAACGCACACTGTGGAAGTCATATGTGGATGTTATGATGAATCCATGTGTGTACAAACATATTTGGGTCATTGACTCAGTGGCACTTTTAAAGTTTTGTGTGTGTGTGTGCGTGTGTGCGTGTGGGTGGGTAGGAATCTTCCAAGCCCTTGGCATACATCCTCTTCAGTGTTGGGACACAGATCTAATGAAGTGGGAGAAGCACAACATATAGTCATGTTGCTTTTTGCCTCTCAAACAGAATGAGTCAGATAGTTTTATATTTAGCTTGTTTATAAATTACACACACCGTTAGGTCCGTTGGTAAACAGTAATGTGGAAAACACCGCAGTCTGGAGGCTACATGTACTCAATGCTCTTTTGGATCCGCTTCTAAGTAGCTTTAGTTTGGGGTCCGGCACCATGCCCAGAGATGCTCCTGGCAGCTGTCAAGCACTTTCTCCTCAAGTGTTTCTCCGGGTTATACTTTATACTCTTATTACCTATCCTTCATTTCTTTAACATTTTCTTTTTCTGTTTTTAACCAAACCTGGCATGTTGGTCTTTTTGTTCACTAATTGCCATCAACAAACTTCTTTGAGGCTTTCAGAGAACAGCTGCATTTAAACTGAGATTAAAGTTGTTTTCTGAAATTCCTAAATTTGCAACATTTGTCAGACTTTTCAGCCAGTGCGGTTTGAAAAACTTGTTCACTCCCTTGTCTGTGGTGCCGCTGCACCAAGAACCACTGAAGGAACAAACACAAAAACCTCAGAAGAAGACCCTGAGCTCAACTTCCTTCTTCACAAAATGTAAACAATAATACAATGGTATCAGATTTGTGTTGTGTTTTTGGTAAAAGACCACAAGCCATTTCCTCTGCCAGCGCTTGATTTGATTTGGTTGTATTTACCCAGAATGCCCTGAAATATAGTCTTCTTCCTGCTTTTTGAGCGGTCTCTGATCTGTTTGCATCCACATCATGCATTCAAACGGCACCAGAAAACTGAACAGAGACCTTGAGTTTTTTGGTCTGCATTCATACCTCTGCAAACAAACCAGACATTTTAGGAAATTAATCAGAAATTAAATTTAATTAGCACATTAGAAAATATAATTAAATGCAATTACTGTGTGCAGTTTAGTTGTATAAGGAAAGTGGTGTCCCAAAGATGCCTATTTCCAATGGGAATGTTTTTCAACAACTTTAATTGTTTGTGGCACTATGAAGGCTGCGCCAAGCAGTGACATCCATACAGTTACCAAATAATGAAATGAGAGTTTTCATCATATTTTCTATCATTAACACAAGAGTACCACAAAATATCATGATAAAATTCAAATTTCATATCCTCAGTCCCATCGGTCAATTAATAAACATTTAGTTGACCCATATTGCCCAAAAGACGTCCAGGACCTTATTCAGGGACTGCAAAGCAAAAAGAGAACATCAAATAATGCTGTACAAAATATTTTTTTTCTTAAAACAAGAATACAACGTGCAATTAGCTTGAGATTATAAAGTGACAAAATCTTGAAAAAATCAAGATTTTATTTTTTCAAGGCTGTTTTTGTATTTCAATTCTTTTTCCTTTTTGTCCATGTTCTGTCTGCTCTGTGGTGATGTCACCCTCCAGCCTCTCTCTCTTTCCTCCTCACTTCCCTCCACCTGTTTCTTCCTCTCCCGGGTATCCTGACTCCCCTCCACCTCCATCTCTGCCTCGTTGTCAAGTGGTGACTCACTGAAGGCGCGCAGCCAAGGATTTGGCTAGCCCGGACACACACACACACACATGCACTCACTCCGCCCGCATCCAAAATAAGCCAAGAGTACAGCGTGCAGGCCACATGCTGCACGTACTGCATTGGCACGCACACACAGAGGGACTGTTGAGGGGCCAAAGCTGTGAGAGACGGGTAGATGCACTGTCACACACACGCAATGCTCCGTCAGCCAAGTGAAAAGCCCCAAACCGTCTGAGTCACATCAGTGGAGCAGAAACGGAAAAGTAAATCCACCGGCACTCACACATGCAGTGTCTGTTCTGACACCCAGTGATGATTTTACAGCTTCCATGTAGCTTTGTTTCTCTCCAGTTCAGACTTTACTGCATCTGGTGTTTGTTCCCCTGAAACTCACTGGAACAAAGAATAAACATTGCTCGTGGTTTGGTAGCTCTGGAAGCATTGTATTTAGCTGTAGATCGGTTTTGTGTGTGAGAATCTCTTGAAAAATTAGGCATTTAAAGAAAAAAAAACATCTCTCTTCCATTGAAAGACAAATATGTCCTGCAATTTGATTTGAATTTATACTCATAATTGTATTTTTAATACATTTACGGTTTTTGTTATAGGATTCTACCACTTGCTTAAAAAACACAGTCAAATCTTGAACATGTCTGCCTCTTTCTCCTAAACCAGGTGAAGAGAACTTACAGCCACGGTACGTACAGAGCCGGAGCGATGAGACAGATCAGTCTGGTGGGAGCCGTGGATGAAGAGGTCGGGGATTATTTCCCAGAGTTCCTCAGCTTGCTGGAGGAGTCCCCCTTCCTGAAGGTGAGGCTGCTGCAGCAGACGTGTGGCAGTGATCCAAAACACTCAGCAGACAAATGGATTGAGCTTTGAAAAGTGATAAAAGGATTGAGACCGGCTCAAAACATTTAGAAGGTTTTTATCTGGGACTGCATCAGAAGACATAGACCTTGTGAAAGATTAAAACCCTTAAGTGGATTAGAGTCGCACTTGTTTTTGTTTTAATTATACACTTCTGATGAAAAATTATTCCAGATCCAGCCTTGTTAAAATACTGGGTTTTTAATGCCTTTTGTCGCATTGAAAACAGAAGTTTATTTGTCTTATTAGGATTTAAGGTAATAGATCAACACAAAGTAGTGCAGAATGAAGTGTAAGGGAAATGATTCATTGTTTTTAGCATTTGTTCATAACGATGGAATGCATCCCCCTCAGCATGATGCTGCTACTCCCAGGTTTTAGTGTGGGAACTCTGGTTTCAGGGTGAAGTTGCTTTCCAAACAGGCCAAGTGTTTTAGGATTTTCTCTGTCAATCTTGTATTTTTGAAACCCGATCAAAAGATGTTCACGTTCAGTCCTTGTATTTGACTAATAGAAGAGAAGACTGTTAAAAGAGCTGATGAACATTGGAAAGGTGTCTTAACAAGGGCTGAAGCGATTAATTGTGATGAATTGATTATTGAAAAAAAATCATCAACTTCTTTAGTAATCAATTAATTAATGTTTAATAATCAATAATTGTTACCTGGAGAGACTCAAAAAAAGGTACCGTCATAAAAGAACAACACACTCAAACCAAATATTCAAATTCTGTAAAGGAATGATATGTTATTGCATTTTAGGCAATAAAAAGTTTTTCTTACTTTAAAAAAAGAACTGAGTTATTTGGCTATATGCATATCATAATGTATTTTTAATATTTTATAAAAGAGGCTAAAGTGGTCAATTGAGAGATATGCAGAATATACCAATTTTTGATTGATTAATCTATTACTAAAACAATCACTCCTTGCAGCCCTTGCATCAGCCTGTTGCTTTGCTGTTCCTCATTACTTCCTCCTCCCTGTTTTAATGCAGCGGACTCTTCCATGGGGAACGCTTTCCAGCCTCAGAAACATGAGTCCAACAAAGAGCGACGACGGTCCAATAATGTGGGTCAGACCAGGAGAACAGATGATACCTGTAGCCGATATACCAAAGTCTCCTTTTAAAAGAAAGCGGTGAGTCCAGCTGGAACCCCTTGCAATAATCCTGAGATGCATTGTTTCTACCTTGTTGAGCCGACTCGCTTCTGTACTCTCCATGGTGCTTGAGAGCTCTTATCATACAAAAGAAAACACACACATTTATATCAAACCCTTACCAATTTCAAGCAGCAGCCGCGGTAACAGCATGAAGCTTTGTTGTTGAGAAGGGATGTATGAGGCAATTACCCTCTCCGCTTGCCTGTGTCACCGTGTCGCCGTTGCTCGCGTATCGGCGGCGTCTCAAATGCTCGAGCGCGCGGCGTCTGTGAGCAAGACGGGTGGAAACCAGCGAGTGTTTACGTTTGTGATGTTAGCGGTGTGTGGCTCACCGCTCCAATGAGATCATCGTTGCATCAGACTCTTGCTTCTCCTAGCTGGGAGGCAAACAGGGGGCAACACACACACTGCACTCATTCCTGTTGAACCCAATTTATTTCACCTCATTCTTCAGTTGTATTTTTGTTTTTCATTTGAAGCACTTAACTGTGCTTAAAATACTGTCGGCTAATAAAACACTGTATACTTTATACATGAGGCTGATATTCCCTTTGAAAACAATAACTTATTACCAGTAATATTAATGAATATCCTGTCTCTTTCCACCAAGAAATAATAAATTTTTATTAATTACTATTAAGAACTGACATCCACTGTTTTCTTTTATTTCCTCCAGTCTTTCTCCTTTCTGTCCTTGTCCTCCTGCGACGTGTAAACATCAGCACTATCTCTCTGTTTCCATCTTTTTTTCAGCTTCATCCTCTTGACCTCCTCTTACTGCTTTTAAGTTGATTTATAGCAGAGCTATTATGCAGGTGTTTTCAGGAACCCAGATAGTGTATGCTAAAGCTCATATATTGGAAATGTCATCAGTATGCAGCCGCTGTTGCAAAAAAAAAAAAATGTTTCAGAAAAGCAAGTAATATTGGAAAGTGGTACAGTGCAGAAAAAGATGTGAATGTGATCGTGTTGGCAGTTAGCCCTGGGCTGTGGTTTCTCTAGACTTTGTTTTGAAGGAAGTAACTGCATGGCTTCGTGGGCTCTCGTGCTGTTCGGTTGGCGGTTTCGGTGAAAAGGTCAAGACTTGGAGCATTTTTCACAGCGCTGAGACTCTCTGTCTGAGAATCTGAGTTGATTATAGTGACACACTTTGAAAATAAACCCAAATACCTCAGCTTTCAGTCAATGGGCGTCCTGACTGCATTATTGGTCGGTAACGACAGCCGCAGTCCTTTTCAATATTAATATTACAGTTTAGTTAAAATGTCTATGTTTAAGTATAACGTTCCAGAATAAAGCCACTGCCCTGCAGTCAGAAGTTTAAAATAGTCTGATCTTTTATTTTCTATTAACTTTAACTGCAAAGGATTTTACACATGCGCATTTTTGAACAAGCCTGAAGTATATTTAGTCTGAGGACTGTTGTAATTGATGGCTAAATTATCCTTCATTTACTTTTACTGCCTTCTGCCTGGTCTTATTGACACAAATAAACTTAAACTCGTTTCATTCTTCTTTCATGTAATTAGTGGAAATTACGCCACGGTAAAAGTTGTAACTGGTAACTTTTTGCTCAGTTTATATCCATGAATGAAAGCCACATTTTACTAATTATTTTTTTTTGTGCATTTATATGAATGAAGAATGTTGGAACCTTCCTTTTAGGCCAAATGAAAAGTGAAAGCAGCAGGTGGTAGAGATAACGAGGATTCTTCGGTCCACACTAGAATTTTTGAACAGTATATACCCATTCTCTGTTCTCTACTCTGCTATAGCTGTGTTTTATCAAATAAAATACAGTCAGCACAAAAATGTTGTTGCATAACAGTAATACTTAACAAAAATGCAAGCAGATTTGTTTTTCTCAACTAATAAATTTGTTGGGAATAAAATGGGATAGGTAAAGATTTTTCTTGGATTTGACTCCAATACCCCTTCTTGCCCATTCCTACCATATTTCATATCACCTTATCTTGTGATTCTTTTACCCCCCCGAGTCTCTTCCTCCTCTTCATCATCTCCATACTGTTACAGCGCTCTCAGTTGTGCCTCAGATACTCCTCTCTTCCCCTGATCCCCACGTTATCGGGCCATAGATATACAGAATTGCATCCTGACGGGGAACACACTCTCATGCATGGAAACAAAAAACAGGACCTCACATGCAGAGGGTATTTTAGGGTTTAAGTTAAATGTTTTGGGGTTTTTTCTCTGCAGTCCTTCCCGGCTGCTTCCCTTATCAGCTTTCCTGCTTTTACATTTATTACTGTCAGGCTGCAGTCAGCACACACACACACACACCCGTGCACGCACGCATGCTCTCAGAGCTGTGTGTGTTCGCTTTTATCTGCCCCTCTGCTCTGCAATATTTTCCTCCATCTCAGTTTTTTTCTTTTTTTTCCCTCCCGCCGTTCTCCACCAGCTCATGCATCTTTCTTCTTATCTCTGAATGAATGAGCACAGCACGGATTGTCTAGCTGTTCGTCGGTCTGTGCGTATGCGTGCGCTGTGTGTTGTGCTCTTGAAGGATTCTCGCAGATTTCCTGCATGCGTGTTCAGCCTCCCGTTTGAACCTGAATGCAGCTCTGGTGTGAGTCACTGATCTAGCAGGGAGCTGACTGCAGTACTTCTATTGTTCGGCGGAATGGCTCGTTTTTTCTATGCTTTTACTCGTCAGGTTCTGGGGTGAATCCTGCAAAATCCAGTGTAAACATACTGTACATATTCTGCATTTCTTGTGCCTTATCTTATTTGTAATGTGAATGGTAAAAGTAAAGCAGATTATACTACTGGTTCGCTGTTCTTACTCTACATTAAGTTATTTATTTATTTTTATTCACTAAGAGGATGCATTACCCTTATTTTTTTGCAAAGTGTTATTTCTTTTTTCCTATTACATGCATTTGCCTTTGATTTTATAATATTAAACCCAACATTTTTCTGTCAGGTTAATATTAGTTAATAATAAAATAAGTCTTGAGTTGTAAAGTTTTAACACTGAAGGGTTTTGTATGGACAGAATTAAATAATTTAATGGTGCAGCTCAACAAATTAAAATATCTACCAAGAGGTAACTTACTTTAATGTGACTTTTAAAAGAAATTAACTAAGAGATACATCACACACAGTGCAATAAGAATATTTCTTTTAGTTAGTTGTAAGCCAAAATTATAAACAGTAACAAATTTGTATATTTACAAGCTTCACTTTTTAATTTAATTACTGAGATAAAGTAACTTTTTGATGATATTCTTTATATATGTATATTCTGTATCTGCAGATTGATCCAAAAGCAAATAAATATGGTTAAGTTGGCTTTTAGTATTTTATTTATGGACATTCCAGATATAAATCAAGACATAATAATCAATTATGCATTATTTATGATCGTATTTCACACTGTTTGAAATCAAACACATTGACACACATTTACCAGACGACTGCCAGACCTACACTCTTTCTGAGTTTCCTCTGTCACCTGAAAATGTTTATTTTTTGTTGTTATAAAATAGCAGACAACAAAGCTCATCCCACTCACTTTTACCTTTTATTTGCACTTCAGGGAAGCAGGCCTAAAACTGTTTGTTTGTTTGTTTGTTTGTTTGTTTGTTTTTCTTTCTTAGCTCCACTAACGAGGTAAAGAATCTGCTCCAGTCGATGCCCCGGACCAGTGAGCCCAGAGAGGTTCTGTTCGAGGACCGGACCCGCGCCCACGCCGACCACATCGGCCAGGGCTTCGAGCGCCAGACCACGGCGGCCGTGGGAGTGCTGAAGGCTGTCTGCACTGTAGAAAGGTAGAGAAAAAAAAATGCACCTTTAAGGGCAGTTTGCCTGGAGGTGACACACGCTCAATGTTTACACAACTCACTCCATGACAGATAGTGTAATCAGCTCAGCTTTCCTCCACCTACCCTCTCTGCCTTATTCAGGTCGGCGCAGCCTCATGTAACCAAAGACGTTGTTTGTTTCCATGCTGGGGATTTCCCTTACGTCGTTCAGAGGCTGCAGTTGGACTTGTACGAACCGCCGCTGTCTCAGGTGTTCATTCACACACAACCGCAAATAAATGACCACACAGCAGCATCTCCAGATAGACAGAATGTGTCCCCTTGCAGCGTTAATGATACACAACTCAGAGGATCAATGCTGCCATCTGGTGGAAAAAGTGTAATCATTTCCGCTTTGATACCGTGAGGAGACTTTCATAATCATGTTGGTCAGTGGTTTAAAAAAAGACCGAGTGAGATGGAAAGTTGATATCAGACATAACCAGATGGTTGCTGCTTTGATTTGTGGCTTTCCAGACGTGTCGTATTTTTCCAAGAAAGCTTACTAAACTTCAATGACTTGTGCAGAAAAAGGCAACAAAACAATAATCAATGATTCAATAATCAAAAAGCTTCAGAAACCATTACAACAAAACTAAAAGTTCAGGAAAAGCTACTCATCTTCAAACAAAATGCAAATCATTTGTTTCAGTTTTGTTGAAATGGATGTTTGCTTTTATACCTTATTATAAAACCAAACATCTTGTCCTCTTACAGTTTTATTTTGTTCTTGCTTTCTGTCACATTTAGATGTTTTAGATCATTCAACTCATTTCAATATCAAACATAATGTATTGAATACAAAAAGCTGTTTTTAAATGATATTTTCTCAGTTTGACAGGAAAAACCTATACAAAGCAACCTGGCTGCTTGTTTAAATATAATCTTGTTGAATCATAATTGAACTGATTTCCCAAACGTAAACACAAACGCTTGTTTACTGCTAGATGATTAGAAGTAAGAAATAAGCTAAATTATTCCAGGAGAGGATAAAAAAATTTTAAAAAATCCAGGAGGTTATCAAAAAAAGCCAGAGCAACATGGAAGGAACAGCATGTTCCTTTTGCCTCAGTTAAGGTCAAAGTTCAAGATGCAACAATAACAAATATAGACTGGGTAAAACTGAAACATTTTAAATAAATAGCCGCTGATTAAATGACATTTTACTCCTCTTTTTGCATCGAGTGACTGTGTTTATTTCGACTGCAGCTCTTCAATATCCTGTGTCTAATCACCCTCTTCGTCCTCTCCGCAGTGCGTCCAGTGGGTAGACGATGCCAAATTGAACCAGCTTCGGAGGGAGGGCATCCGCTACGCCCGCATCCAGCTCTGCCACGACGACATCTACTTTATCCCCCGCAACGTGGTCCACCAGTTCAAGACGGTGTCGGCCGTCTGCAGCCTGGCGTGGCACGTACGCCTGCAGCAGTACCACCAGGAGGAGGAAGAAGAGGAGGAGGAGAAGGCTCGGCTGAAGGAGGAGGAGACAACGATGGCTGAGGAGCAGGGTGGAGAGAAGAAGGAGAGGATAAAGGAGGAAGAGGAGGAGGTGGATGTGGCAGAAAAACAGCCGTTGCTCACTGATAAAAAGGAAGAAGGCGATGATCGTCTTCTGTCGTATCAACCCTCAAATGACATCTCGGATGCCAGCAGAGACGGAGAGGAGGCGATGCGAAGGAAAGAAGAACCTCACTGGGTTTCTCCTCCTGAAAAGGCGACGAAAGAAGCTCCAGCTACTCCTCCCTGCAAGAATAAATCACCCTCTCCTCTTCATCGTCCTCCCCCTGCTTCTCCTCATAAGGATGTGAAATCCAAAGCCTCAGCTAAACCTCACCTCTACAGTCACCCTGACATCAGGACGGCGTCTTCCTCCTTGCCTCAGAAACCCTCCGGTTGCTCCAAGTCTTCCGCCCACGTGCCATCCACCCCTCCACCGGGAGCCGCCTTCACTTCCTCGCACACTGTGTCTTCTACCTCCCCGTCTCCGTCGGTTTCCTCTTCCGCTCTGACGAGTCCCACGTCTGCAGCAGAGGCTCTCGTGAAAACTCTTCCTCCTTCCAGTGTCTCCTCGTCCCTCCAGCTGCCTTCGTCTTCCCAAACGGAGCAACTCGACGATTCCCGCACGAAGGACTCCGCCCGGACGCCGGCACTGTCTGACTTCAGGACGCCGTCAGAGGGGAGACCTGCGGCGGATACACAGAGTCGCTCCGCCCCGGCAGAGCGCTGGAACCGCCCGGCGGCGGACACACGGACACAAACCGCCTCCGATTCGGAGACGAGGACTCGCGGCTCAGATTCAGACTCCAGGACTTGTGTCGATGTGCAGCAGCATCTGGCGCCAGATGTGACACGGCGAGGGGTGTACATGCAGCAGTACCTTCCACAGATGATCTCCCCTCCTTTCCCACCTCTCCTCCCCCCCCACTCCCACCTTCAGCCTCATGTCCTTCCCCAGACGCCCGTCTCCAGTCCTCATGAGCAGCGCCCAATGAACTCCTTCCTCAGTCAGGCGGCGCCGCCCCATTCGGTTCAGCTGGGCCACCTGCACCCCCGCCACCCGTCCAGCCTCACCACACAGGCTCAGCCTTACTTCATGGGCCCTCCCTCCTCCTCCCCATCTCAGCCAAACGCCCCCCTCACCAGCTCCCAGTCGCTCTCGCCTCATTTCTCCTACCACCACCAGTTCGCCAAACCCTTCTTCCCTCCCCAGCACCCCGGCTTCCCCTCTCACCCCTTCCTCCCTCATCAGTCCTTCCTCCCGCAGCCGCCCGCTTCTTACCCTCTGCAGCCACAGTATCAAACCTCAGCACCGGTGCAGCCCCAGCTGCTTCTGTCGCAGTCGTTTACCTCTCCTCATGCCCCGCCTCCCCCGTCCTCCACGCCGCTGCCGCCGCTCCCTCCCCCTTTCCTGCCGCCTCCCCCCTTGCCTCAGCCCTCCCCTTCCAGCTTCCCCACTCCCCCCGAGGCATGACGACGAGCAGAAACAGATTTTGTGGGCGTATTTGTATATACCGATGGTAAATTTAAATAACTGTACATGTAGGAGGCTTTGTTTTGGTTGTGCTGTTGTAAAGCTGTAAAAAGGAAGTGAGGTGGGAGGAAGTAAAGTTTTTTTTTTGTTAATGAGCAGAGTGAGACTAAAACATGATGCCTTTCATGAGGATTTGTACTCTTAATTTCTCATTTTGTAACCGTACAACAATAAACTTCAGTGCATCTTACCAGGATTTTATAGGATGGACCAGCAGGAAGATGTTTATAATCTTGAAATGGAAGAAAAATGCTACACAATTTTAAAACTTTTAAGACTACCTTTAGCTGCAATTACAGCTGGAAGGCTTTTGGAGTTTGTTTATGAAGAAAAGTATTCCCACATCATGTTGCTTCCTCCACCGTGTCCTGCAGTGGAGGGCGAGGAGTTCATCCCTCTCGTTTTGTTTGGTAGTTTTGTTCTAATATGGGAGTCTGCAACTTTTACAAAGAGCCACTTTTGCCCTCAGTCCTACTTTAATTTCATTCTGTTGTGGAAATGAAATACAATTATTCCAGAATGAAACTGAAAAACAGCTAAAACTTGCATTTAAAAAAAAAAATCATTTTTAGTCAAATAGTCAGTTGTGGCTTCGGAGCCAACGGTTGCAGACAAAACCCTTTAAGGACATATTTTCTTCCCTTTTCGCAATCATGCACTACTTTGTGTTTTTAAAAACAAATCTTTAAAGTCACAGTAGAATGCACTGAGGTTTATGAGTCTAACGTAAGAAAACGTCTCACTCTGTGGGTGCAAATCCTCATGAAAGGCATTGTTTAAACCCGCCGCACTAAACTGGCTCAGATTTTACTGAGGCTTGAAGTATAAAACTGTTTCACATTTCATTTCATTTGCAGGAAGCTGTTGCTTTTAGAAAGTGAAGGGTGAACCCATGTTTTTAACCCCGAATGATGCAAGGTCATGGTTCAAACGAGGCCCCTGGTGTGCAGGTGTGTTGTCCGGCTCTGTTTTCATCCTTCCGGAGCCAACAGAGCCCACCATCAGTCATAGGAAGAAAACTTATTTATTTAAAAGAGCTTTTTAAACTGTTTTTTATTGAAACTTGCAGCTAATGCTTCCATTTTCAGGGGGTTTATTTAATTCAGTTGTGTATTGATGCAATACTGCATCATTTCGTCCTCTGTATTTATCGGTATAAGTCGACACGGATACTGGCTGGACTTTTCCACCATGTTGTGTTTAGAGCAATAACCCGCTAAATATCAAACAAACCTGTGTCTGTCGTTTTACTCATGTTTTTAAGTGGACAATGGAACATAATAATGAGGAGTGCAATTAATAGATGTTTCTAAACTTTTCAAGCGTTTCATTGGTTCAAAAAGGAATGTTATCTACTCAACTGGAGGCTCCGTGTGAATTGTAAAGTCGGACCGTTTGCCTTCAGTGGCAGAGCTAATGTCATTTTTAATGTCTTCTGGCTGTTTAGATGAGTTTTGGTTGAGGAGTGTGTTCAACCGCAGCCGAGACGGTCTCAGGAAAACACTTCCATCAAAAGAGAAAAACAGAGAAACGCTCACTTTAATGGTTTTCCTGCTGGGTTTCTAGTTTCACGCAGTCGATTCGTAAACGTTTTGACTGATGTTTCTGCAGATTTGAAGCTCCTGTTGAACATTCAGACTTCTGGATACTAGAAAACTGAATTCAGAAAGCAATACAAAGACGTAGGAGGTCAAACCCAGGCACGGGCCGGTTAACAGAGTGGAACCGAGGATTAAACGGCTGCATTAAAACTCACCGTTATTGTGTTTCTATGGTTTTAAGTCATTTCTTTTCTGGCTGTATGGAACATAGAGTTATACATTGCTGCCCCCTCCGACACCTGTTGCTGCACACTTATAAGGCAAACACCTTTCTCCAGGAAATTATTTGCAATTACAAAATAAACAAAACTGAAGAAAAGAAATTACAAAGTTTTTCAGATTTGATTTTTCTGTCTAAGTGTTAAAGTAAATGCCAAATTTATATGAAGGTTTGATTTTAGCTGTAATAATCAACATGATGTTTTTGAGGCAGTAGGAATAATCGTTGCCGACCCGTGCCTGGTGAACAGTTCTCATGTGTGCATCACTTACTTACTAAACACATTTATTTCCTTCTGCTTGCAAACGGATATTTCTGATGAAGTGTTGGATTCTTATGAATTAACGGATATTTCAGGTTCTTCCCAGACTGACATGTAAAATGTATTCAGTCCTTCGTTTTATATTTTTTGACACTTTATCAGTCTGGAGCTCATCCCCAAAGCATTATTTGTCGGTTTACCGGTCTACTTTTGCCAGTATTCAGATTTTTATTGATCAGGCAGAGACTGAAGGGACCTGGGTGCGGCCTACATCTGCGGACGTTGAAACAATGACAGCAACTGTTTTTTTTGTCACCAGTGTTTTTTTCTTAAATTATTTTCACTGTCTATATTAGAGTACAGCCCTCTTGCTAATGTAGCCCTCAACATTTCCCCAGTGCCTGTCATTAACTGTGAACTCCTCAGTGGTCCAGAGGCGCTCAGTGCAGGGAGTTTCTTCCTTTTATGAGTCGCAGTTGAAGTTCTCTCTGAAGTGCGAGAGCACCGCCTTAAATTGGGTTCCCACATCAGCTGAAAAGCCTCTAAATATCTATGTTTCAAATAGGGAAGACTTAAAAGGTTGCTACCCTCAAAGAAGGGTTTGAATTGTTCCTCTTAAGTCTCACCACAAGCCTGCGAAATCCAGATAAATGTAAGAATGGCGCCTTAGCTTTTTTTTTTTCTTTCCTGCCTCAGACGACCCAATTTGGGCGACCTTACTCTGGAGAGATAAAGGCGATAACGAAGCACTTGATCAACAGTCGTAAGGCCCTCTGCAACTCGTTTTGTGCTTTTTGGGTTTAAATGTTACAGAAACATGACAGGAACTTTTTTTATTTTATTTTTTTGTACAATTGTAACACCACCTTTGGTTGAAAACAGATGTCCTCAGGGGCTAGCATTGTTTTCACAGGATTTATTTATATCAACGTTTTTTTGTCTGGTTTTTTTTTTTGTTTTGTTTTTTTGTTGTCATTTTAGTTATTTCAGCTGTCAGCACTGTAGTGTACATAAGAGGTTTTTGTAAAGAGGAAAAAAACTTGTAGTGTGATTTCTACTTTAAATATGAACCTAACTAATAAAAGGTTCAAAGTATAAAAACCGTTTGTACGTTTCTGTTCTCTCGTTTGCAATCCTCAATTTTAAGACAATTTAAAAAGAAAAAAAGGATCAAATTCTTATCCAATTAAGTCGTATTTCAGTTAAAATCGTAACAAAATGATGCATTTAGTCTGATTACAGGAGCAAAGTAATCAGAGTAAATGACATATTTATCTTCTTGGGCTTGCACACCCAGACAAAAGGCTGGATGTAGCTATATGCTAATACCATAGACCTGCCAGCGTCACTGGAATGTGATATAAAAGCTAAATGCAAAAGACCTACTGATAGTAGAAGACCTTAAACACATATCAGCGTTCTCTGTTAATGAGATTATGTTAATAAAAATAAAGTTCACATAAAACTCCACAAACCAGCTGGTATCAGTTCACACACAGCTAATAAACAGTGAATGACTAATGTGAGTTTAGAACAAGTGATCACAAATAGTCCAGTTCTAAGAGAAATAACATTTTTACTCTCTGTGGGACACAAATGCAGTTAACAGGTCTGTTGTTGGCTTTGTTCAGGAAAGAGAATAAAACCCTCAATAACTCAACCAGGCAGAAATAAAAACGAAAGTACTGAAAATGAATGGCAGCAGCAGATCATATTTGTAGAAGATACATAACAAGCAACTTAACACTTTAGCAAAAAAAAAATGTTCAATACAAATAGATTTTTTTCAATGCATGTCTGCTTTGTGGTTATTTTTCTCCTGTTTACTGCCTCTATGTTTTTTACAGCTGTTATGCAACCACCCACCACCAGCAGTCTGCATCACAAAGACCACCACTGTGATTCAGGCAGGCAACACACACACACACACACACACACACACACACACACACACACACACACACACTCATGCTGTGGCTACATAATTCAGTGCTGGTTTGCTTTGGCTCAAATTCACCACAAAACTAAATTTTCTCCCTTCTTCTCAGATTTCTGCTGAGAATCATTTCCTGCTGCAGTTATTATCTTTCTGTCGACTTATGAATGTTTAAGTGTTGTGTAATATTGGAGAAAACTTTTGCATGTTTTCTCATCTGGCTGCACGTCAGATGAGCTGAAGTTTCCTTTAAAGGGCAGCCACTCTTGGCGGTGTGCCTCCTCCTCCTCAGACTATTTCAGATTGTGTCTTGTTTAGCTTTATCATCTCCTAATAAGTGAGCCTCCTACATTTGTAAATTCTTAAGTATGAATATGAACTGTAACCAAAACAAAAAACACGCAGTGTAATAGAAATCAGTCATTTATTAATTACATCACATGCATACAGTCTTAAACAGTGTTTTCTCTTTTTTTTTTAGTTAAAGTGCAAAATATATATATATATATATATATATATATATATATATATATATATATATATATATATATATATATATATATACACTGGGGGGAAAAAGTGTTTGGAGCAATTGTTGGCACAAAATAAACATTAGTGGTACAAGAATGAATTCGACTGAGATCCAATCCACAAATAAACTGCTGGTAGAAAGGATTTAATATGAATTCAATCTGCATGCAAAGAGGGCGACAGTTTGAGACGTGTTACTAAGTATGGAGTAGAAAAAGGAGCTTGTAGAAATCCATGAGCAGCCAGAGGATAAATGACAGGATGGTGGTTGCTAGCAGATAAGCTAACTCCCAAATTTGCCAGCTGAGGAATGAAAGAAGCATGGACATGTAACAATTACAAAGTAAACAATTTAAATACTAAAAAAAAAACAATACTGATCATAAGAATTTTTTTTTCAGTGTTGGCTTCACAGTAGATTAACAAACAGCTGCTCTTCAATAAAGAATTGATTGATCAACTAGCAGCTTCTTTCAGAGGCCTGTTCTCTGCACTGCTTCAAGCCTCTCTTCTCTCAGGACAAATATTCAGCCCCAGCTCCACCAGTGCTCCCAGCAGCATGGTCCACAGCGGTATGCAGACAAACGTCAGCTTCACGTCGGCCAGCTTCTCCAGCCTGGCGCACAGCGTCAGGCAGAAGCCCAGTTTGAGCAGCATGGCGGTCAAGTACCAGGTGCGCAGGCGCAGGGACGACGAGCCGTTGCGCAGGTCGTACCCGAGTTTGCAGCGCCCCGCCATCTTGACGGCGAGCATGAGGATGAGGATGCCGTCAAAGACCCAGACTGGGAGAAAGATGAGGAACCAGTTCCATTGCACCTGGAGTGAGGAAGAGGAGACAATCATGATTAAGGTATGGAATAGTTGTGAAATAAAGGGAAAATTAATGAGTACAGATCTGAAAAGTGTGGTGCCCATTTGTATTCAGGCTCCTTTACTCCAATACCCTAAAATAAAATCCAATCCAAACAAATATAACTATTGTATTGTCACAGCAGTCCTGACACTCGGGACCTGTAACAGATTGTGGGGGCTCGTCCGGGATCAGCACGCTGCACATCCATGGGCTATTGCTGATCCAATGATACTGACTGTCAGAACCTCTCGTGTTATATGGTTCCGGAGTTAGGAGTGACCCAGTGTGCAGTAGAGAGGCCAGTAACCAGTGAAAAGGGTATACCAGCCTACAGAGCACTGGTATACCCTGCACTATTAATACTAATGTATTAATAGTGAATATTTAGTCTCAGTAGAAAAAGGTAGAGGTTTAAACAGTCCAATGATGGATCGGGTCTAGATCCAAGAATACCAATGGTCTAGTCAAAGGTTAGTTCCGAGCCCATCTGAAAGTCTAAGCTACTGCAACCATTTCAGACTAGCTGTTAAATACCTGTTCTGTAATTCTACCAGGGTGTACTGCATCAGAGCAAATGAATACAAAAACACACCACAATTATTATTATTTTTTCATTTGTTGAATCTAAAATTAAAACACAAAGAGGTCAGTCTACCTTCCCATCCAGTTTGAGCACCAGAATGATGAGGAACACCAGGGTAAAGACCCAGGTCAACAACACCCTCTGGGCCAGAGACATCTCACTATGCAGGGACACATCAGAGGAGGAAATAAATCCATGGTAAACACGCAAAAAGCTACTGCTTTATCAATGATGATCATCGCTTATTATTTATAGTAGAATTGTATGAAGCTAAGAAGAACAGTGGATCCTTTCTTTACTATAATAAGCCTGTCAGTTACAGTCTTGCTAGAAAAATACCTTTATTTGATACAGTGCAAACTGAATCTAAATGTATTCAATTAAAGCTTTCCATTCATTGTAAGCAACGGTTTGCTATCGGCTAGCTCAAATAGCACTGTGCTAATCCATTAGTTGACTTACATTAGTGTATTCCCAACTCAATGTCAAGCATCCTCTTGTCTCTCTCTGCGCCTCAAACATAGATAATCAAAATAATGTCGTTGCCTGTCAGTTATATTAAGATTATTATCGTCCACAACAGTAATAATGACCACAGTCCCGTTATCTTCGGGTTTGTCCCGCCCATCCAAGAATACGATTGGTTGTTTTTTCCCCCCTCCTTTACGTTGGTCGTACGTTCCGTAGACGTAAAAGTTTAGAAGTTGAACGGCGTACGTCAACGTCACCGCCATGTTTTGAGTTGCAAATCGGTTTGGTTGTTATTATAGCCACAAATAAATTTGGTACATTTGAAAACATTATTGTGCCGCCACTCCTGAATATTTTTTGACAAAATAGCCGAACTTAATACATTTAAAACTAGGTTAATTAAATTTAGTTCTTGGGTATATTTTTCATTTTTGTTTTAATTTATTTTAATGGTCACCATTAGTTCTAAAATGAGCAAATTTTCTACATTTTATAATTTATCAATTGTTTACTTTCTATGCGTAAACTTAGATGTTTCTTTTATACTAAAACCCTGGTCTCAAAGCGAAGTTAAACAGCTGTGCCAGGCACAATATGTCGGACGCCCTCACGGTAGCCGTTTTCTCTTGCATCTCTAGAACATGTGTAACCATTTTTGCGTCAAACCGTAAAGGCTTTGTAGAGGCGCACAGTCTGTGGTTAGGTTAGACGTCCACTAGATGGCGGTGGTGTTTTTCATACGTTTATTGTTGTATCCAATTTTACGCGCAACTACTGAAAGCAAAAACAGCGGGATTTGTACTTTTCATTTAAACATTGTTTCGACTCAATTCATACAATTCGTTGTATAAACTGATGGCCAAGTTTAAGTGGATCAAAATGTAAATTCACGTTTTCACGAAGCTTTACGGTAGTATGCTCCAAGTAGTATTTTCACACTGAGCGTTAGAAAGGGAAAAGCTAGCGTTTCAAACATCACAGAGCAGGACTCTGAGCATCTCCTACAGACAGTGGGAAAAGCTTGCTAACTCTTTGAACCACAGTTTACCGTCAGATAGCACAGGTATTGGTTTGACGGAGTTGGACCTGGAACAACTGCGGCGTGAAAAGGAGGTAAGACGGAGCTTATGCTCGTTGAGAGATTTTAAGTGCAGCTGTGCGGGCTCTTTGTGGCTGCCGCCGGTGGCTTAGCTAACCGGGTAGCTCGGCTTGAGCTAAAGAACCCTGGTGGGAAACAGTTTCTGCGCCCCAATACATGGTAATTAGCTTTTAAAAATAGCTGCTTGACAAGCCGTTATAGCACCACAAAGGTTACGATCTTTTGTTTCACTGAAAAAATGCAGTAACACGACCTTCCCCCCCTCCTGCACTGAAATCATCCAACTAACCCTTTAAGCTAAACGTTTAAAATCGGCTACATATGCAGAGAGCAGATAATAAAGGGTTAATGCGGAACTAGTTCAATTTAATACAAAAACACTAACCGTGTGGCTGATTTGTGGTTGCTGGTTATGTTTATTTTCAACATGGTGCAGGAGATGGATGACTTACTGGGTTTAAATATTTCTTGCTCACTCAACTGTAGTTGCTTTCAGTAAACCAAGCAATGCGTCCTTTTTAAGATACAGTTTTGCCATTGCACAATACAGAAGGTTCTATGCATGTCATGCATGATAAAAAAATTATGTTGAATTACAAGGTTTAGTTTTTATTTTTCGGACAAAGACTTTATGTAGAATTAGGCAGTGCTTTATCCAGTTTCTTATGCACACAGGTAGCAAACATCAGAATGGAGGAGAAAGAAACGAGAATTTAAGTGACTTTGAATTTGGCTGTGTATTTCAGATACTTCTGATCTGCAGGGATTTTATGCTTAATCATCCCTCCTGTTTGAAGTGGATGGTTTGAAAGAAAAAAATATCTTGTGAGCAGCAGAGCGGAATGGTCTGACAGGTTCAAGATCATAGAAAGGCAACAACAGCTCGATAACTGAGGAATCCAGTGCAGAAAACCATTCAGGAACACAAAACTCATTGGATCTCAGAGCAGATGGTTTGTAAAGAGCATCAAGTATCAATCCTGCAATCTGCCGAGTCTAAACTTCACTTGTAATGTTCAGATGATGGGCCAAGATTTTGACTTTAACAATGTGAAGCATAGATGCATCCTGCGTTTTGCATCCAATTTTCTGAACATGTTAAATTATTATCAAAGCTGTAGAAAAGATTGGTTTTTCTATTTTATTGAAGCTTTTGGCTTGATATAAGTATTTATGTGATACAAGTTAAACCATTGTATTTGGACTTAACATGAAAAGATTGGAGTACTTAACTACCAAAATCGAGCATGTAACGCTATTAATGCATTACCCAGTATTTAAGGGCTCATACAAAAATCTATTCAGAGTATATTAGCGAGTAGTTAAGTTTCTAAATATGTAAATATGTTGAATGTGTCTCTGTCCTAAGTGAACAATGAACTTGGTTTGAGAACAGGAAGGTCAGACGTTATCTGCACTGGTGAATTTTTCTCCTTTGAATGGTATATGAGACAGAGAATATCTTATCAAAAAGACTGTCAGTCAGCAGAAATGTCTCCACCACAAGATCCATAGAAACACACACACAAAAAAATAAGGTTAAGCCTAAGCCTATGTTTATAGACCTGACTGGGAAAAAATATTTTGTGTTTTATACTTAAACATTTCAGATAATCAAGCAAATTTTAACACCAAACAAGGTCAAGATAACCAAAGTAAATACAAAATGTAGGTTTTTAATTAGAATGTCACTTGTTGAAGACTATTCAAACCAGCCTGGTCCTGTTTCGTTGAATCACAGATTACCAGGGTTGTACTTCTTTTTGTGGAAGAATTTCACAAGCAATAGCAGCACAGTGGGCTGAAATATCCTAAAATGTAACTACTTTGTAACTAAAAATTATTACAGTAATATTGTCATTTTGAAACCATTTTCAAGTAGTATATTTCAAGTTGACCCTCTCAAATACTATCAAACTGTTACTTTGTAGAGAAGACTCCACACTGGAATTGGACATTTTTCTTTTAAATATCCAAAATAAAATACAACCACAAGAAACGATGCGTAATTAAAAACCACAGTAATGTGGGCACCTTGTATGGACTTATTTTTGCCATTATTTTATCATTCTATGTGTCAAAAATAAAAGTATTGCATGTTTACAGTTTGTCAAATAGATGTGAACATGTTGAGCAGATTCCAGTTTGTTTTTAAAACTTTTGACTGCTATGGAAATAATTAGCTGCAGGATGATGCAGCTCTGGTCTGGAATGTAGTTTGTCTTAATTGGTTCAGACATGTATTGGAGCTGGTGTGTGACTTCTACTACAACTATTTTCCATGAACACTTTTCAACAGTAACTCAACAAAAGACTGACATGCATGTAGAGTAATATGCTTGGCTTCCATTCATAAGACAAAGGAATGTCTTATCTACTTTGATAAGACAAGGAAGCTCCTGAGCTGCTGTTTAATCCCAACAATTTGCTTTTTAATTAGCAGTATGTTTAATACATGGGTGTTTCCAATTCCATTGGCTAAATCAATATTTACAAAAAAACTTGTTTTTCACTTTTTGACATATGAAGGATGAGTTATCTCATTTGAGACACTGACATTTTACCTAGTAGTGCGATTAACAGCATAGCTGTGTAGCTCTGTCCATGGTGCAGAAGTTGGTGCATTTTACTGACGCAGGAAATATCACACCAAATTTCAGTGTGAACAGAAATGTCTCCACCACCAGATCTATAGAGGCACTAATGAAGAAAAAAGGTGCGGCTTCTCTCGTCATTTTGAAGAAGTCAACGTAGAGCTTTATTTTTCTACATTGTCTTTTAGTTAAAAAAGCACAAGATATGTGAATGACATATCAGTGCATAGATATGTCATTCACAGTTTCACCTGGAGATTTAATTATTCATCATACTTGTCCTACATTTTAAAATCTAAAATGGCTCTTTTTGCTCCTGAATATTATTTTCTGTCTTGTTAAACAAATGTATTAAATATTAATATTAGACCAAATTTAACATGACAATCTTGTTCCAAAAATAATGAAATTAATAGAAACAATTGTTCTCAAGATGATCTGGAGCTACAGCTGGCAGATGTGACTGTTTCCCCTTTAGAAAGTTTTGTAAGGAGTCCTTTTTTGGAAATATTTTATTAAACATATGTGATATTTCAGGTAAAATATGCTCTATTTGCTCTGTATGCAAATACAGAAAAAAAAGAGATTAATATTCTACAGTAAAGCACAAAGATCTTTCAGGTTTTGGTACTTTCTGACCCTATTGGGAAACTTAGCATTTCAAGACCGAACAATAGGGTTCAATCACTAAGTTCAGGTTAAACACCAGAGGAAAAGTCAACATTTGTATTCCTACAGAGTTCATGCTCTGGTCAAGCATGTTTTGTCAAAAATGACACTATGTAGATAAGAAGTGAGAGTCTGCATCTTTGAGCGGAAATATTTGAGACAGTTGTCCTCAGTAGTACCTGTCTGTCAGCATAGCAGTGCATCAGTTTGTCAAAGGGCTCAAAATCCGTCAGTGCATTTAAAATGAGTGCTCATATGTTGTACTTTAATGTGGACTCTTTGTATTGCCTCTGTCTCAGAAGATGGTGAAGTGGTGTGCTTTGTGTCGTTAGCCGTGTAACCATACTGCAGCTGGTTACGTCACCAGCTGCAGTATGGTTACATCACACATAGGACTGCTGTCATTTTTTGTTTCAGTGGAAGCACAGAGGTGTTTCCACTGAAAAATTGCCCAGCAGGTAATATACAATTGCCTGCTGGGCAATTGTATATTTTACAGAAGCATAAAACATTCTGAGTTGTGACATTTATTGGCCTTGATGCTCTGATTCACTATGGAGTGGATTCTGATTGTGTTGCAACCTGAGTCTTGTTTTATTTGCTCTCGTGTTTTTACTCTATGGAAAACACGTCTCCACCAGGCCATCTCCAAATCAAATGTGGTGACTTTAACAAATGGGACACAAATGCAACATTCTCTACTTGTTACTAATTAAATCCAGAGTTTCCCCCAGTGTATTATAAGCCTGGCAATAGATAACCTTGCTTATCTATTGAAATCTTTTTAAAATGTTTGCATTTTTTTAAGACTTTACAGTTGGCATTCAGGTATTAATCTTTCAATAATACATAATTATCAAGTGATATTTTCAAATTTCCTGTCAACTTTAAACATTTTTTAACTCAAAAATACACGGTTAGGGAAACTTTGTGGAAGTAGTTACTGAAGGAAGATGTTAGAGACCTATATTGGCTAAGAAGAAGGCTGAAGAGAGTACAGCACAGTGGCTCAGGGTTACCTTTTTTAGCTTTCATGTTATCGAACATTTTGGGTTTGGGAATCTTGTCAACCTTCCAGAAATCTGACTTGGTCACTGGTATCTCTCTAAAGATAATGAAACTGGGAAATGAGAGTCAAATTTGCCTTTGCCCTAATCTTTAGTTCCTCCACACGTTCTCAGATTCAAGTTGGTACTCTGGCTTGGAAACTCCAAAACAACATTACTTCCAGACAGGAGATGCAATAAAGCTCTCCTTTAATGCTTGGATTCTGGAAAAAAGTAAATGATCGTTGCATTTAGCAAATTTTCCTAGAAAGTTTTCTGCTTTGCTATATGTTTGAATCTGAATTTAGCTGTCAGAGGCGTACATCAGCTGTTAAGTGTGTCACACCCAACGTTAACGCAACGCTAAGATCTAATTAGAAATTTGTCAGGATGAAAGATTTTTGTCTGCAGCAATCCATAATCCCACAAAGTAAACTCGACATAAGCAGATCAAGTGTCAGTCTGATCTAATCAGCAAAACGATGACTGTGGAGAATAATAGAAAAATAAGTACTTTAGTTTGCTTTCAGGAGTAAGTTCTGGGAATGACATCCCTATTTATATTTCCCTTTCAGGCACACCACAGGTATTTTAAAGCATAGAACTGGTGGCAATAAAAAGGACCTGTGTATTAAGAGAGTCTACATCTTCTTTTTAATTCAGTTTTGTTTGTTAGTGGATCATATTTTAGATTTCCCGTGGTGAAAATCAAGGCTTACTGTATACATCCAAAATGTATACAATATCTGTGTTTCTACATTTTTTTTCTATAACCAACTTTGTCTTCATTTATTGGTTTGGATATTTGTTACTCAGATTTAGGAATATTTGCAGCAAAAATCCTGATTTTGTGTGGCTCTTTACGTTGGTTAAAGAAGAAGTTAATGAATCCATTCATTGACTAGAAGCCAACAGATTTGCTATTTTTCTTGGTTGAATGTTCATCACACTTCATTTTGAAATGCATTTCAGAGTTAATGTAAGAACAATGTTCCAACCCAAGATTAAACATTACATCCAGTCAATGAATCTTGAAGTGGCTTCTTGCATGTTTTGCACTGACAGTTTATATGAAACTGCAGTGACTGAGTAAACAGAGCAGCTGCAATTTTAGATGCAGATTCAAACTTTTAAATGCCGTTTTTTATCATTTGGTTTTATTTTGTTTTGACATCTGAAAAACACCCTTGAGGTGTAATTTGTTTACTAACTAAGACTGGCATGCAAATTAAGTTCAAATGAGTTGAGCTTGCAAATGTGGAAGCATGTCAAGGGTTTAATGGACATGGTCTCTGTTTCCAGTGAACTCGAGAGCGGTGCTAAATATTTGACCTACTGTAGGTTTACGGGAGCTCTTCCATTTGTTGAGGACTTGTGGGGTTTCTCTTGGTAGCAGTGAGCTAATAACAACTAATGCTATAATTGGTTTGGCCTGTATCTGCTCGCAATGTCCTGAAAAGCAGACAAACTTCTTCAAGTAATCAGTGCAAAGCTGTTTTTGGTTCATTCAAACAAGCTAATTTATTCCTTTCCATATGACGAGGAGACGTTGCATAACTCTGATACTCTTTCTGAAATGAGTCACCGTTTCTTCACTTCTGTTGCCAATTGGCATCACTTATGAAACTACATTTATAGCCTCAGTTTTTACCACCTTCAGCGCGTTAATTTAAGTCATTTTGGGTCAGTATAACGTAGACAACAAACAAAGAATAAGGAATCGTAAACTCCTGTTTCAGCCACTTCAAAAGGAGACACTTTAGGTCTTAAAAAGCTGGATATTTATTACTCCTTTACTGCATACTGAGCTGGGATCAGCTGTTTCTCTTAGGTGTGTTGAACTACAAACTAAAAGCTGCAGGAGACTGGACATTTCTGTCGTCCCCCAAAATTTAACTCAAGTATCCTTTCTCTGTCTTTTGTTCTTCCTTTCTTTCCTTTTATTGCAAGTGCTGCCCTTCTTTCTATGTCCTCCATATCTTCTTTTTGTTAATTTTTCTTTTTGTCCTTCTTTCTTAATCCTTTGTTGTTTGTCTCATTCCTCCTGTCTTTCCTTTCTAGCCTTCTTTTCCTTCCTTAAATACCATTCTTCCTTCCTTTCTTGAGTTTTTTCCTTTCCTCCTTTACTTCTCTTTTCTACTTCCTTCCTCTCTTGTGACTCTTTCCTTCTTTTTGTTCCTGTCCTTTTTTTTCTTTCTGCCTTCTTTTCTTGTTTTATGCAGTTTCCTTTTTTAAAGCTCTTTCATTGTAGAAATATCAGCTAACAATTCATTATAAATTTTTGTATTTCACATTTTAAAATGAAGATAAAGGATGAATAACTCTGGAATATTGATCGAAGTATGACGTTTTTACGTGGATAAATTTGTCAAACCTTTCTGTTACATGAGGATTTTGATGGAAGAACTGAAGCTCTGTAATTATTTCCCTTTATATATATTATTATTATGATGTAATCGTGTTTGTAAGGATCAGAAATCTTTTTGCCAGTATTTACATATGTACAACAAGAGCGTTGCTCCTAAATTGTCTCTCTCTTTTCTGTGCAGCTCTTTGGTCGTGAGGACAAACCGTCACTCAGCTAAGAGGCCAGACCAGAAGTGAGTCCTGGTTCTTCCACAAACCCTTCAGACTGTTCTTGTTTTTCCGCTGCTGCATGTTTTAGCTGCTTCATCTGTTGCTATGAGGATGTCAGCTGCCTACACGCAGGCATATGTGTTCAGAACCTTTCTGCTTACACATCAGCAACCCGTTACGAGAACTGACGGAAACAGATGGAGGAATAATAGTGTGCTTTTAGAAAACAAACTTCCTGTTTTGGGAGCGCACATAAGACGCAAACTCAGGGCTCTTATTTTTAGCACTTGTCTGCAAATGCTGGCCTACAGTCAGCAGCAGCAGAAACCTTTTTTTAAGTTTCAGTTCATCTGCGGTTACTTGGTTCCTGCCCAGCAAACTGCAGCAGTCTAGTTTTACATGACCTTTGTGCACTGCTAGCTGCTTTGCATTCTCTCTTGGTTATGCTATTGTTTACAATTTTTGCAGCTTGGTGAGGCATCCGAATGTCTCGGGAGAAATCAGGACTGATCACGGGAGGCTGCATTTCTCTAATCCCAATTGTCCTGCTTCGGTGAGTTTATGATGAGCCGATTTGAAAACATTGGTTATGCCTGGCTGGCGTAAAAATCATGTCCTTGTGATGCAGCCAGCGGTCGAATTCTTCCCCACTTTTACAAATGTTAAAGTGCATTGTTGGATCATTTGGTGTAAGTTATGGTGGTAGGAGAATCTTCTTGCTCGATGCAAACCAGGTCTTCATCATCTTGTTACTGATAAACACTCTTAAACCGATTACCAGTCCTTTGACCTTTAATCGCCTCCTGGGCTGGAGTTTCGGGTTTCCTGTTGGGAGGCAACATACTAAATCGCTGTAACATACATGCCTCCACCCAGCAGAGATGGAGGGGAGAAGCTTGTGTTACACACCACGAGATCGCAGATTCATGAAGGATATCTGCCCCTCACTTACATCAGTTTGTATTTCTATCAAGCTGAATACATCTGAAACTGCTGTAGCTTTAATTTGACAACCACAGCAGGTGAGTGATGAGGGTTTTTGTACATTCAAAAGATGCACTCTGCTAACAACCTGGTTCTGTAAGCTTATCACTTTGGTGTTGTTGCATTTGGATAAGCTCAAGCCAGCCAAATAACGTAAACAACTTTTTAATATAGCAGAAAGAAACAAAACAAACAAAAAATGAAACTACACACTTGCAAAACCATAAATTAAATTGATTATAAAGTCTCTGTAAACTTATATTAAATATATGAATAGAAATTGTGGAGTTAATTTTAATTTATTACAAGATTGTTTATTGCGACAGCCAGGCTTAGTAGATTAATAATGTTTTGACTAATTATGTAATAATACTTAGTCACCACTTCTGTGGCCACAGTTCAAACGTTTATGAAAGAATGTGTTACTCTCTGGAGCTAAGTGATAATATGCCAAAGGTGAAATAACTTGCCAAATTCCCTCACTACTCAATATTAAGGCTGGCCTGAGACCAGCTAGGGGAACTGGAGCGTAGACTATGAGCCAGGTCTTTTCGTCCAACATTAGTGCCTGACCTCATTAAACCTCTCCTGGAAGAATGGTCAGATATTCCCATGAACATCTGACCATTAATTCTCCTTTTGTGAACGAAATGCTTCAACGAATATGAAGCATTTTGTTGAGATATGAAGCTGTTACAGCTGCAGAGGGTAGGGCAATGCCATTTTGTATTAAGGTAAGAAAGAAATTGGAAGTTGTATAAAGCAAAACCCTTGAGTGGCGCATGGCTTTCACGAACACACCCATTTACACCCATGCTCACTTACCACACCCACTGTCATGGCTCTGATTTGGCTACGGTGAATTCATTTTAGTCCTTGATTCATGGAAAATCCCAATGTTTGAGTGTTCAGCGAGGTGTTTGTTTTTTTATGGTATCAATGTGCAGGCAAGCCGCCCAGTGGAAAACAACAAACGCCCCTGGGCTTATCTGTTTTTTCATTTTTAGTCATTATTCATACCTACCTCTGGACACACACCGGCTGCTTGCATGCGTTCAGACACTCATGCCATGAGCACAATAACCCTCATTTAAACCATGGCCTATTTAGAGCAGACTGTCCGACTTGACTGCTCTCTCTGTAAATAGGTCAGTTCAGACAGACTGCTGGTCAGACAGATTTGGCAAGATTCAAGGCTGCAGGCTGTGTGAACATGGATATGGAAAATCTTCTCTAAGAGCTGTTTTTGGAATAAGTTTAGCTGTAGACAGATTTTTGTTGCATCAGTGCCTAAAGCTGACTCATAAATGTAGGATTTTGTTATAAATCACTTCTTGAATTTGTGCGATTTTCCTCTTGTAACCATCTTAGGATAATAAGTGTTGTTTGTGTCGGTTCTTTAAGCTGCGTTTCATGATAATCCTAGAGGATGACCCTCATATATTTTGGAAAACAATGTTTTAACAAATATGTTTCTTCATCACAGAGGTAATTACCCCTCATCACTTCAAACTCAGGCTGATGTTTGAAGCTGCATTAGGCAATAATGAGCATCTCTGGGATTGTTTTTGTCTAACAATGTGTGTAGAATCTCAGTGAAGTTGAAAATAGGATTTAAAGGCTTTAAGTAAAGAGGCTCTCGCTGTTTTTCCTGTCACTGTTTCTGCATGAGGAGGATTTGTGGTCAGAGAGTTGCCAATCTGAGAGTTTGTGTCATACTCCAGTAATGGTCGGGTGTTGCTCATTTGGGTTTGTTTACATGGCTGTACTTCCTGAATACCTCATGGTGATGTGTGTTTTTAGAGTTTTTTTTAAGATCCTGTTGTCGGACAATTTTTCTTTGACTTGAAAGATGGTAAAAGACTTGAAGGCAAATATAATTTAGCCTGCAGCAAAACAATAATTAATATAAATAGAATTTTTTTTCAACATTTAAAACTGTTACGAAGGTCTTTAAACTTCTGATAGTTAATTTACCACATAATTCTAAATTTATAATCTTTACATCCATTTTTATTTAAAGACCTCCACTGATACTCCAACTAGTTTCTGATTTGTGCCTCAATTTTGCCAAATTATTTCTATAACCATAAACAAAACCACTTTGTTTATGTGCTAATGCTGGAAGTTAGGATTTTTAACTAAAATAATGCTCATATTTTAGTTAAATCTTTTAATTAATTTAATACTATCAGAGGATTTTGTCATATGTTCTGTTTTGTTCTACTTGTTGCTGGACCAGTTGATTAAATATCAGATGAAGACAGAATGACTGAGCAATTGTTGTTCATTTGATTTATATAATCGCATTTCCTTTCAGAAGTTTATTGAAAATTATGTTAAGTCATCGCTTGTCAAAATGGCAACAAAATAATTTCTGTCAACTTAGTTCTTGTTTTGGGATAGTAAATCTCTTTCTTTTTGCATCGATTTGCCTCAGAATCATGCATGTAAATAAATGTTAGGTGAGACGGATGAAGGGAGGTGTGATGGCAGTTCTAGCTGTCAGCGAGAGAGAGAGACTTCCTTCCTGTTTCCAATAATGTCTCTGAGCAACTTACAGCATGCATACATACTGACACTGCATGCATGTGTACAGAAACTTGAACAGTTTAGTTTCAACTTCTCACACATTTCTTACATTGGTTTAGTTTGTTTTCACACATCAGGCGCTCACACTAGCAGGCCTCTGAAGTGATAGCTTTATCACTGATATAAACATGGCATTTTGTGGTTTGGTAGTTGGACGACACTCTACGCTGGCATCAACTGATCTCTCATTTCTTTGAGCCACAGGCTGCAGATGGTCACCAAGCTGCCTCATGAGATAATCTTAGGGGTTTTTATTTTTAGCCCTTGCACATGTTGCCGCTTTTGGGCAGTGCAGCCCCTCAAAACAGGCAGCAAAATTGTTCAGTACTGACAGAGAAGCACTCTGTAAGATGTTGACTGTGGCGCTGTCGAGTTTTCACATGTAGAACAGGACGTCTTCACTTGAATATGTTGAAGCCAAGAGTTCAACTCTGAGAAAAGAAGCACAAGAGATACTTTTGTTACTTTACAAACCTTGAATTGGACGAGAACTGATTTTAAAAATAGTACTATTGGGAGAAGTGCAATAAAAGAACAAATTTAGTTTTCCCCCTTGTCATTAACTACAATAATTTTGAAAATAACATGAAATACCTTTAACTTAAAGAGGAAACTGTCCCTTCAGCCGCTCTGCTTTCAGGGCCAGCCTTTCACTCAGCCAGACAATACCAGACTTGCGTAACAGAATAATAAAGAAATTCAAAGAGTCTCAAAGGAAGATGAGGAAGGAAGGGGGGTTAAGACAGGCTATGAAGGAAAGGATAGTGGCTAACCACAAAAACCTCTGAGTATTATCTGAACAGTTGTTCAATAACCACATCTTTTATTCATACGTTACCTACACTGATGAGAATAATACATTTTATTTATTTACTTGCACACCAGACAAAATCATAAACAAAAGTAAAAAAAATAAAAGATAAGTTTCATGTCAAACTGATTTAAAATGTAAAAGCTGTCGAAGGTATGAAAGAGAATTGCTACAATGAATCAGAGATACCTTATGTTTCAACAAAACATAAATATGTGTATATGTGTGTGTGCATTAGCAATGTCAAAATAAACATTCAATTCATATTCTTTTAATACCATTTATTTTTTACACAAAAAGATGACTTTGTGTGTGTCATCTTCAATGCATTTAAGTGACAAGTTTCTCCCATCTATATAAAATACAGAAATATTTGTTGAAAAAAAAAAAGAGTTAAGTGAAACTGAAGCCCTATTTATTGTTTATCTATAAAATATGGATGTAGTCTCTGTGATATCTAGCTCACAGGTGTTAAGCTCCAGTCCTGGAGGGCCACTGCCCTGCAACATTCAGATGTCCCTCTGCTGTACCAGAGTAGAATAATTAGGTCATTAAGGCTCTGGAGATCTTATCTACAAAAGAAGGAGGTAATTAAGCCATTTCGTTCCAGTGTTTTGTAGCTGTGGCACATCTAAAAACTGCAGGACAGTGACCCTTGAGGACTGGAGTTTGACACCCCTGAAATAGCTGTTCAGAAACCAAATGTTAGGTGTCAGTAATTTTGTTTTTGACTTTCTGGTTTGACAGTCTTTGAACAACATTCAGAGCTTCAGGTGACGTAGCAGACTTCCAACTAATTGTGTGACTAATGGTTCAGTTCACATCAGCTTCACGTTCTGACAAATGAGCTGTAAATTACAAGCAAACAGTTCATAAATGTTCACACATGAGATGTTGAGGAAATGCTTCAGATTCCTGATTTAACCTTTCATCAAAATGAGGCAGAAAACCTTTTTCAATTCTCTTAAAATTTTGACTACTGTTTTATAGATTGGAAAAAGTTAATTATAGAATTGTCTCCTCATGTAATGTTTTATTTCTATAATTTATCACAAAGTCTCACCCATGGATGTTACTACTGCAGCTTCTTTCACAGATAACTTGTTGAGAAACTTTGAGAAACCAACACACATGCTTGAAAACTCAGCTTTAAAATTCAGTGAAATCACATTAGTACTGATATTTTGTTGATATGCCAATAGCTTTCTTTTTAAATATTGACCTACTTCATACAATTAGTCTTTGAAAATGTCAGTTTTGATATTGATTTCATATAGACCAGTGAACTAGAGTGGTAGGCTATCATTAGCATGTTCTTTGTTTCACTGTCTCGTGTTTCAGCTGCTTTCTGTGTAGCTGCTAATCACATGGGCAACAGCTGCACTTCCACTGTTACGTTTATTGGAAAAAGTCTGATTTGTTGCGTGTAATGAGTTGCTCTACCTCTTCTTTTTCTACATGTTTCCCAGTGAATTTTAATTCTCCTTTTTGTCGGTGAAGGTACATGTAAATTTTAGACATTTAGTTTAGACATTTTGACCTTTACTCAGAGAAAGATGGGAGTTGCTCCAAGAAAACCTTTTCATTTTTATTTAGGAAATACATGAGTGTGTTCTCCTCCCTCACTCTTTTTAGATCTCAAGACACACCTTCTCTCCAGGTGTAGATCTCAGCCGTCCTCTCTGCCTCCTCATTACGTCGCCACTCACTCTGCTGTCTTCTTCTGTGTCTCTCTGTGGTTTCAGCCTAAGATGCCCTAGGCGGGAGAAAGAAATGTAAATGGCTTCCAAAGTAAAAGATGCTGTTGTTTGGTACCAGAAAAAGGTAAGTCGTTTTGTTGTTTCAGACATTCTTTCTAATTTGAAAATTATTTTTTGTAAGATTTGTAATAAGTCTGCAGAGACAGCATGGCAGATATTCAGATTTAAAGCACGAGGCAGAGAAAATGTGCTCTTAAAATCAAGTTTGCTTCAAAAATGTGCAGAACATTTGATCTTTTTCTCAAAGCTGTGGTATCTTATTGCTGAACTATGTTAGCTGGACAAAATACACTTTATTTTTGACCACAAGCAATAAAGTATACCACTGTTGAAGTTAGACAAAAACATTTTCGTAGAGATGGGTTGCTGCTGACTTTCCTGTCCCTTTTCCATCTGCACACATGCGGAAAGCCAAATCGTTTCGGGTCGTCCGGCTCAGAGTGTGCCAGGCTGGTGTTGTATGTCCTCTTCTTCCATGGTCTCGGATATCTGATCTTCTGCTGGACTCCTGCACCGTTCCTCCTGCATTCATCAGCTTACACTCTCATCTGCATTTCTTGTCATTCCAGCCTCATCTATCTCTTCTTTGCTCGGCTTGGTTTTACTCTGAAACCTCTGCCTGCGTCTTCCGTCCTTTCTCCTCTCTGAGGTCCCGTTTGTATTTTAAACCATCCAAAACAAAACATAACTCTCGAGTTTAAGACTTTAATTACAAGTTTATATGCACCGTTTTCTCTAATACAGCTTTCTCCAACTGCATTTTTGCTTAAGTTTAATTTGTCTTGATATAATTACAGTGAGAATTTAATTTAGATGAGAAATCCTAAATTATATTACATAATATAACATGTAATCTAGCTGATACTGTAACTCTCAGTGGATCTTGTTACGTGAGTTTCGTGTCAAACTAAGCTTGCCTGGGTAGAAGCATCACCCGGGACGACAGCCACTGAGTCAGAGTGAATGAACATTTTTAAGAAAAAGTAACACCTGTTGTCAGGGTGTTTATTTCCTAGATGTGTCACTCAGTTGCTTGTCATCTTCCCCACCTTGAACACCTGAATAAAATGCAAACAAAAGTAATGTTTGTGGATCAAGGTAAGGCGTCGTAAAGTTAGCTGTGATCAGCATGCTGTTGGCAGGTGCTGGAAAGCAAAGACTGACATTCAGTTTGCTGGGTTGGCCATGCAGAGAAACAGGATACATGAAGAGCTGAAGCCATGCCAGATTAATTTTTAAAAAAAACTTCCTTTAGGAAATTCTCATGCTTGCATAGCCCTAGGGCTATGCAAGCCTCAACAGGTGGGAAAAGTTTTAAGAAAAAAATCACAAGAGAGAGGGAAGTAGTTCAATTATTCCTGCTTTGCTTTGACAACTGTCTACATCTACATCACACCTACATGTCTGTAGATGTGATGGAAATTCAGTGCAGTTAAAAAAAACCCAAAAAAAACAGGCGACTTAAACCCCAAACTTTGACAAATAATCAGTAAAGTAGGTGTTTGAATTAGCTAATCGACCACAAAGATCACTTAATAATAATTGCAAACTACACATCAAGACTAAAAAACAAATATTCTGTTTTTTGAGCGTTTATTGGTGTTGAATCCTGAAACATGTCGTGGCGTTGCTATCAGTTGCTTCAACAGGTTTTTTTTTGCATTGTTTCATTTTTTGTGGTGCAGGATTAGTTCAGGTTTCATTAGTTGAGTGAAACCTGGTTCTGGTGCAGCAGTGCAGCTATAGATGGCGTGTAAAAGAGTAGTATTTTTGCCCTCCAGAATTGTGCACATGTGCAAAATTTCCAAATGTAAACAATAACATGTCAGGGGTCCATTAGGTGGAGATGGAGAAGCTTGGTTTGAGATATTTGGTGAGGGATTTTTGCTTTGTCAGCCAACATTAAGACAAAGAACATTGGCAAAATATTTTGAATGAGTCATAAATCAAATTCATGACGTTTTCTGCAGGAAACCTCTGAGCACTAACTCTTTTTTGCAAATAAATTGTTTTTCAAAGGGGGGAAATATTTTTGCTTTATTTTCAAACTCCCTTTGACTCCATGATGGTTGGCTATTTGTATTTTTGTTTGTGAAATAACATGGCATAACATTAAGGTTTAATCATAGTGTTTGCTTTTATTGCATAAATCTAGTCAGCAGTCTGGCTGCGCTAATCTGTCCTACTCAGACATCTTTTGCCCGCACATGTGGAAAATACAGGAGGTATGTTCTGCGGCACCTGTACACACACCTACTCAGAACAATTGAGGCAATGTAGCTCAGTGAATCATCCTGCAGAGCCTGAATAACTGCTGAATTATTTAATTGAGCTCCTTTTAAACAAACTTCTGTCACATAAGTATCAAGTTATCTGTATTTTCCATTAGTTAGGTGTGTAAATTGGAAGATCCATAGCCTGGCATGTTGAACTGGGCTATACAGACTACTCAGACTTATACCTTGGTCAATAATCTTAATAGTTCATTTCATATTTCAGACTGATTCTGTCATCTGCAGCCTCTGTGTGCGCCACAGGTGATGAGTCACAATGTATTCCTGACTCTGTCTGGACGCTTGCTGCAAATAGACTTGAATCGTTGCTATGTTGAAAGCAGTTTTTCTTAGGCTACAGACTTAGATCACAGTGATGGGTCATGCACTCTGAGTCTGCTGGGTGCCAGATAGCAATATGTCTGTGCAGCCAAGCAGTGAAGCCTTTTCTCAGTTTATTTTGGAGATGAATTATCATAATTGTGAGCGTTTTGATTGGTAGTATGTCTTTAATTTCCACAATTACTATCGAAATATTCTGCTTGTCTGAAGAATTTAAAGACTGAGGAGTGAAGTGAAGCCAAACAGCTTTGGTTTTCAGTCTGTGGGTGAGAGTTGTGAATGTTAATGGATTTACATAAATCCAAAGTGTTGGTGTGAAGATTCTCTCTGGATTCAGTGGGATGTTTGTGGAGGATGTTTAAATTTAGACCAGAGAGGAACTTTTACAAATCAAGTATCAAGCTTTCAGTCGTGGGTTCTGCTGAATTACACAAACACAGAGAGCCAATTCTTGACTGCTTTTAACTCCTCCACCAATAAAATATCCTTAAATGTACAAGTGAAAATAAATGACACCAAAAATTTGAAAATCATGTCAGATGTGGTTTACTCTTTGTACTTCAGCTTCTCTTCATCCTTCCTGTTTTATGATTTCTCAGGAAATCATTAAACCGGGAAAACAGAAACAAAACTATGATGCTGTTGTTTTCCGTTTACATGTTTTGTCTATAAAACAACTTTAGGAGTCAAATTTCTTCCGTTTTAAAATGGAAATTAGTTTTTAGAGTTTAATAATAAAAACAATTTGTTTGTGTAATTATATTTAATCACTTTATGATTAATTTTAGCTCTAAACACAACAATTAAAACACTAATTTCTTTGACATGAGAAGTATATTCAGCAAAAGGCATTTATAATCTAATATCATTGCATTTTATTAGTGTGAAATTTCCACATGCTCCCACAGCATGTGACCACACCTTAACACACACATGGAAATATGAATAAATGGGTGACTGATTGACAATAGGAGGTATTAAGACTGAAAGGAAGCAGGAAGAAGAGGTCATCCACATGGCACTGAAGCGTTTGTTATTCATGATGGGAATGTTGATTTGGGCCTTTTATATTTGTTATGATTCATTCAGCTGCAAAAAAAAAAAAAAACAGTTGGGTAAAACTTATTGTTTGTTTTACTTTCCATATAAGTGCAAGGAATGTTTTCTTTTTCCTTATATCCAAGCAATATGAGATATTGTTTAATTTGAGTGTACAAGACTGAGAATTGAACAGTTTTTTTTAAAAACAGCTCACAATTTATTTATGTATGTCGCAACGAAACAGATGTTGACTAAAGTGCTGGACAGTTCAAGTAAATACAGCAAAATATGTTTGTATTTACAGTGTTTTAACTGAGAGGTGCATAAAAGATCAGAACTACTGTTTTTTTTTTGTACTTTTTTATATTGTATGTCATGATTTACTTTTTGATTTAATTAACTTGGGTAGGGACACTTGGATGCACAAACATGGACAATTTCTGTAGATTTCAAAACCACAATAACAGACAAACATTTTTTCTAAAATTAGTTACAGTCTTTAGAAAAGAAAAGAAGTGAATCAAAGTGAAAATGATGCATGTCTGCGCTGGAAAAAAATGCACGTTCGTGATTATTCTACCTGATGCTCGATTGTTCTTGTCCACAAAATAAACTCATTAGACCTCGGTGATCGGCTCGTTTTAAACACAGCTGGCAATTTTGCTTGATGTTTTCTGTTTGTCGTCGAAGAGCTTATTTTTCAGTAAACCTGTTCCTGCGCACCTCAGAGACAGCTGTTATGCAACTCTCTCTCTCTGCCCTCCAACTGGTGTCATAAAGCCACCAGCCGTGCTGCAGCAGCGCCGCTCTCCGCCTGGTCGTCTTTCTTTCACTTTCAGCAGATGTTTTGCCTCTCAAATCACTGAAGCCTGGGATTTATCTTCTTTGGACCTACACCAATCCTTTGTTTGACTTGATCAGGGCTAAAATATTCAGCTTCCTCTTAAGCTGCTGTTTATATAGAGATGCTGTCTCTGGCAGCAAAGGGCTCCTTTATTTTGAGAGGAGCTGAAAGTGATGCAGGGATGTGTGTGTGAGGATAAGAGGATTTACTTTAGTTCTCAGTTACCTCATGACTTTATGATGAAATGACACATTAGGTTGTTTTTTTTTTTACTGTCCTCAGCAAAGCCCCTCCTTCATATGCATACTCTGTAGTCTGGTCAAGTTTGCCCTCTATCTGTCCTCTACTTCCACACACAACATACTCCATATTCTCTGCTCATCTCACATTGTGTACTTATGTATCTAGATTTTATCATTAAGAGAATATATCTGTAGATTTAAAGTGCACTGTTGGGGTGTGATTCTCTAGCGTTTCTGGAGAATTGCTTTGTTTGATGCAGTGGTTTGGCATCGTGTCAATAACCTGCAGACCTGGCTGTCGATTGTCTCACGTCGGATTGGCTGAGTCGAGCGTCATGAAAATCATCAGGTAGAACCTTAAACAGGAAAATCCAGTAGCAACATCCAGGATGTGATGAACGCACAGAGCTGCCGGTAGCCTTCCACTTACAGTGTGTGAGATCTGGGAGTGGAGCTGGTTATGCGACAGAGTTTTCATGCTGAGTGGAAACAGTGAATGTTGAATCATTAATGGATATGGGCTGAGCAAACTATTGCAGACAATTTCCGACTCAGATCTAAGCACAACAGGGTTTTACTAATTTAAAACAGACAAAACTAATTTATTTTAAACTGTCTTCAGTATTAAACTCCAATCCAATAGAGGAACTTTGCTGCACTCTTTTCATTCAGCCTTCCTGTTATCTGCTGAAGTCTTGCTCTCACATTTTGAATGAATTGATGTGAATCAATATTTCATCAGAAATGTAGTTTGCTTGTAATTAACAAGGCTGCTAGATGGAAACACGCAATTTGTGATACTGGTTTGATTTATTAAAAAAAAGTGTGACATTTTTCTGCTTTTCGGTCATAACAAATATAGATGCTGAATAATGAGTGGCATCTCCAACTATTTGAAGAAGGAAATGAGAGTCTGATTATTTATAATTTGTGGCCAATCACAATGTTTTGCAGAGAGGTGGAGGTTCAGACTGCGGTCAAGCAGCTGGTTAATTAATACCTCTTAAAGCTGCAGTTTTCCTTTGACCACCAAAGATTCAAAGTACAAAAAAAAGAGTAACGAGTAAATAGCTGTTTGGTGTTTTTTTTTTTTTTTTGTGACGTTAAGTCACATTTTTTGGTTTCTTTTTTTTTTTAAATTTTGTGATAAGTTGACACCTGATTTACTCATATTCACACATGATCACATTTGGTTTTAACCTATTGTAGTTTCAGTAGAGTCATCTGCTTACAGGGAAAACAAATTGATATATTTATAACATTTTAAGAATTTTCCAGAAAGCTAAAGATCAAAACCATCCAGGCTACTAGTTCAGCTGAACAATATATAAATTACTGGAGATTAGTTATTGCTTAAAATTAGCATGCACACATCTTTCACTGCTGCCTGCATTCCTTAAATCATCTTGCAGTGCAACAATCCCACATTAGAGGAACTTTCTTTCCTCTCCTTCTGTTTCTTCGTGTTCTTGTCCTTGACCCCTCTCTCTTCTTTCCATCAATCTTTAATGAAGACTCATTAATGATGCAGACTTTCCACTGGCGAGCTCAAAGCTTGACCCAGACTCCATGAATGGGTGACAAGCTCATTCGCATGAGTGCAGCGATCTGCTTAGGTGGTGTCATCCTACATCTCACATTTTATACCAAATTGGTAACCATTCCCTTTTTGTCATGAATCCCTGAATCAGGGGACATTTCTTTTTCTTTTTTTTGCTGAACAAATTGAAATGTGTTGTACGTTGACAATGTTGTTGTTTGGATGGTTAACACAGAGAGCGCGTTCTTCCTTGTGACTCACAGAGTTGCCTATCTTTGCAGATTGGAGCCTATGACCAGCAGATTTGGGAGAAATCGGTGGAGCAAAGAGAAATAAAGGTCTGTTGCTTTTATATTTAATTATCTCACTCTTTATTTCCAGCTCATCTTCTGTCTTTCTTTGCCTTTTCTCAGTCTCCACTCATTTGTCTGCTTTTATTTCTCCGCTCTCTGACTCTCACTCCTTTGACTCCATGTCGCTGCACCATCAGTTCTTTTCCGGTGCTTTTCTTTTAACTCTTTCCTCTCTCGCCATTTCCTCCTCCGTCCATCCTCCCCTCCTCCTCTCTGCAGTTTATTTCTCTGGTGAGTACGCAGCAGGGCGCCCCACTGTGCATGTCCTCTCACCCTCGCAATAGAGCTTTAGAATGTGGTTGGTTTGACGTCAGCTGCAGTGTTGCACACTAACCCATCCTGCGTTCAGATTGATGAATTAAAAATGGCTGCAGGAAGGTTAACATGCAGCCGTTGTTGTCTGGGTGGGATCACAGCATGATGAGTCATGGAGTCAGAGCGGCATCAATTGAAGTTATTTTTATTTTTTTTCTTTAAATGCCACAGACGACTGAAATGAAATAAAATGTTTTAGGATCGCACATTTCCTGTGTTCCGGTCATTTTAATTTACACACAAGAAAAATCTTACTCTTCATTTTCTTGAATTGGTTTGTGTCAGCCGAGCAAAGTTTAACGATAGTCAAACAGCACAGAGGACAGGTCAAAGGTTACAGAGGAGAAGTGGAACGAATGATTTACCAGAATAGTGAGGTTTGAAATTATTCTATCTGTTAATTTAAAAGCAGCACATTTCATTTGTGCTGAAAATATTATTCTCTTTAATAACAGGAATAATGCTGTGTGTTTGTGTAATTAAAACTGTGTTATAGCGGAGGATCGTACGATGGTGTCAAGTTAAAGGCCTAAACTGCAGAGTAATAAGGGAAAGGTGTGTGTGTGTGTGTGTGTGTGTGTGTGTGTGTGTGTGTGTGTGTGTGTGTGTGTGTGTGTGTGTGTGTGTGTGTGTGTGTGTTGTGCACGAAAGTTCATCTTGTTGCTGGGAATCAGCCCCTCCTATGGTGCCTTGCTAAATTATTTAATCACATTCCAACCACACACTTCATTGTGTTTTATCAGGATCAAGTGCTACATTATTGGCTATTGAAACAATGATAGATGGGTTTCAACATTTTGACCTATAAAAATCTGAAAAGTGTGGCATGCTTTTCTATGCAGCCCCCCCCCCATTTCAAACAGCTGCTAGCCATCTGGGATGTGAATCGGTTTGATTCAGATCAGGAGTTTAACTCGTCATTGTCCTGCTGGAGCGTTTTTCGTCCAGAATTGATCTCCAACTCCGACCTGCTTTGCCGCAGCTTCATGCTGCCAGCACCGTGTTTCACCATGGTGTTTGTGCTGTAATGTGCAGTAGCAGTTTTCCTCCACACTTTGGTCTCTTCTGATCTTCTAACAGATCAGGTTTTTGGAGACGCAACTAAAAGCTTTCTCAACACATTTCTCTAAATTCATTTCAGTTCGAAAATACTTGAATACGGCCATATTTTTCTGGCTGGTTTACTAATGATATGTCTTTGAAAGGTGATTTATTGTACAGAATTTTAGAGGTGTTTCAGTGAAGAATGTTGTACATGTGCTCTTTTATTAGATTTTCATTTAATTTAATAATTATGTCCTGCTTTGTGGTCATTTGTTGCATAAAATCCCAGTAAAATTCACAGAAGTGTGTGGATGTAATGCTAGGAAGTATGAAAACATCTGCAAGGTGCTGTAGGTCTGTTGCGTAACTGTGGTGCTGCAGGACCGTATTCAGAATGAAATCGTTTTGTGGCGATAGTGAACCGTTGCACCATCTTCTCTAAAACACAAAGACCTGAAGAGCCTCTCACAGGATTGAGTTTGACCTTGGCTCGGCTCTCTCAAACATTTGACGAAGTCTGCAGCTGGCAGACTTTGTCACTCCTGCACCAGCGTTGTCTCCTTTTCACCCTTACCAAGGGGCAATTAAGCTGTTTACAGGGTAATAAAAACTCATAAATCTAGAGAAGTTGTTTGATGTAACTTTACTGTGGCTCTATTTTTAGCACAATACATCTTCCGTTATTGTTACTGCAGTTTTCAAGCTATCAAACATTGACAAATGTTTAAAAATAAGACAATATGTGAAGAGTTCCACTGTTAGTTTTAGAGGTGTTTCAGTGAAGAATGTTGTACATGTTGTACATGTGCTCTTTTGGTTATTTATTAAAATAAAATAAATAAAATAAATAAGATGTTTAAAAAGTAAATAAGTAAATAAATAAGATGTTTAAAAAGTAAATGGCAGAATAGTTGATGCTTTAGAGCCCTTTAATTTGTGATGTAAATGCCAAAAAACTCCTTATTTCACTTACAGCTATTATTGTTTGAAGAGAAAACATTTTATGATTTACACTTTTCTCACGGTTCAACCCAAAAGCCTCCTGCTGGCAAAATCAAAAATTACATTTTATTTTAATAAATTTCAGCAAATAAAGCTAATAGCAATTTTTATTAGTAAATGTAGAGTATTAGATTATTAATGACACAGAAAACTGATATTCCTGAGTTAATCAGTGTGGGAACATTTGCTTAAGGCTTTAAATAGCGCAGAGCAGCAGGTTTTATCAAGCACTACGTTGCAGTAAATCTAACTGGAAGTTGTTGATCAGCTCCTGCCAGCTTTACACCCTCATTACTTTCTGCAAACAGTGATTTAGCTTGTTGAGTGAGCTGTTTTTAGATAAAGAGACCATTATCTCTTTGGTGACTGATAACAGGACGCGATAAGTTTGTGCAAATGTTAGCCTGACCCTAACCACTTTTTTTTTCAATTATAAAAATTGATCCAGGGTGTGAGCCAAAAATAAATGTACGGTGTCATGATTAAAAAAAATGTTTTCAGTTAGTTTTTTCTTGATATTTAAATGTTTCAGATCATCAAACTAATTAAATGTCAGATTAAGACAACTTGTGTAAACAGAAAATACAATTTTCCATATCCGCTTCTAAATCACTCCCAAAATAAAAAAGAAAGAAAAGTTTTGGAAACGCCTTGTCAAAGTTTGCACTTAAATCCAATTAAATCCAACTTAGACACTGTGGCAAAATTTAAAAACTATTAATGCTGTTAATTAATAAAGTTCTGCAAACTAGAGCAAGAAAGAATTCATTGCTAGTCAGAATAAACACTTGATTCAAAGTTAGCTAAGTTGAATATCCCCCCCCCCATTTTTATGTATAAAATAATAAAAAACATTCAGACATGAATACAAAAGCATGCATACTAGACTTTAAAGAGTATATTCAAATTCTATAATATGTAAAGCTGCAGCCCAGCTTTTCATTGAATCTGTGTGTAAACACTCTAACCAACTTGCTGCATCACAAGAGGAAGTGACACACTGGTGCAGGAAGTCGAGAACGGGGGAGGTGTATTCCCAAGGCCCTGTCCAGCTCTACAGCTGGCACACACACTGACAACTCGCTTTTAACGACTGAGACCTTCAGGAGCCATAAAAGCTGCTGAGTAGAGCCGGTAGCTGCTGAATGTATTGAAAAACCCTCTAGAAGTGACTAGATAAAGGTTAGAACCTGTTCTTGATTCCACCAGTGAACACCTCAGTTTAAAGAGTTTGATTTCCATGTATGTGAGGCTTCAACAGTGTCTCTGTCTCCCCCCTGCAGGGCTTGAGGAACAAGCCAAAGAAGACTGGACATCTCAAACCAGATCTGATAGATGTGGATTTAGTCAGAGGTGACGACCGAAACTGGAAACACACGGTCACACACTTCTGTGCTTTGCTGAAAGACAATGAGCTGAAACCCGTTTGGTTCTCAGGTTCAGCGTTTGCCAAGGCCAAGCCAGAGAGTCCGTGGACGTCCCTGACCAGGAAGGGCATCGTCAGAGTCGTCTTCTTCCCGTTCTTCTACCGATGGTGGATTCAGGTCACCTCCAAAGGCATTTTCCTTCTCCTGTTGGCTCTGTATCTGCTGCAAGGTAGGACTGACCTCATTTCTCTCCAACATACTAAATTGAGACCAATAGTGTAAATTGTGCAGGACTCAACAAATGTCTGCAGATGCCTGTGAGTACTGTTCAAATTTAGGACCCAAAGTTAATGAAAGATATCAGCAAAACTCCTCTGTGCTGGGGTTGAAGAGGGCACATTACCTGACCTAAACACGATCCCACCACCACGGTGTGAAGCACGGTGGTTCAGGCGTCATGGTGCGGGACCGTTTCTCACTCTGACCTCTGATCTCATTCTACATGTCACAGAGCAGCGTAACTACATTGCAATACTTGACCATGACACCTCATGCAGAAGAGAAAATGTCCTTAAATGGATGCTTCAACAGGGCAATGACAAGCAGAATAAACGGTGGAGAGAATCCAGCCTGATCACCTTCACTCAATTAAAATCCTTTTTGAGGTAAAACAGAGTACAGCAGAGGAACTGGAGAGTGTAGTCTGATCATCTGGGATGAGAATATCTGCTTCCAGCAGCCAGACATTGGTCAACCTTTGCTTGAGTAGAATATGCTGCACTTCACTTCTTTTTTTTAAAACACTCTGCTGATGTTTTGAACATAGACTTAGTTCCTAAGTCAGGTTTACACACTGTTTTAGTCTCCATCCAGCTATTAACGATCACCAACCCAACACACCAACATGTCACAGAGCAGACATGTTGGTCTGCTCTCGTTTGGTTTCCACCAAACGAGGCTAGACAAAGTACAGTGTTGCTTTTTATTGTTTCCCCCCAAACATTATGCATTATGTGACAACAAACTTTACAGAGTGATCAGCTGCCAGTATGTTTCTTTTCTTTAATGACCAGTACCATCAACTCTTCCTGCAGGATTTTATTTGCAAGTGTCTGATCGGTCAGATGCTGATTTAAAAATGTTCCTACATGTTTTCTCATATAGAAAAATCCCCCAAAAGGAAAGAAAGACACAAAGAAGGAAGGAAAGGATGAGTGGAGTTAGAAAGGAAGGATGCAAAGGATGATGGGACAGGAAGGGAAGTAGGATAAAAGGGCGTAAAGGAGGCCGGACAAGGGGATAAAAGTAACAAATCAAAGAAGAATGAAGATGGGGAAGGGAACACATCTGAAAAAATGAATATTTTCCTTGCTTATCCAGACATTGAAAACAATAAAACTAAATTTCATACTTCAGAAGTGTGTTTATAACCCTTCTTGACTTTAGAGTCAAGAAGGGTTTAGTTTTTCTGCAATAATACCGCAGAAAAACTAATATCTATGAACAGTTGGATGGTCTTGTGCTGGCCTGATGGAGATCATTGTGACCGAAGAAGGAACTGAACCAGACTAATCGTTGTTTGTTCCTGGTTTTCCTCAGTGGCAGCAGCCGCCCTGTATGTGTCCATCTCTCAGCCTCATGGGATCCCAGCCACAGAGGTGTTCGGAGCCATCTGGCTCATGCTGCTGCTGGGAACCGTCCACTGTCAGATCGTCTCCACCAGGACCCCCAAGCCCTCCTCCAGCAGCGGGGGGAAGAGACGCAGGTGAGCTGCTGTAGGAATGGGGTGACAGAAAGGATTTTAAGAGAAATAACAAGAAGAAAATGACAAAAATTTTTCCCAGCTGATTAAATAATCTGCTGTAAGTCATATCTCATTTATTAGTAAAGTGATGTAGGGACATCTGTGTCTGATAAAGAGGTTAAAAACATGAATCTTGATTTGTAGTGGTGTGCTTGTTTGCTGTGTTTGGAGTGTTTCCAGTTTGTTGGCTTCATGCTCTCTAGCATGCAGCTGCCAGTTTTCCGACCCCAGAAGAAAACTAATCCTGTTTTAGAAAGGGATAAAACATCTATCTGTCTTTCTTCAGCAGTTTTTATTCACTTGAAGGACGGCCAGAGGGGATCAGAGCAGAGTAGAATGAGATTTAAAGCCAGTTTCATTTCAGTTCATTACTACAAATACATCTCAATAAATCAGAATGTCATTGAAAAGTTGATTTTAGTACATTTTGAAATATTCGAACTGCTAATTCAGCTGATTATAGTCTTTAGCTGAAATAAAATCCAAACTTTGGTTTCCTGAGTAATGAGAGCATAAGACCAATTTGTAGCTCATGTTTGCAAAATCAGTGACTTGGGCCACAATTCATGCCTCGCAAATCTCCTCCAAATATCAAAATGTCTTCACAATCCTCTCAAGGCTGCAATTTTTACTTTTGGGAGCTAAACCTTTTCCACTATAGTTCTTCCTTCCACTCAACTTCCCATCAACATGCTGTGAAATCATTCTTTACGGCCTACCATCCTTGAGGATGTTGATGATTTTATGCACTTTTTGAGCTGCTTAACCTTAGATTTTTGTTGGCTACAAAACCAGCAGAAATGGTACTGTTATTTAAATGAGTTTAACTCTTCAGTGATATCTTTATTTACTGATATGTTACTTTTAACACGTCACTGTGACATCCAGTATGAACCTTCAAGCAGAGACTCTGTATAACAGTAAATCACACTTTTCCTTTTCTCCTATCGGTGATCATAACATAATTATCTTGACTTTAAAATGAGAAAATCAGATTTTTAGATCTGTTCAACATTTTCTTTGACCCGAGTGGCTTTTTTGGAATAATTTGTTGAAAGGGTTAATTCTGTAACAGTGGAGAAAATAAGCATTTCAAATTTCATCTATCCACTTTTATGATGCCTTGTTTTAATATCTACTTTTGCAGATGTGAAGGTCTATTTTAATGATTTAAATCTTGTCTCAGCCTTTTTCTGAAGACTTTCCCATCTCTGGCCTCTTGATTTTTCTCTAAGTCTCTTCTTTAATCTCCGTTTTTTCCAAACTGAAGGAAGTTGAGGAAGGCATCTCAGATGGAGGTGCATAGGGAAGGAGACGGGTCTAGCACTACCGATAACACACAGGAGGGGGCGCCACACTCTCATTCAGCCAGCACCACATACAGCCTGGGCGCTTTCTTCCAAGATTTCTGGCATGATATCTGTAAAGCTGGGTGTGTATTTTCATTCTCCTGGTTTCTGTGATGAGACGATGCAAAGAGATGAGGCTGCGCTTTGGAAAAAGGAATAAAAAAAATATCTGGTTTATTTATTCACACAAAATGCAGTTTATCAAAATGTGAAATTTGGCAGTAAAGTTTAAACGGAATAAGAGCCAGCCTCGCCTCAGACTTTGCTGTGCTTCTTTAGCTGCAACATCCTTTACTGTCACCTTCTGAGAAATGAAGTTGCTCTAAAACCAAAGTTTCTGTTGATTTCTTGCAGCACCAAATCAGTTGTTTTGTTGAGCAGTTGAAGGATTTTGCAGCTAATTTTGTTGCGATTAATCTGCTGATGAAGGTTGTGTTTAAATGAAGTGTCCTTCCTCCCTTCCATGTTTTTCCTCTAATAAGATTTCAATCTTGGGTTATTTTGTGCATCAGTGTCATTTCATCCAGTGAAAAGAAACTTGAACATCTCACTTGATTTTCTTATTAAAGGGCATGTAACAATTTTTTTTAAATGCAAAAAATTGTAAGAAACATCAGCTCAATGCGTTTATTTCAGCTTCCTAAGCGCTTGAATATTTTAGAAAGACAGTACAGTAAAGATTCTGGAAATAGAGGCTACAATAATGTAAAAGTCAAAACATCCTGTCATGTGACTCGGTCTCAGTAAGTTTATAAACAACTTTTTCAGAAGAAACATGTTTTATACTAAAACAATGGTGGATGGAAGACAAATTCACTCTTCTGTCCTTCACTTGGCTCAGGCACAAAGGAAAATGAGAGCCTTTTCTTACCTAATGAATTTTTATGCTTACTTAGTAGTCAGTATCTTAGATAGTAGTATCTTTACCATAAAATCTCATCTCTCTGTTCCTACGCTGGAATCTGAAATATTTACTTTATAATCCGATGGTAAAATTGTTTTTTGAACCAATTAATCCTCCAGTGATTACAGTGTGAAATTTCCAGTTTGTACTGTTGCAAATGCCAACACATCTGGTTTAGTAAGCATGACTCCAGATGGGAAAAAATTATTTTGTGTTTTAGCATGTTTGGCTGTAAAAGGATATATGCCCCTTAATAATTCTCTTACCTGTTCACCCATTCCTAAAACCAATATTCAACAAGTTTGCTATAATTTATTTTGCCTGCAGTAATTCCATATTTGCAGTATGTGGATTCACCTCCAGTTCAGTATATAACACATGACCCTCTGTATTATTAATGTTGTGTTTGATGCGTCCTATAAAGACCGAATGTCTCTGGTCACTCGCCTCCTTTCCTCTGTAGATCTAAGAAGTCCAAGTTGTCCATCGATAAATCGACAGAGACAGATAACGGCTACGTGTCTCTGGACGGTCGGGTGACCAACCGCAGCAGCGAGGAGGGGCTTCAGCTCCCAGAGCAGAGATGTGACCCACTGACCCGGCCAGACGAGGCGTGCTGGACCCCTCACATCCAGCCCTCAAACTCTCACGCGGCTCACAGCTCAGGGCTGCTCCTGCCAGGCGGCAATAAGGTAATGACTCAGAAATTCACTCGACTTCATTAGTTTTACAAAGAAATCAGGGAACATTTCTCACTCCTTTATTTGGCTTTCAAGGAGCCTGCATCGGATGAAGCTTCTAGCGAGGAGGATCCTGAAGCGTCCTACAGCGCCCTCCGCAGGGCGTCCGAGAGAAAGAACAGCGACTGTACACTCAGAAACCGCAAAAACACACATCTTTACAAGAAACACTACGCTGTGGAGGTAAGCCACGCGGTCTGACGAAAAGAAAAACCACGTGAAATCGGCTTCTTAAAAATCACAACCTTTGGTTTTCGTCTTTCAGGATGTTCCCAAATCCGGCACCAGCTGCAGCTCCAGATGTTCCAGCATGAGAACCCAGGACTCTGAGAGCACTCGGCATGAGTCGGAGACAGAGGACCTGATGTGGGAGGACTTCCTGCACTGTGCAGAATGCAGGTCGTCCTGCACCTCAGAGACAGGTGGGACGGTTTAAACATTCAGGGAAACTGGGCTCCAGCATGATGGTTTATACTGCGATTGTTGTTTCTGCAGAGGGAGAAGGAGGAGGAACATCTGTATGTCCTCCATCTAAGAAGGAATACAGAGACGACCCTTTCCATCAGGTATGAACGCATATAGTCCAGATATTTACAGCTGGACTTGTGCCTCTATTCTGATATCTTTTAAGAATTTGGCATTTTAACTCTTATTTTGGAGGATCTGAAGGTCAGTGTAGTAGAAATCTGGTCTGTTATTTTTTTTTTTCAGATACTGAGGATTTTTATATTTAATTTATACTCTTTTTACAATCTGTGTTCTTTCTTCAACATGTATGATCCTTTATATTGTTTACACTCAATACAACATAAACTTTAAGTTGGTCAGGACTCTGTTTATTCTGGTGTATTTTTTCCTTCCACTCAACTTTTTACATATATGCTTCTATGTAACTCTTTAAACAGCCAACAATGAGCTGGAGGATGCCTGCTGCATGAGTCAGTGTTTATTTTGTAGGCCACAATAAAACATTGTGTATTGAGTGTTTATGTTTTTTCTTGGTGATATTTACATTTTCTGAGTTTTGTGTTAAATAGTCATCGGTTGTTGTTTTTGCTGCAGAGTCATATTCCCTGGCTGCACAGCTCCAACCCCGGCCTGGAGAGGGTGAGCGCCATCGTTTGGGAGGGAAACGAGTGCAAGAAGGCCGACATGTCCGTCCTGGAGATCAGTGGAATGATCATGAACAGAGTGAGAACCATCTGAGTATCTGTGGAAGGAAATGAACACCTCACTGAGTCGACCGCGCTGACATTGCTCTCTGTGTTCAGGTGAACCTTTACTCTCCTGGTATTGGCTACCAGGTCTTTGGGAACCTGGTCTCAGTCACACTTGGACTCACACCGTTTGTCTACAGGTACAGCAAACTCCAACGTTCCTAAAATCCTTTCATGCTGGAAACTTTTCCTGATGTCCACATTTCCTCCCTCCACAGGTTGATCCAATACTGTGACCTGGATCAGTTCACCACGCGTTCAGCCAATGAGATACTCTCTGTTGTCTTGGGGGGAGGCTCTGAGTCTGATGCCTTGGTCATCACCATGGTAACACTCAGCTTCCTGGTGCGCGTTTGCCTTATATGGCTCTTCTTCTTCCTGCTCAGCGTAGCAGAGCGGACCTACAAACAGGTAAGAGAATGAAGTCCTGAATCATTTGCGATGAAAGTTATTCAGGTGTTTGCAGCTCCTCTGATCTCTGGATTTCAGAGGCTGCTGTTCGCCAAACTGTTTGGTCACCTGACGTCGGCCCGCAGAGCCAGGAAGTCTGAAGTCCCGCATTTCAGACTGAAGAAAGTTCAGAACATTAAGATGTGGCTGTCGCTGCGCTCCTACCTCAAGGTACACGGCTAATAACACATATTCACCATCTGACGGAGGTTTTATTGGAAGACATGACGCAAATCTGAATGAATTTGCAGAGACGAGGTCCCCAGCGCTCAGTGGACGTCATTGTGTCCTCTGCCTTCCTTCTCACTCTGTCAGTAGTCTTCATCTGCTGTGCCCAGGTGAGAAAATTAGACACTTTCTGAAGCCCTGGTCAACAGTCTAAACTCAAGTTGAAAAACATAACCTTTAACCTTTAAAGTGTCAGTTTTTTTTCTTGGCAGATAGGAGGAGATAAACTTGAGTTATAGAACAGGAACCCAGTTGCAGTAACAATGTCTTCAAGTTTGTCTTCTGCTCAACCGATCTGCCTCCGTCTTCCTTCAGCTTCTCCACGTCCATGAAACGTTCCTGGAGTACCACTATAACTGGGAGCTGGTGATCTGGTGCACCAGTTTGTCTCTGTTCCTGCTCAGGTTTGTCACTCTGGGCTCAGAAACCAGCAAGAAGTACAGCAACACCTCCATCCTGCTCACTGAACAGGTACAATGCAGACTGCAGACGCAGCAGAGGGTTTTGTTCCCACAGTCGCACCGACCTGTTCCGTCTCTCGCAGATCAACCTCTATCTAAAGATGGAGAAGAAGCCGAACAAGAAGGAGGAGCTGACGCTGGTCAATAATGTTCTGAAACTGGCTACCAAGCTACTTAAGGTATCAACTCTCAGCCTCATAACTCACCTTAGATCCAGACGGTTTGGATTTCTTACTCTGCTGTCTGATCTTTCTCTCCGTCCAGGAGCTGGACACTCCGTTCAGGTTGTACGGTTTGACCATGAACCCTCTGCTCTACAACATCACCCAGGTCGTCATCCTGTCTGCTGTGTCAGGAGTCATTTCTGACTTACTAGGATTTAATCTCAAGGTAACGCCTCAATTAAGTCGTAGCTGTAGAGTATTATTAATAATTTGACATTTTTTTCTCTGCATTCTACTAAAAGTTATTTCACCAAAGATTAATGCATAAATCTGAACCTGAATTATTTTTATATTTTGCATTATTAGTCAATGCCGGAACAGTAAATGTTCAGATGTATTGAAACATTCTAATTATGAATATGCAAGTTTCTGATAAAAAAGCAGAAAAGCTTGTGATGTAAGGTCAATAATTTCTGCAGAGCCAATAGTTTTGATGCCATTTGTCGTCTGATCCGTTTCCCTCTTCCTCCCGCAGCTTTGGAAGATCAAATCATGACAATAAAGAGAAACTGCGTCTCAGTCTGGACATATCAGTTTCCTGAACTTCAATGTTTCCACTTTGTGCAATTCAGATTATTTATTTACCCTCTCAGTGTTTCTACTTAAGTTTTTGTTTTAGTTCTCTGTCTGTGACACAAGACAAAGCTACATTTGCCTTCTGGAAAACATGTTCTGAACATAAGTTCTGTTCTCAGCTGCACATTACTTTCTTTTTTTTAACTCGAAGGCAAAACATGAAGGGGGTGACACTGTATCTATCTAATGCTGATCACATATTTGCAGCAAACAGTTTAAACCCCATGTTGTAGACATTACATGTTCACATGTTCATGACGGCGAAGGCGTCGTCTGGTGGAGCTGAGAAAATGGATCCACGACTTGTTCTCACCTGGCAGAACACGGCAGCACTTCAACAAACAATCACTGATTAAACCCGATTGTTTCAGGCCTCTGCAGTATTTACAGCAATACATGTGTAGATAGAGAACCTCCTGATATAGTTTAGGACAAATAAAAACAGTGTGTTCTAACGAGCAACAAAACCTTCGTTTTAGTGTTTTGTATGATTTGTAGATAAACTTCAGCTGTTTCAGTCTCCTGAGGTTCTTGAACAGAGTTGGTTCCTTTTAAAGATGCTGTTTTATGTTCAGTGTTGATCAAAGGCATTTTTATATACGTCACTGGATTTCACAGACCTCTCTGCCGCGCAGCCGGCCTGAGACGACGCATGTTAGTAACGTCTGTATGCAAATGAGAAATATGCACTTTAACATCAGATCTTATGGGGTAGAGTTACAAATGTTTTTCGTGGTCACATTTCTATGTACCTCACTTGTGTTGGAAGTAAGCGCTAGCTCGCACTTTTCTATTTTGACAATTCAAATCATTCTCTGAAGGAAATCCTACGTGGTACGCAAAGTTGTGATTAGGATGCTGACATGAAAGAAGCCTCAAAAACAAGTTCGAGTTGTAAACCGCTAGCGTCGTCATTTATGTCTCGAGAGCATTTGAGGAGGAAGACCAAAGTGCTTATTTAATTGTTTTTGTCTCTGCTGGGAAAAGAATGTATTTTTAGCACTATGCTTTAAATTTTATTTATTTCCCTTCAGAAATACTTTTGAGTATTGTTTGGTTTTTATTGACATTTGTAACGGCTGTTTATTCTATATGTTCTGAAAGCAGAGGCATGATTTACTGTTTTTAAAACATGCTTGACTTATACGAACGTGACTAAAGGTATCAGAATGTTGTAATGCTGTTTTTCAGAAACTCTGAATATTTAGCTTTTTTGTGTGTCTGAGCTCTTTTTTTTTTAAGAAAAATAAAAAATATTGAATTTCTGGCTCTGTTTTTTTGCCTTTTTTTCTAGCAGGGAAAAAGACTTTATAAAGCATGTTATGAAAATGATAATAGTTTCAAATCCTGCAAAGTTTATGGTGCAATCCAATCTGATTCTCAGGGTAAATATATACAGCATAAGGACAGGTTAGAGTGGATCCCTGTAGATCCGCAGATGGACCAAGCAGGTCAGTGTTCGCAGCATCATTCAACTGAGTCAACAGTGATTTTATTTTTGACCTCTTGATTTCTGCAATTGAAGACCCAAATGTTTGTTTCCTAGAAAAATACAATTATTTGTAACTAAAGAGAATTTTAAAAAAAGGAAAACATTCACTTTTGAAATTCAGCTTCATAAAACTTTCATTCTTAAAGCTTTCACAGATTTGAGACTTTTTTTAATTAGTCCAGATTTGACAACTTTGTGTTTTAGGGTTTTGGCAGTCTATTTATTTCAGGCAGAAATGGTTCTTTAGTCAAACTACAGACCTGTTGAAAGTAATTCAACATACTAACAAGAGATGTAGGAAAAAAAAACCAATTGCACAAATCTGACAAGTTCTTGCAGTATTAAATGGCATGCACTTGTAGTTATACGGCCATAAGAGGACAGTGAAGTAAAAGTTTGTAGAGAAAGGCTCTTTGGACCTTCCTGTTAGTGAGATGTTTTCACAGCACAAAAAAAGAACAAATAGCTGAAGCTGCAACAAAAGCATTTTCCAGTTGAGCCCAGCTCAACATCAGCACGTTTTTCACAAAAAGTCTCATCAGGACTTTGCAGCTGAACGTAAACATCACAGGCAGCAGTTCTGGATTGGCTGTAGCACATTCAGAAAGAAAAACAACAAAAAAATACTCCTATATGGCAGCACTCATCTCAAAGAACCACACGCTTTATGTAGGAATCTAAAGTTACAAGGTGAAGCTCGAGTTTTAAACCAACACAATCTGAAAAGGGAAGAGATGAGTTTTAACTTTAACTCCTGACCTGTGAAACCTTTTCTGCTCCGACTCGTTTTATTTTTCCTCCTCAGGGTTCAAAGAGCATGTAAGTCATCTCTTCCTGTCATGTCTGCAATAAATCTCACAGTGGATTCTTTTTTTTTTTAACAAATAGTGTCTATAGTATTTTATCTTATGACTCAAGGTGAATCACCTTACATCAAAGTGGGATCCTTTAACAAACTGTTGTACAAACAGTTCATGTCTGCACCATAAAACATTCATTTTTACTTAGGCTGAGCTCAAATCTTCAGTCTTTTAATGAACTTGATATGGAGCACGGTTTGTTTTAGCAGACGTCAATCGAAGACGTCTCTGTCTTGTGTGGCGATGAGCCGGGACTCCCCATGATGCAACGTGAAGAAGGACTCTGGTTTCAGTCCTCTCTGCTCCAGGGCCTCTCTGAGGCGGACCGGCGGCTCCAGGTAGTGCTGCATGGAGGAGAGACGAGGTGAGGAAGTCTAGACTTAAATTATATGACCAGTTGTTTTATTACACCCAGAAAAAAAATGGCAGAGTTTGTATAAAAAGTGACTGAACTGCAAAAATCAGGCATTTATGAAAACAATATTTCCATATTAGTTAAGACTTAAAAATACTATTTCTTTCTACACTACCTTTAATGACTGACCAGTGTTTAGAGTGAAACACTGGTCAGTGTTTTACAGTGACCAGTAAAATTTCAGTAAATAGACCAAATATCTGCCAAAAATTCATGATTAAGAAACAGATGAAAATATTTATCTGGGAAAGTCAGAAATTTTAATAGAACCCCAGTTTAGCTTTTCTGTGCTGCTGGAATTTAACTTCAACCGATTAAATCATGGAAAGCTGTAGGAGAGAAAAATAAAATAGTGTAGGAAAGAGGTAAAAAAAAATCCCTTTCCTGGTCCTGTTGACTAATTTATCTGAACTTGCAGCAGGACAACCTGAAGGCTGTGGTGAAGATCAGGATTACCGGCTTACTGAGCTCAGCTGAGTCACAAAGCTTACTGAGGTTTATGATCCTGTAACATGTGACAACACTGCCTGACGTTCCCGTCTCATTTAGCTACTATTTAAGTCAGTTGGCCTCATTTGTGGCATCAAACTATATCTCATTTAGTCTTAAAGTGAACTGAACAGCAGCACCACTGAGGATCACAATGTGAATAATTCACCTTTTCTATATTCAGGTTCACTTAACAGTCTGGAAATTACAGTATTTGTTCTACACAGGAAGATCACTAGTGCTGCACTGTGATCGTGAACTCATCTTTTCTCATATCTTACCTCATAGGCGAGAGCGAAGGTCCCCCAGTGTATGGCTACAGACTGTTTGGCCTGAAGGTCCTGATGAATCTGAACCGCCTCCTCTGGATCCACATGCTGTCCCTTCATCACATCCCTGAGAAACCGACAGGAATTGACAGAAGTCCTGCTAACTGCTCATTAATGCTCTGCGGTGTGGCAGTGGGAGCTTCTCTACCTGGGCAGGTACGCTCCGATTGGGATTGCTGCCAAGTCGAATGGCCCAAAGCGGCGTCCGATCTCCTGGAAGGACGGACAGTAGCCTGTGTCGCCGGCGAAGAAGAATCGATGGTTGGGACCCAAAACAGACCAGCTACCCCATAAAGACTGAAAAGAAACAAATGGCGACAATGGTGGCAGTTTTTAGTGCAGCAGAAAATGAAAGAAAGATTTCCATGGAGAGATGGAGGAGCTTTGCCCTTTTTGTTTCATCTTTCTTCTCCGTTCTTCAATAAAGTGCTTCTGTCACACATTTCTGCTCACTTGTCCATCGTTAACATCACAGCACTTAGATTATCAGTGTGGTTTATGACAGCAGACCCCACCCACTACAACATCAAGTACCCTGTTATCGTCCCACGCTGTCCGTTTGCTCCAGTGCTGAGAGGGAGTGCAGACAAACGTGACGTTGTCGTGACCCGGGATGCAGTTTTCCTCCCACCAGTCCAGCTCCATCACGTTCTCACAGCCCATCTTGGCCAGCCAGTCCATCAAGCCCAGGGGCACGAACCTGTTAAAACAAGCATCGTATTTCACAGGAACGCTGTACAAGCTGCTGGGTGTGGGACCATGAGGGACACATACCAGCGTAGTTCCCCTCCAAAGCGTGCATTAAGGCTGGCAACAGATCCAGCATCCAGGTGATCGTAATGAGAGTGGCTGATGAGGACGGCATCGATCCTCGGCAGCTGTTTGTAGGAGAGGAGTGAATAAAGCGAGGTTTCATTCAAAGGATTCTGTTTGTTCACAAAGTAAAGGCAAGACATCAAAGATCTTCAAACCTGTTCCACTGTGCAGGGGGGTCCTCTGTATCGTTTGGGCCCCACGAACTGAAGAAATGATGCTCTCTGGCTGAAAATAGGGTCAGTCAGGATGTTGACCCCCTCCATTTCGACCAGAACTGTAGCATGGCCCAGCCAGGTCACCCTCATTCCAGCATGAGAGTCCAACGCGTCTGGATTCTGGACAAAGTAGGGCTCCAATACTGGGAGTTCACTGTCCAGGACCTGTGGGAACAGCAGAGAGGACAGAAGAAACTTAGACTGACCAAACCAAAAAGCATCACTTTAAACAAGCTCATCTTTCCACCTATTGTAAGTGTTAACAGCTAAATACTGTGAGAAAACCTATCAGAGGACAAAACCTTGTAGCTAAAAGCTGCTTTAAAGTTTTGCCTCAGCTGATTTGAATAGAAATGGATGCCACACTTTAAGTGTTCATAAAACCAAGATTTTTTTTCCTAAACCTTCACAATTGTCATATAAAGTCCAATAAACAGACAATATACAAACAACTGGTGCAAATAAAGAACTGAATGTTTTGCTGAGTGAAAGGAGCCTTTAAGGCCAGATAATCCCCTCAATGAATGAAAGCAGCAACGTTTCCAGAAGCAGCTATAAATAACAGCATGTTAGTTCAGGGCTGTGAAAGATGAGCTTGTGATACTAATTATTACAGCAGAGCAGCAAGCAGAAATAAATCGAAGCACCGCAAACTTGGTTCTTCTTTCTCTAAACGTTGTAATAAAAAACAAAGTTTTAAGTTTCTGAATTATCTACAGTAAAATAAAGTGACTTGCAGGGTTTAACATGCCTCTTTGCTTGTCGGCACATTGCTGTGATTTGTATCCAGCACCAGAAATCTGAACAGCATAGAGTACGACGGGAAGCGCCATGTTGGCCAGGGGTTTGTCCAGCGACCATGTTTATCCCGGCAGGACTTCGTCACCTCCTCCTGCGTTCAAAAATAAACACACCTGAGACGCAGCGCGACACTTACGTGAACCCTGCAGACACTTGAACGTTCGGAGTTGGTGAACAGAAGGAGGAGAGCCGGTACCTCCAGTCGGTAGTCCAGACGGAAACTCTTACGGGAAGAGCGGGAGGAGCTGCTCTTCCTCAGTGTCCGAGAATCCACCTTCCCACCTTCAGCACCTTGAAGCAAATCACCGTCCTTAATGACAAAAAAATAAAAAATGCAAAGAGCAATTTAAAAAGCATTTAAGTGTTGAGAACTTAGCAGAAACTCGTCCTGCCATGCAAGGTTGTTCAGGATTAAAGCGTTGCTGGTTACCTCCACCAGGCCTGTTGACTCTTCCAGCTCTGCTCCGTCTGAGGTTCTTGGTTTCTCCATGTTTCTACCAGCAACACATCTGCAACAGCACACAGAAACAAGTTCATGCTTCATCGATCTACTGAATCACTGTATCTGCCTTGCTCAAAAGTACAGCACACAGACAATTACATTACTACACCTTCACGCCGCTGACTCATTTACCTACAGCTGACAGTTAAGCAGTAAGACTTTGCATGTATCCAAATGAAAACCTGCCATGCTACTTCCACTCAAATTCAGAAACCTACTTGTGTTAAAACTTGACGTCTGCCTCCATTGTTAAATCTGTGCTGACGCCGAAGTTGGAAGCAGAAATTGAAGAAGCAACGAATTACCCAACAGATTTGACAGTTGGTGATATTTAGCAACGGTGCCCGGTCAATAACTCGTCTGCAAATGTCGGACAGAAAGTAATTCTTGCTTCAGGCAAACGTGTTAGATGGAAGCAGACAAAGTCTACATTTAGAACAAGTTTATATTTATAAAAACAAAATGATGTTTATTGATGCTGCCCATCAAATCTGACTGAAATAAAACTGTTTTGTAAAACGCCACCTGCAAATTTCAATAAATATCTTGCCTGCATCGCTTTCCTACCACTGTGAAATTTTGCATAATTTTGTCTTCATGTTGCAAAGAAGAATCGGTAGGAACTTCACCCTCCAGACAGGATGGAGACACACACAAAAAATATATGCCTGTGATGTGAAATGTGGTCCAGGAGAAAAACTACAGCTCAACAATACCTTCAATAACTTCTACATTATGTACAATTTAACATTGATACATAACTTTAAGTCCAAACAAAATGCATTACATATTGTGTTTGTAATTAGAATAGACTTCTGGAAGACCCAAGCACTGTGTAAATACTTTTGGACGCTCAGAACTTCAGGAAAAGCCTGCACAACATTTTGAAATAGTTGCTCATTTTGAGTGAACACCCAAGCGAGTCTAATCAAAGCCTCACACCCTATCCTGTTATTTTCTACACTCCCCAACACACCGCTCAATGTTTCCTACACACCCTAACAACTAAAAAGGAAACACCCATGTTGCATTAGAGAAGACACGATATGCTGAACATACAGAGACATATGAACACAGGAAATGCAAGCAAAGCCTTGGACAGCACTTTCCCTCTCCATGCCTTTAGGCTGCAGCATCCTGCTGATGCACTCAGCCTCATGAATGGACTGAACACTCAGACTGTGGGAAAACAATGGTGCCTTGTGGGTGAGTGACCTGTGGTCAGACAGATGTGGTCAAGTAAACAACAAACTCAAAACACTCGTTTTAAAACTCCACCCATTAACCAGACAAACTTGTCAGGAGAGGGAACTGCTGTCAACAGTTTCTGCATTTTAGCCTGTTAGGTGAGCATCGCATCAACACTCGCAAAAATTATTAATTGGTGGATATATTTAAACTGCTCGTCTCACCAAAACAAAAAGGTTTTAGATGCCCGAGAAACAAAGCGCGAGCCGCACATGATTTAAAAGCCAGCATCCAGTCAGGCTTCCCTCCAGACTACTAAACACCTTTGAACAGAGAACGTACCTGAATCAAAGCGCGACCAGAACAACCTCTACCGGGCGGCCATGTCTGTCCCACCAGCTTTCCGCCGTTTCACCGACAGCCGGGCGGCATCACTCTGCCCTCAGGTTACTCTACTGCCCTCAGGTTACTTTACTGCCCCGCTGACAGGCCAAGACACGGAGGGTCCTTCTCTACGACGGCGGGTTGAGTTTTGGCGCATTTGGTGTCGCGGTTGGATAACGACTCGGTACGCAGCTCCGCTTCTGTGACGTCGGCGTTAAAGCTGCGGTCACGTGACCACCGTGTAAACTCACTGCAGGAGGTAAAATAAAGGAGTCGCTCTGTTTTCTGTCCCACTTGGTTCCACTGGACTCAAATAAGTAAATGAATAAATTAATGTTAGTTTAGACATTGCCAAAGCAATTTAATGTCAGAATTAAGAAATACAAAATAAAAAAATTAAAAATTAAAAAAATACAATCTAACATTGTATCAAACAAACCCAGGCGCCTTAAGGTCAGGAGTATCTGGTTTTATCACATACATCTTGTAGCAAACTTGCAAAAAAAAAAAAAAAGGCAAATATTCTCAAAGTCCCTTAAAGCTAAAAAATTAAAATAAAAAAATATGCCTTCAATTAATGAATAAAACCTAAAACATTATTAATTGCAGTCTGCGTTCCAACTTTTCATTACTGCAATGTAATGTTTTCATCATGTGCAGCTCATTGAGTTGCTGAAATGTGCTACACCAATAAACTTGCCTTGCCTTTGAGTTAACGGAGTATATGCAAAGGAAACGTCTCAGACACACTGCTGCTTTGTGTGTCATCAAGAATAGACAAAAACAAAATACAATTATCAAGGGGGGGGGAGCTGGTTCAAACAAAAACAATTTGATGTCTGATGGTGAAAATGTAGCACTCAGCTGGAGAGTCTCCTTGCAGTGAAACACATCCCCTAAAAAAAAATGGGATGAAAGCCCAGACTGAGAAGAAACAATTACTCCAACAACAACAAAGCCAGATTACAGTTTGCCATTGCGCTCAAGAACAACCTTACTTCTTGACTATCAATATAATTGGAAAAGTAATGGGTGAGTCTTGCAAACTTGAAAGTAAAGAAAATATAGAAACATCAGCAAAGGTTTGGACACAATTGGGTATATTTACACTAAAAATCTGATTCTAACTAGATGCAAAAAGGCTTGACTTGAATTCAGGGTAAATATGGCCAAGAGCACCAAACCAAGCCACATCTCCCAGATTACAACTGGACATAAAACAAACAAAAAAGTCAGTGTGATCAGGATTAAGTTATTCCCATCAGTGTATGCAACTGGCCAAGAAGTGACAAAAAAACAAAAAAAACAGTTTAAATAAATGTGTTTTTCTCTCCTTCAAATACCTGACACCAGCAAAAACACTGCAAAGCAAAGCAGTCATTTTTACAAAACCTTTAAACAAATCTAAAAGTTACTAGTCCACTGTCAGCTGATCAAACATCCAGTTGCTACTTTTTGTACAGCTGTGCTCCAGGAAGTGTGTGACGTCATTGCATGACAGCCCAGTCCAAGAAAACCCTCCTAGAAACAAAACAGCCACAGAGCCAGGAATGAGCCCAGCAGACGTGTCTTCCTCCAACAAACCCAACTTACCCAGACGTTCTCCCCCTGACGGACACCTGAAGACGACTCAGTCTCACGAGATTTACGAATTCCCGCGGCGAACTCGCGTGGTTGAATTTACGTTTGCAGACAAATATCCGCATGTGTTTTAAAAACGCGGTCTCCATTCTAACGCACGGCGTGCTTGCACGTTTTCATGGCGTTAATATTGGACCGAAACCAAGTTTTACGTGCAACACAAGTTCAATGTCCGGACAGGCAAAAAAAAAAGTTACTACACTTCCTGTCTGGAGCATTCACGGACGTTCGGAAATGTGAGTACTTTAACACTATCCCAAAAAAGTACGGGCATTTCGATGAATTGTTTAAACGGACATTGTTTGTTAGCCTGAAGTAATAGTGACGTTTCACTTTGGAAGTTAAGAAGTTTCGGTTAATCTGCAAAAATTATAAAACCTGCCTTATCTATAGGTGAGAAATGAAATAACATTGGTTTTCTGAAAAGACCTGACTAAAAGAGAGGAATTCCATTTAATCACTCCCTTTTCACTCATATGAATGTAAAGGTTTGTAAGATAATTATATTAAAGCTTCTGGTATGTTATGGATCTTCAACTCACATCAATGGAAAAATGTCTGTTTTTGTCCACACAGCTTGAACTATTCACTGGGAGGTCACTTCCACGCTGGACTTCACTTGCTCTTTTGAAATCTATTGAACTATTTCTTTGAATGCGCTTTTTCTTTTTACAACAATGAATTACATTGATGCATAATGTGTTTATTTAACTTACAAATTAAATTGTCTCCTAAAGACTGATGACCCCATTAGGTCACCTCAGATATGAATTATATTAAACCAATAAAAAACACAAGTCTTGTTATTACCAGAGTTTCTTTATATAAAAATGTCATATTAGTACAAAAAAAAAACAGAAAAGGAAAGAAACTCATAGGTGTGAGCCTTTTATGCACAGATATTACTAACCAGTAATATCTGTGCATAGAAAAGGCCCTAAAAATCACACTAAACTTCTTGACTAAGCTGCAAACAATTCTACACATTTTTATTCCAGAGACGGAAATAAATCAAAAGCACCAATGTTCATTTGTTTTTGAGATTGTACTTGAGCTGTCAAGCTGAAGGTTTTTTTTTTTTTTTTTTTTTTAAGCAAAGTGAAGTCTGTCCCCGAATGTAAAGAGTAAAAAACAAAACAAAACAGGGAACACAAATAAAGACGGGATTCACATCCAAGATGACGTGTCTCCAAAACAAGGCTCATTCTGGATTCAGAGAAGAGGGCTAATACAAACCATTCTTGTCTGTTTTTGAACACCTTTCAGTGCTCTTTATGGTCTCCGTCCTCTTCGAGCTTCCTGATCTCTCCTTTCAGGTGATTGATGTTTTCCCTGCTGGCTTTCAGCCTATCTTTAAGCTCAGTGATTTCTTGGCTCGTTCTTTTCTTTGCTGCTTCCAATTTCTCCTTTGTCCTCTGTTCCAGTTCGCCAACTAGGAAAACAAACAAAGACCGTGCTCAGAAAGGCAAAGACTGCTGCAATGTGAAGTACTTTCCCCTTCACTTTCCTCTGGAAACTGTGAAACAGCAACATTAACACATACTTGAGCTGTTGCTATTGAACATGTGAGTACATACACTCTGTCTCGTGCTTATAAGCTCCAAGGGTGAGTTGTCTGGATGTGGTCAGCAACTGTTGCATCATGGCCGTTGGATCCTGGAAAATCTGCAATTCACAGTGTAAAATAATCATGATTGATAAACAGGAACACAGAGGTGAATCCAATGACACCCAAGAACATAAGTTGTACCATTTCATCATAGAACTCAGAGACAACCGTTTTCTTCGGCATGGCGCTGGAATCTGATTGGAACAGCTTCAGCAGATGGTACAGAGTAACCTTTGGCAACAAAATCATATATTTTTGGTAAACAGGCAACCCTTACATTTTCAATTTCAACATTTTATGCTTTTCAGGTCCAAAGTCCAGGATACAAGGAATGACACAAAAAAGGAGATTAGAAATGCAGGACTATAGAAGAATAGTAGGAAAGAAGGAAGGAGGAGCAAGTAGAAGAAAAGTAAGATTTTTTTTAGTGGGTTGGGGTTACAGGAGATCACTGTGGGGGAAAGAAGGGACTGAAGTATATTAACAACCTTTGATAATGATATATGGAATAAAGCCTAGAAGTAGATATTATTTTACATTCTTTGTATCCTTGAAATCAGTTTTTGTTCAGTTTCAACCAGATTCTGTTTCAGAACCAATGAGCCAAATTAATCCTGGATTTAAAGCTGTTCGACATTCAAACAAGTATTTAATATAGCCGTCCTTTTGAAAAATCTTAATGAATCTACGCTTAGTCAACAAGTTCAAAAAGGGGTGGAAGAGGGAGCTGTAGGGTAAAAGCAAAAATAAAGATGCAATGTAGACATAAAATGGTTTTATTGACCCGTTAGAAAAAAGAGGGGAAAACATAACATTTTTTCAGTCTTCATTTTATAATTTTTTATATTTATTGAGGCCTGGGAAATGTAAAAAGCAAGTCCCCAAGACTGTTTGAGAACCATGAGTATGGCTCTTATAGTAATTACCTGCACCAAACAACATTTCTACTTCCTGCTTGGATATGTTACTTACAGGTCTCTCATTAGGGTCAATGAAGAAGATCTTGATGATGATTTCAAACTCTCCCCATCCTGTCTCTGTGATCTCATATGGAGGCTTTGTGACCACTAGAGAAGAATGACAACATTAGCAGGAGATTATTATTTGTGATAACATCCCCTTCTGATACACGGTGGTGGCCGTATCATCTTTTTAAAATGTTCTGTTGTGACCTTTGTCTTACCTCTCAAGGGGTTTACATAGCTCTCGTGTAACTTGAACTGGATCTTCTTTACATAGGCAGACATATCCTGGGAGAGTTAAGATCAATGAACTTCCATAACTTCATTTTTACATCAGTAAATACCACTATTTGAGGATATTTCTTTTCCAAAGATCCCACACCTCATTTCTGTAGGGTTTCACATAGACAGACCACTGATGAGTGTGTCCATCCTCCTCTCTCTTCTTTCCAAAGTAACGGGCGACATTTCCAAACACAATGGGCTTCACTATTGTCACTCCCTGCAAGGAAAACACCATGAAAGTTGAGTATGGACAATTTAATACTGATCCCTTCTCAATAACACTGCGAGGGTTAGAAAAAGGAGCCAAGTGACTGTATTTTTATCGAGCAGAAAACCCAAACCGTTAACATGTCAGATTTGAATTCGTCCTTTTATCTTTACCTTCACGCGCCCTCCGGAATCTGGTCCAAATTCAGTCATCTTTTTGAACATAGTATTCCGATAGCAGGTTTTAGGGAACAGTGTGGGACTCTAAACGTCTATTCTAGTTCCACTACTCGTTTCCAAACCCATTTAAGGGGCCATTTAAGCGTCTAGCGAGCATTATATGCAACAAAACCGCGTTCAAACATAGGCGGAAATGACGCTGGAAATGTGTTCACCTTCCGGAATGAACGGAGGCTGAACATAAAGGTTCCACCACAACGCAAATAATGATGAAAAGAAATATAAACGACAACTGCACGATTTTTAATAATTCACCGAGTTTCTAAATGTAGGACGATTCTAACCAAACAGTTTAGTAAATATATATGAATTTTCTTGTGGATGTTTTTTTAAAAAAAAAATCTTATAGTACCAGAAATGTTTTTATATTATAACAACTAATATTGTAACCCCCACAAAATAACTCGTTTTATTAAGTAATTTTGTCGCTTATCACATCAAGAAACGTGGTCTATTGAAATCAACAGAAATTTAACACAGGTGATAGTAGTAAAACAACACTTAAGAGTTTAAGTTCTAGTTACCTTCATTTCTGGCTTTTGAAGGCCATGGCTTTGAGTTTTAGGTAGACATTACAGAGATATGAACTGATGACTGTTTTCAAACCTAAACCTGCTTCATAACCAGAATCTGGTTAAATATTACCAAGCTTTAATTTATTTTCTAAACCAGGAGTCTCAAACTTCTTGTGCACACAATTAGGAACTTTAAATGTAACTGCCGAGTAAATTAATTCTACCTCAGAATCTCTATCATCCAAAAATCAACTTTTCAAATTTTGATGTTTCAGTTTGAAACTCCTTTCATACTGCATTCGTGCCCAACAATCATTCAGTAGTGAGCACACCACATACAATGACTTTGCACCTTCGTTTAACATAATGCTGTGGAATGTAATCCCATGCATTTTGTTGAAAGCTGCCCAAATGTGGTGGTTGTGTTTACTCTGGTATGAACACTCTTAGTAAATATTAATCACATTTGATTAAATTTGGTATGAGTTTCCAAACTCCTTTCTCAATTCTAATTGCTTGAACTAAGAGGCTCCATTACTTTTGTGGGACTGATACACAACATTCTCACAGTATCCCCAACAATTGCAAAAGCAGAAGAATTAAGATTACAAGCCAGTGACATTTTTATGGGTTAGAAATTAATATATTTTCAATGCTTTTTATTAATCAACAACTCTGCATATAATTTGCCAAAAATAACCTAAATTTATTATATTTGTAGTCGACCATTACTTGAAGCTACAATTTAGTCCACTATACTTAGTTGCTATATTGTGCTTCAATATTTAAAACTCCAGACATTTTTGATAAATTACAAATGAAACAAAAACTGAATGCAAAATAATTTTATTGGTAAAAAAAATCAGCAATGTGAATCCACTGTATTCCTGACAAATACCTCATCCTAATTAAGTTTTACAATAACCAATAGTATCCTAAACTGAACTGTATTATGAAACAAATCATGTGAAAATCGGAGCTTTTAAATTGCTTCACTTACTTTCCAATTCTGTTAGACATGGTTAGTTCAAATAAGACTATCCCATACATACAATAAGTTAAATTTAACTTAAATTGAAAACATTAAAAAGGTTACTTTTTATGTTTTGTGTAGTGGTCTTGCTCGAAGCAGCCGCCATTCAGGCTCCTCTTTACTTCTTCTCCAGGACAAGCAGACCTGACAACACTTACCTTTTAGCTGTGGAAAAAGGTTGGCACAAAACTGACCTACATTTTAACCAAAACTCAAAGGATTTTTCTCTTATAGCTCTTACCATGCCTATGTACATTAAAAAAATTTTTAGATTACTTTCTTTAGATACAATATAGCAAGACAAAAACATAAGCCAATCATTTTTTAACAATTTCACTTTAAGATTTTCTGTTTCGATTAAAGCGCCGTTGTCAAAATTAAACGATAAAAACATTAACCAAATTCTGAAGCAAGTATAAAAAAAAAAATTTTAAAATTCTACTTACCCGTTCACTAAAAATCTAATACACCCGTCTCCATTACTATTAACAGAGTTAACAGGCTCATAATAGAATATGAACATTTGTGAGTACAAAACACAATACAACACACCGACAAAAAACATTCTGCAAGAGCATCATCAGGACACACGTTTGCGCTCAAATTGTAACGAGCAATCTTTCAATGTCCTTTTGTTTCCCCCAGATAACACTTGAAATGTAAGATCTCAGATTATGTCAAAAATAAAATTAGGGTGAGATGATAACAGTAGGCAATGTCAAGTGGAGAATAAAAGCCAAATACAACAAAAATGTCCCCCCCCCCCCCCTTTAACATCTGCCTATATGGATATGTGACGTAAAAAGAAAGAAAAAAAAAACGTATTATATTTTGAGACACGGTTGGAGCAGCTCTAGATTCTTAACATGGATTAGCAGTTTTTACAATTTTATTCTCTTAAATTCAAAAATCCGTGAAGACTTACAATTCAAAAAGTAAATCTGTATTGAAACAAATACAGCTATTTTTCGTCGCAATTCAAAATTTGGCCTCAAACAGTAAAAAAAGCAGAACTTCTTAAAAGCATTTCCTCAAATGTAAAAAAAAAAAAAGCTATATAAGACAAACTGACAATCACAGTGACACAAATGCAACACAACAGGATGGGTGGTGAAGTGAAAGAGAGGCTGCTGTATGTGGCAATCAATCCCATTTTAACATTGCGTTTTAAAAACATTTCAGGTGCATGGAATATTGTTCTGATCACAAGTTTACATACACTCATCATGGGAATTGATGTCAATAATTTGGAGAATTAGCAATACACGTGAAAGCATTTTCCCCAAAGAGTGAACTACTTTTAAGGGAAATAACAGGAAGCAAACAAATTTCTCGAAAAATGTATCTATTTACAGCATAAATGGCTTGCTGAACTGGTGTTGGCGGCATTGTGTTACAGGAGTGGTTCACTGCAAGTAGGTGGGATAGATAACCACCTTAAAATTTTTTCACTTTCAAACAGACCAAAGGCTAGAAGTTTAAGTAAAGATGCTAGTTTCAGCCTCGGTTGGAACACTGTTAAATATTTATGATTAAAAGCTCCGTGACTAGAAATAAACTAATTCAAATGATTTCCAGTAAGAGCTTCTAAATGTATTTAATGAGAATTATGCTAGCAGCTGATGGACGACTACAAAATCTGATTTTGTTGTACAAAAAGCACAGCAAAACAAATAAATAAAATAGCTCAAAAAACATCTGAAAAGGCTCCAAATTAATGACAATCCATGAAAATGAGTGAATGTAAACATCTCTTCAAACTTGCATTCGACACTAACCAGTTTTTACAACAATGGACTAAAAGAAAATGGGTAATCAATTAATGTAACAGTATTGCTCACTATGACGAAAATGTACCACAAACATTTTGTCTTCATCACTTTTGGTAACTATCCAGCATAATTACATGTGAAGCAGCGCAGCAAACGGCAGCAGGTTTGTTTTTTTTTTTTTTTTTTAATTTACGACGTGATTTCCAAAAATGATCTTAATGCCTCTAGGAGCGTCCATTTTGGTTCACATTCGGAAATACATTCTACTTAAGTCTTACCTTGGAAAAATCCCATCCATTTGAAGAGAAACAAAATGTCAAGGAAAAGGATCACTTACTTGGTGAAATTTGGGATTATAAAAAAAAAAAATTAAAATAAAAAAAAATAAAATCAGTGCAAAATTACATTTAATATAAATGAAACAAACATGTAGAGAAATTCACCAGATGAGTGGACCTCAAACATTTTTTTTATTACAACACCATCTAGTTTTTCATTCAAAAATCAGACATTTACAAACATACTAACCAGGAAGAAATGAGAATGAGAGAGAGAGAAAACGTCAAACATGAACCCTATAAAAACTTGCCTATTTTGAATTTACATAGTACAGCGAGCCAAATAAAAACAACAAATGAAAAGAACTTGATGCTTATCTTCTATTTTTAGGGTTGCACAGCCATTTTATTGTTTCTTTGCTTCTTTGCAAAAAAAAGAAAGAAAAGAGCATCACACATACTAGTCTTTATCTCAAACAAAACAAAAATAAAAGAACTGCTTGGAAAGTTTTCTTTCATCTTTAGTTATGAATATAGACATTTGGACAGAAGCCTTACATAGATGAGGGTCCTCCATCCACTGCTCTTAGTCAGGCAGACAACAGAGAGAGGGGGATGGGAGGAGAAGGAAAAGAGAGGAGACATGGACGGGGGGTGCAGGAAGAGCTGGTAGTTGTAGTCCTGTCCGGTCATGCAGGGTGAGCGGGGTGATGGTGTACTGAGAGCGTTCCTCCTTTTCCTTCCATCCTTGATCCACGTGAGCTGAAAGGTGTCAAAACGAAGGGTGCAGTTTGGTTTGGAGCCAGCCCAAGAGTAAACACTCCCCCACTCACCAATAAACCTCTACGCTACAGAATATGTCCGCCGAGGCTGGGTTCAATTTACCATCACTTTGAGTCGCAGTGATAAAGTTTACATCAACATAAAGACTGCATTGTGTGGGGATTACGACAGATGCTGGATAACAAGGCACCGTTTCTGTTATTTTAGCTAATTACTTCTTTTTTTTTTCTTTTTGCACTCAGCTGATTGTGAATTGCACCCAACCCCAGCGCATACATGAGAATATCATGCAAATTTCAACAGAGCAGCTTATTTGCAAAGTTTCAGCATGAAGACACAACAGAACATTTAAAAGTGTTCCTTCGATATTCTAGTGTCGATACCTTGAATAAGAGCTATATTCATGGACAATACATTTATGGACAGAGAACCTCCAGTTAGATAGGCAACATTTTAGACTGACTTTTGGTATTTTGCAAGAGGCCTTTAGTAAATTGCAAATTGCTGGAGAAACATGCTACATACAGTTTAAACAGCAAAAACTATCCTGGTTTATTAAGGTTTTATTTTATAAACACAGCTGCAGCCAACAATATTGTAAAATTGTTTTGTACAAAAGAAGGAAAATAGGATTTAAAAGGGCTACCTTCACACCTTGAGCAAAAAGATTTTAGAAATCATGTAGTTCATCTCAAATTTGAATCAGCTTCATTATTATGCTTCTGAAAAACGTCCTGCTTTATTTTTCATTACAAAATTACAGCTTTGGGTAGACAGACTAGAAAGCTAAACACTGAAAATGTGGATCTGTGTTTTTCCAACAAAGACACTTCAGAGCTCGTTCAGAACCAGTGCTCGGATTTTTCTGTTGATCCAGTTGTGACAAAATTAGCGTATAAAAACATAAAAGGACCACTAAGACAAAGTATCGTGTGAAACAGGACTTCAGGCTGTGCAAAACTGTATTTAATAACTAATAATTTAATAAAAATGACATTCTGCAACTTCCAAACAAATCACAGAAAGTTGATAAAGCATTATTTTGTGTTTGTGTCACTGGTTGCCAATACCAACACTAATTTTTTGTTTAAATAGCACAGAAAAAAAAAAAAAAGAAAATAATTATCCCCAGTCCTAAACTTGCACTGAAGCATTTTGGAGGAAAAACAAGACCTGGTTCTTTAAAAAAATTTTGAACATAAAAAAACACATATATAATCACTGACTTTTTAAAACTCTGCAATGTACATTCTGCCACCAAAATCTGTGAACTTGATATTTAAAAAGGTACAACCTTTTCTTTTACATGAAACAATGCCGAGATGCAAAAATGTCATGTTTCCCATCAAGATCTATCAAACAGAGCAAATCAAGCAGATGGAAAACTTGATGTCAACACCTGAGCACAACAAAGTGCAGCATGCAAAGAACAGAAAACTTAGAGGTTGTATGGCAGCAGTAAATAGAGTCAAACTATTTAGTCAGTATATCCCTGCAATATTACAAGCCCTTCAAGATTGTTACATAAAAAATGACAGAAATACCTAATTTGTTTCAATCCCAGCTTTACCTTTTATGGGACAAAGATTCAAATTTCTACATTAAAACCTCATGGGTACACGCTGATTTCAGATGTTCTATTAATATTAAGGAAAAGCAGATGGTTCATCCCACAATACTAATTTTATGAGCAATACATCATTTGCTGAATAATTAAAGGTTCATTACAAATGATAGACATGAAAAGTGCATCGATGTCTGCTTGTAAATGGCAATTAGATCAAAGTCAAACCAGGGTTGAGCAGTCTCCCTCATCTCACAACTTTTAATGTTGGTTTGCTTTTTACATTTTACAAACCAGGCCTTTTAACAGGGGGCACAAAACGTTTCAGATCCAGACCATCAACTCATAAATCCACCAGATGTTTCATTTAAATTTAGATCCTGAAGTCAGCTTTTAGCAAGGTAATCTTTTTTTTTTAATATATAGCAACCCTTAAGGTTTTTAACAGAATACTGAATCTACAGTATTCTGGGTGTTTTTAGTGATTCGCAGGTGGTTGTGGTCTTTAATCCCTGTGAACGCTAGCAGCCACTGTGGAAGTTTTGTACATTGCAGACCCCTGATCTAGAGTCCAGACAGCATTAGGACTTAAAACGGATGAACTTGCTCTCATCAATAATTTGAAGACATTGCAGACTTCACCAAACTTTTTTTTAAAACTCAAATTTTCTTAGGAAAGGGTTTCTTTAAACTCTGATCTGCTACTCCTTGTAACTGTGTACATTCCCCATAGACCTTATTTTGTTACTGCAAGTTGGTTCCAACCTTTATTTTTAGAGTGTTTGACTGGTTTGACATGATCAAATTGCTTCTTTGTTAAAGGACATTGACGATGCCTCTTCAGTAATTATACTGGCAAAGTGTCTAAAGGCATTGCAAAGCAAGAAACTTTGAAAAACACTTAGTTCACGATTATGAACACCAACAGTAAAAAGCATACTTTGACAACAGATGGCCAAACCATAACAGATATAACTACATATATAACACGACTGACTCTTTTCCTGAAATATTACATGGAAGGGCTTGTAGCAATGGAACATGGGGCATATTTGGACATGATGTTTTGCCCATTTCCAAAGTAATAAAGTAGTTCTCAAACTTTACTCAAATGCATTTTATTGTCCATACATTCAATGTCAGGTCTTGTGTCCACTGGGTACTTTTTAATTTTTTGTGGCAACAGGTGTTAGAAAAACCTGGGGCAGTTAACAAGGCTTCTAAACTTAATTGTTGCCACCCAATATACAATAAAAAAAGAAAATTTAAATGATTTGTATCTTAAACAGGATTCCCAATGGACACAAAGTACTTTTATGTGAAATAAATAATGCATAATTTAAGGATACATACTTTGAATACAAAGTTGTTTGACATACTAAGATCTAAGATTCAGCACAAGTCTGCACTAAAAAGGACATTGCAGTAAAATGGTGACCAAGTGATATTATGTTGGGCTTTGTCTGCTTCTAAAGTTCAGCAAAACCAAAATGTAAATCACCCTGCTTAATATTTCATGGCATACAATAGGGACACTAATAAAAAGGCAATAGTATATATTAAATACACAATGCATAATTCCTCACTACAAGTGCATTTGACTCTGAGGTCTGGAAAACCACAAATGTTCCTACTGATCTCTAATCATTATTAAATTGAGATCCAAATGTTTCTTTTTCTTAAACAAAGCAGCAGCACACCACAAACAACATTTCAACTACAGCAAAGATATACACAAGGTAGCATGTTATTTAACATGCAAATGGTGCCTTGGTAGACAGTACCAACCAATAACAATTACAACATGGGTGACACTAATCAGAAAGTGACCCAGAAAGACTAAGAGTAGCTTCAACATGTTACAGATTAATTTGAGAAGCAAAACACCAACAATGTATTGTAAAAATTACTTAGAGAAGTTGGTGACAAAGAATAAATAGATCACTTCAACTAGTATGACATGACCAAAATGACAGCACAACATACCATGCTGGGACACAACCTGGATAATTCATTTCAGACTGCAAACTAGGGACGGGCACTGATTATTGAAGCTACAGTAATTACATTGGGCTTTAACAACAAAATGTTGTACGATATTTCCATCTTGTTTTACTCTCCCTGACTGTAGTGTGTTGCTGTTACCACAAGAGGGCGATGCATCAGCTTAAAGTAGAGTGAGTTTAAAAATGGCTTTCATTATCTCAATGATTTCATTTCAAATTTTTGTTTGTATTTTTATTAATTTTATATTAAGTTGTGGGTGCAAAATGTTAGGAAAACAGGAAACCGTAACAGAGCTCCTTTGTGACAAACTACTGCATCCGAAGTGAGCAATGGAGTTTTATAGTAGGTCCTTCCTCCCATCAGCTACCAGACTATCAATCACTGTTTCCAACAAACTATCTAAGTATTAGTTTTTACATCCCTCTTGGTATTTCTACTGTTTGCACAATTTTATTGTCACTTATTGTAAATGTCTGTTTTCAATGCAAAAACATCCAGTCATTTTGTGTTTTTCTAATTGTGCAATCTTTTGCATCTGAATACACAATTAACTGCAGTGTGTCATGATGTAATTTTGCCCTCACTGTACAGTCTGTTATTTTTAATTGTGTTTATATTTTATATATACAAATGTAAAAACTCTAAAGTTTATCATAATTATTATCCTGTGACTTTTCCTGTACTCTAGGGTCTTGGTAACCAAGATCTATAGTCAATATTGGATTATAAGGTTTCTCCTAACCAATTTGCCATTCTACAGATGTTTGAAATGCCCATCCCTACTATAAAGTATGACCAACATTATTAGATTATTATTTAAAATATTAAAACATTTACATAACTGTGACATTTGACTTAGCTAACTCATCTCTTTTTACATAAGTTTAACACTAAAATACCTGGAGCAAGCACATTTTTCTCAAATATGTTTCACACCAACATACATGGCAGATTAAATCAGGAAAGACAAGAACGTGAGGATCCTTCATTTCTCAATTTCACCTCAAAGTTTTACAATGAGGTTCAATTGTCTGAAATTCAACAAAGCTACATTAGATCTACTCAAGTTTGACACATGTACAAGATCAGGTCTTGCATGCAAACAGTCGAATGCTAATATTGCTTGGGGTCAACTTCACATTATTACAGATCTACATTAATAAAATGTTTTCCTGCCAATAACCTGCATTTTACTTTCACTTAACTCAATAAAACAAGTCAGGTTAAATGCAGATTTTGCAATAGATACTATGAGGACAGATGGGACATCATATGTGTGGCATTAAATGACACCAAATACCAACAGTTAAAGTCTGTAAATGCACATAAGTATGTCTAAATTCAAACAATCTTCACATTCAAGCCTAAAGGTTGCTCCACATTTGATCTAAGCTTGCAGCTGTTGGTAAAACACAAAACTCAGCTGTTTAACATTCCCAATCATTGTCAATATAGCACAATCAGAATAAACCAATTCTTAAGAGGCACTGAGTTATATCATCCCTTCAACAGAGGAGTCCACAGGTGATGAATATTGTTCAGCTGTGGAAACTACTCAGAAAAAATGAAATGTATATCTGCGTATAAAAGGATCAGTGAACTTCATGATTTACCAACTTCTGAAGCCCAAATATAACAAATACATCCAACACTGAATTTCCAGTGACTGCTAGTGTTTCTGTAACTTGACAATACAAATCGCAACCCTGTTCCAGTTCACGTGTTGCATAGCAAACATTGACTATTGCATAAAATAAAAGCACTATGTGCATCTTCCAACAAACAATCACTCAATCAGGAGCTTCATAGCTGAAGGACATCAAACTTGCAAAAGCAGAACAGGCTTGAAGCTCACCGATCAGTTTCAGACACAGCTGGTGTTGAAATGTTAGTCTATAATAAGCTTGAACAATAAAAGCTAAAAACTTATCATTAAGCTTCAGGACTTTCAGCTTTTGTAAATGTGCCATTACATATATTTTCCCAGACAGTAAACACAACATGTGCAATGGCTCACATTGTAAAACTAAATGGTAACTCACCTTTCCACCTACCTGAATCCATAAGGCTGAGTTTCCAAAGCCTTTTCCTTGCTCACTTAATATTTCCTTTACCCAAAAGTTTCTCATTTTATGTCATGTAATATCAGAAGGTAAAATGGTATACTGCAATTTAGTTGGAGTTTAATAATCAAAGAAGTGAGCAAAGGAAAAGGCTTCATATCTCCGTTATTTTCCTCTTCCAACGTTTTGGTTCAGATCCAATTAAAATGGCTACAGAGCACCACGCTGTACCCACCTGCCCTGACATCTAGCGGTGCCGGTACTCCCTCTCCCTCTCTCGTTCACGATCTCTGTCCCGGTCCCTCTCGCGGTGGCGGTCGCGCTCCCGGCTGCGCTCTCGGTAATAATCCTCGTGCCGGTCTCGACTGCGGGATTTGTGTCGCCGGCTCTTTTCTCTGGAACGGCTGTGGTCGCGTTCTCGGGAGCGTTCTCTTCTGGTGGAAATGAAATGCTTGTCGACTCAACATTTTAAAGATAAAACCTTTTTCTTTAGCTTTGTTTTGTTCTTACCTAGATACAGAGCCGTAGCTCTTCGACTCTATGCCATGGAGACAGTCCTGCAGGGAACTGATGAGGACTTTGCAGCGGTCGTCTGCAGAAACTTTGGACTGCTTAATCAGACTGATGGCCGTCACCAAAGTCTCTATAGCACTGCCATAATCAGCTAAAGGAGGGGGAGATATGCATTAAACAGGGAATCTAATTTTTTAATATATGACAAATGCACTGTGAAAACACATTTATTGTCTGAATTTAGGAAACACCAGAAAGTAGTAGGCAATTCAACTGAGAAGAAAAACTTGGCATCAGGTTCCAAGATAGTGTTAATATTTTCTTTGAAATGTTGCACTTTGGAAAATTCTGTTAGGTAATTGGTAAGAAAGAGATTTTATTACAACATAAATAAATGTATTCATCAGCAGGCCTGTTCAATGTGTGGATTTTGCTTTATATTTTTTTGGTGATCATATACAGTTGGCAGGTTAAGCTGCTTCAAATCCTAATTCCTGCTTGAATTGTGAGCTTTATTTTAGCTCTACCGCTTGTCAACATTTAGATATTTTGTTTGCCTAAAATTCCAGATAACACTGACTTGAGCTCTCTTGCTACTGATAGTATCTTCGTTACCTGCGCTGGCGTCAGACACGGCCCTGGAAATGGCGCTGGAGGAGATAGCTCTGTTCCTGTTCATGATCTCTTCAAACTCGGCCTCATTCAAAGGACCCCGTGATGACTCCATGTCTCTACAAAAAGCCAATAAGGAGATCAGTCACCAATGCAGCCAATAAAAGATGGTTGTTTTTTTTCTTAGCGTGACTTCCATTAGCCTTACCCTCGTCCAGGACCGTAATCTCTGGAATCATATGGCGGAGGCCGTCCGTACAGGTCGTTTGGCCCTGGGGGGCCTCGGCTGTCGTTGGGGGGCATGCTGTTCCCTCCAGGTGGAGGGAAGAAGGCCGGGTTCACATGAGGAGCTGGTGGTGGCCCACCTGGCGGAGGGCCTGGCAAGTGTGGGGGTGGAGCCAAAGCCAACGGGGGTCCAATAGGGCCTGGAGGCCGAGGAGGAAAAGGGCCTGGGGGAGGCGGGCCCTGATGAGGCGGTGGAGGACCTGGAGGGGGGACGTAACCTGCAGGTGGGGGGCCTGGAGGGAGAGGTCCAAGTGGTGGTTGACCGAACTGAGCAGGGAAGAGGACAGGTGGGGGAGGCCTGTCGCCACGATTCGGGGGGCCTGGCAGAGGAGGAGGAAGGCCTTGGCCAGGAGGTGGAGGACCTGGAGGCCCTGGGGGGCCAGGAGGGCCCGGAGGAGGACGAGGAGGTCCCTGGATCCCACCTATAACGAACAACAAGGAGAAGAAGAGATGTACTTAAAGCAAACTGCTTAACCTCTGGCTACAGCCAAACAGCTCTCATCTGGAGAAATAAGCATGTTGTTAAAAGTTCTGGAGGTCTTTCCTACATCACAACACAAAATGGGAAAACAACAAACAGCATAAAGTACATTAAAACTCTAACAAAAACATCTTAGGACGCCTTAATTTTCTTAGCATCTTTCAAATAAATGTTAAGATGCTGATTGGGTGAGAACGCAAAGCAGAGACAAATGACAGACAGATGAAAGCAAGCTGGTGCTTCATATAATTAATATCCTGAAAATACAATTTAATGGACAACGGTTCTTCTGATGACATCGGAGGAACCATTTCTGGAATGAATACTTAAACCTTGCTTAAAGGCTTCTTATATTTGATAACGTGCCTTACAAAAGTACCAACAGCACGTAAACTTCCTCAATGTGTTACGACACAATCACAAACGTCAATGCATTACGTGAAGCGGAAAGACAAATTTTCTTTTCCTTTCTCCTCCAAATAAAAATAGGACATTTAAATTTATCACCAAATGCCTTCAGAAGTCACTTAATTGACAAAACCCATATTTGGTCGATTAAAGTTTGCAAGGAGAAAAGTAAGGGACACAACAAACTTGTGAAAAAAGACACTGGTGGTTCGACATTCTATTGTCATCAGTTTTCACATTTTGATCTGTGAAGAGGCTGGAAACATTTATCCATGTATCCATTTCAGCTCACTTCATAATAAATCAGTGCGTTATGTTTATCAATCAGACAAATTGGCAGTAAAATACACTGAGGTTTGTAGTCGTTACAAAATGTGACCAAGTTGAAATGATCCAAACACTTTTGTAAGGCACTGGTATGTTGGGAGTGTATTTGGTAAACTGAACCTTAAATAAGATTATTATCCTGACACAATTTGTACCACAGGTCCATCACCAAGCTTCTAAGTCTTCAGAGAAGGAAGATAACTGATCAAATTATTCAGATCAATCGAGGTGTTTCACCTCTGCTATGCCAGCTCCCGTTCCTGCCCCCCGGCGGGAAGGGATTGAAATTCATTTCCATCAGAGGGCCATCATGGTGGCTAACCAGATCTGGTCTCATTCCCGAGCCTAATGGGGAAGAAAGCAAACCAACCATCACTCTTCCCTTCATAAACTTCTGGCTCCGAACTGAAGGCCTGACGCATCCCAGTGGGGGAGGGGCAACAGTTAATAAGCAATAGATGAGGCATGAAAAGGATTGCATGGAGAGGAGAAAAAAAGCGCTACAATCATGTCTTCTGCTTCTTGCATTATGCAGGCAACAAGACTTGTGGAGAGCTAAAAGACGCCAAGTTAAGCTTTAAGCAAACAGCTAGTTAAGAAATGGAACTGGAATCAGTCAGCGAGCGAAGGGCTGCAGCCAGGAAAGTGGAACTGGAGGCAGAGTGGGACAGACAAAGAACAATCTAAATTAAGAAAAGCACAGACACAATTCTGGCAATACAAATTAAAACTCTAAAACTGTACGAGTGACTTTGAGTCCATGCAAGTCTGAGTAATAGGGTGTTTGTTGAGCAGAACCTTGTGACAAAAAGCCAACCTAATCAGGCTGAATCTTTTGGACTGACTGCAAAATTTTAAGTTTTTTTTTTCATTTTTCTTAATAAAAAAACCCCTACATTTAGTAAAACACATGTAATAAAGTGTTTTCGACACCTAACACCACCTCTAGTATTTCCCTCAAAACCAACCTGGGAAGTGTGGTGGTGGGCCTCCGGGCCCCACTGGGCCGGGGAAGCGGTCATTTCCAGGACCAGGGGGTCCAGGGAACCTGCCTTTGCTGCGGCTGCCCATCGGGAATCCGCCACGGGAGCCTGAGCCCGGAGGGCCGGCTTTACCTTCCCCAGACATTTGCCCCGACTGGGTACCTGTGCAATCAGATAAGATAAAAACAAATCCACATATTTCTATTTGCTCGTCCCAATTGACTTCATAAACAAATAGAGGATTATTTTACAAACCTAAAACAAAATTTAATAAAGTTAAGACATGCCAAGAGAGCAGATGGCCAACTTACTTTTACGTGACTGCATCTCAAACTGACTCAGAGATTGTTTATTGCATGGGGTGACGATGGGATTTTGGCCATGGAGCTCCCTCTTGGACAATAGGTCCATTAACTTTCTGGACGATGTCTCTGAACCGACACACACCAGGGCAAACCTGGAACATTTAAAGGAGGACGTAGACTTATACCGCCTGGAAAATGGTTTCTTAAAGAAAACTCGTCTTCGATTCAAAGTATTTCTAATGACATATCACATATCAGACACCAACGAGCTCACCCTTTAGACTGGCCATTGGCTCGGTTTTCAAAGAACTTGATCTCAAGAACATCTGAGATGCCTATTGACCGAATAGCTTCTGTCAGGTCTTCGTCTGTTGTCCACTGCGAAACAAAAGACAGCATTGTCAGCATACCAGGGCTCATTCAAGACACAAATCAAACGTTTGGAGGTTCAACATAAATCTGAGCTGTAATAGTTCCTCACCCATGTCAGGTTTCCTATGTACAGGGCAATCCTTTTGCCTGTGTAGGTGTAAACCACATTGGGTGGGGCGCTCTTCCCCCCTTCGGAGCCCCCTGGAGCAGGGAGCGAGTCCAGGTAGTCACGGTCTTCCGGAGCATCTCCGTTATTGGCTGAGGGGGATATTACGTCATCGTACAAATCGATCTGCTCATGAGGGGGGTATTCCGGTTCCTGTCATAAAACATCATTAGATGAATATAAACATGGGGAGCAATTAAGCCATACCAGCTCAAACTTAAACACTCAATTTACAGGAATCACAAAAGCCACATTTTCTGGCAGCAAATTAATTATTTTAGGATCAAATATTGTTATATAAAGAATTAAATGTCGTCCCAAGGTGGAGCATAAATTGATCTATTGTTGGCATAAAATGTCCAATGAAAGACCAAATAAATCATACAGTTTTGGGTTCCCCCCATTCACTTATTTCTCCAAGATCTCAAACTTGGAAAGAAGCTATTGCAACTTTTAGAAGAGTTTCTGCGTCAACACAAAATTGAATCACAAAATTGAGCCATTAAGAGCACAGAATGAGAGGGTTAATCCTGTCATTTAGTTCAGGTGTGCTGGAATCCACATGCTGCTGGACAATGGCCTCCAAAGGCTGGAGTCTAACAGAGTTATCCCAAAATAAGAATCAACAATAAAAAAAAATCAGTAACTAGAATAAAAATGTCAAGAAAACAGCAAAACCTCACACTATTAATATCTTTTTTTATTTTTTTAAAGGCATTCTCCTCATTAGAAAAATTAGGCATAATGGTCGAAAAGCTCATACTATTTAGTTTTAAATGTACAGGAGACATCCGCGTATCGAAAACATTTTTGTCAACAGACAAAACATTTTGTAGATAACCCACATCTAGATAAAACTAGTGGTGTCTCTTCAAGTACCACGGAAGAAGTAAACAAAAGGGGCGTGTGTATAAAAGGAAACATGACGAGATGCTAATAGCGCGTAGCTACAGCCAGATGTATTTTCACTCAATTTAAGTGGAGTGTTTTCTAGAATTGTTCACGGAAGAATATATTTATTTAGCTTGAAGTAATAAAACTACAGCGCTACTAAATAGCTCGCCTGAAATAGTGCGAAGCTAGCTAAGGAAACTGCTTTTGTTTAGCTTTAGTCGCGGGAACCATGGCTAGGCCTGACGTGCGCTGCACCATAAACCCAATAATACACACTGAGCTCCAAAGTGTTTACGATAAAACAATAATATTTTGTTGCACGTTAATACGTATGCAAAAAATACATGTTCAAATCGATCGCTTTATATTTAAAATGACGAGCTACTGAAGCCGAGCTGCAGGCTTGCAGCATGGCGAAAGAGGCCTACTTCGGAGACGAGCTATTTTGATAATAATTCGACGGGAATATCATCAAAACACCGCTGACAAACCCAAAAATACGACGTCCCCTAACACGTGTGGTAATTTAGGCCGTAATACCTGGCTGAATTCCTCCTCGACGTCGGCGTAGATGTCGATATGATCCACACCGTCCGCCATTTTCCTCTAACTCTGTCCGCCCCGCCGGTGCAGAACAGAAACAATGGACCAGAGAGTGACGACTAACGCCCCCCAGTGGCCGTCTAAGCCTACAACAAGGCATGCAAAAGGAAAAGGAAAAGGGAAATAATAAATAAATAAATAAATAAATAAATAAATAAATAAATAAATAAATAAATAAATAAATAAATAAATAAATAAAGTGAGTGAAAATAAAAATAACTTTTTAAGACAAGTAATAAGAGATTTTTTTGTGCCTAATTAATGCGGATGAATGAAAACGAACTTACTCTAAACATAAGGATGACAGCAAAAGGTAATCTCTGAAGTTGTACAACTATAAAACTGGTACTTTGATATGACAATATTGGATATATAGAAGAAGTGATAAGACTGTTTAAAAGAATGACAATAATACCTTAAAATACACCCTAGTTAGAATAGTCTAAAACTGAATGCCCCAAGGTAATGAAAGTTTTCATAAGCTATGTTGTATCACCAGTTGCCAATAATGTCTTGGAACATTTGTCTCTTTTCACATTTATATTTGCTACATTATACTTTCTTGTGCTTGAAGAGGTTCTTCCTGATCCAATATTGACTATAGAATGCATTAGTCTGCATTTCTAGTACATAATTTATTTGTGAGTTCATGTTACAGAATCTGAAAAAGCTTTAAACTTACTTTCATTTTTGTCCAGAACGCAAAGTATGGGAGACAGAAACATGTAAAATGGAAATCTACATTATTTTGTGAATTTTTTCTTCTTTTATTTTCAAAAGGATAAGTCTTTCAGTACATAAATAATGCAGTGGGTATACGTTTATATTTATTTGAACATCCTTTATATTATTAGTCATGAAACCATTTAGTTTAAAAATTTTCCTAATCAATATTTTCTTTCTTACTGATTGAAAGCCAATCAATAAGAAAAAACAAGAACTGTTTTATTATTTGTTTGGTCACCAAACAACTTCAAATTGAGATTGAACTCAATTTAAAGTTGAGTTCCATATTGGATTAACTTTAACTTTTTTTTTTTCTTTTTGCAGTTTTGCACAGATGAAAGTGAGTTGTTCCAGCAACTCAAAGAAGGTGCAAATTGAAGGATAGCTTCAGGTCAAAAATCACTCCACAGCTTTTCAAAACATTGGAATTAGTTAGTTTCTTTCGGTTTTATTTCGGTGTAAATCTCAGTGTCATTTGCATAGAAATGGAATTGCATAATGTGTTTGATGATGTATGTAGACTAGTCTATTCATGTTGGGGATGCATTTTAATTTCTGAGCCTGCACAGCTTATTATTAGCCTGCCGATGTTTGCATGCCCTCCCTATTTTCCTAAAATATTATCCCATTGATATAAACCTCATAGCAGTAGTTCAAAGTGTAAGACTGAAATTGGAATTATGAAAATGTCAAATGTTTTGGAAATGTTTTATTTTGAAAGGACCCTATGGGGAAAAGGGCCAGACGTTCAGTGACAACTGCTTAAGCAGCAGAGAAGAAATTAAATGTTCGACACTGAGAAAGAGCTCGATTGTTTCTGTGGATTATTCTACAAAGGAGAATCACAGTATCTGGACACCCACGAGTTTTACAATAGAATCACTCTGATTATGTAGAAAAAGTCATTCCTTTATTATTGCTGTTGCAAGAATACAGAAGGAAATAAATCTGTCAATGCAACCTTGCTAAATGTAAAGCTTGTACAAACAATTTTTATTTTGGTTTAACATAACAATTAAATCACTATTTTATTTATTTCAATAAAAGAATATTCATAAGTCATTTTTGGAAAACCATTTATGTCAAGGAAAAATTATGTCACATGTAAAAACTAAAAATGCACTGAACTAAAGTCAGTAAAAAAGTAGATTGGTGTAAACATATAATCTATAAACAAACCGTAGTCTGTGTGACTTTGTGGGAACTTAACTGAGCCTTGGCGGTACCGCCTGTTGCATCTGTCACATGAGATCTGTAAATAAAAAATCAAAATGGTCAAATAACATAAAAACATTCAACATAAATAATGTTTTTAGTTCTTGTGATATTGGGTTTTGTCAGCATAAAGCTTCTTCTTAATCATCAATATACGTTTGGTAGTTCAATATTTGAGGAGATGACAGCATGCTCCTGACATGTATGGAGGAGAAAAAAATTCTAGGACCATAAGCAATCGTAGTTAAGAATGACTTTATGATTGTACTTTACAAAAAACCAAACAACTTTCCACTTACCTGCCTTGTGTGTATTTGTTTTATTATGATTTATTTTTGAATATCTAATTCCTTTGCAACTACAGTGGGGCAAAAAAGTATTTAGTCAGCCACCAATTGTGCAAGTTCTCCCACTTAAAAAGATAAGAGAGGCCTGTAATTGTCATCATAGATATACCTCAACTATGAGACAAAGGAAGAAAAAAAAATTCAGAAAATCACATTGTCTGATTTTTAAAGAATTTATTTGCAAAATATGGTGGAAAATAAGTATTTGTTATGGTACTAGAGCCAGACCATAACAATAGGCATTTGTTTTGTTGTTGTTGTTGTTATTTTTGGTTTATTTTGATTTTTTTTTATAATTCCATTTGTTAGTGTTATTTTGAAACTATCCTCTTTGTATATCTTAGTCATCTAATCATCCCTTTTTGATGACGTCTGGTATCACACACAGATACAAGTAAGAGAAACTGCATATAATGTTGGCATATTAGGCAACATTAATATGCCAACATATACATGTGTTTCATGAATTGAAACACATGTATTTCTGGGATTTATAGTACATTTTTTACATTTTCTCCAACTTGAGTGACAGAAAGTATAAAAATGGCATTCACAAAATTTAAATATGTCTACACACAGACATATATAAAAAAACTAAACAGAAGATTAAAAATGGGAAAGTCGAGACTTGCAGATTCTGTCTGGTTTCCTCAAGGTCCCGAGTATATCTATACATATATATAGATATATCTATATATATATGTACCATAAGTTATGCTTTCCCATAAGCTTCCATACCTAGGTATGGAAGCTTATTTCCCATCCCATTGTGTCATGTGACCATAGTCCCATGACACAGACCCCTCGGTCATCAGGGGTCAAACAGGCCTTTCAAGGCCCGACATTTCCCTGAGCAGTGCATAGCTTGTAAACTTAAGAAAGGATAAACCAATCTTAAAGCCCATTAATTCTCTAATGGGCTTTGTGTTTGCAAGCATTTACTGCAAAGACAAGGAAACGATTTGTGACCAAATGATCTCAGAGGCCCAACATTCAAAGGCTCTGCTTCTGTTGGTCATTGACGTCATTCTGTGACGTCAGATTCGGAGTTTGAATGCGAAGAAGTGTCACGTGACCAATGACCAGCTGAGCCAATCAGGTGTCTGGCATCACGTGACGTTCCTGTGGCAAACTCGAAGCCCGAATTATACGTCATATTGACGTCAAAGACCTAGATCCCCTCTGCCATCATTTAGTCACAAATCATTTTCTTAACCATCAAATATACATTTTATATCAATTATATATAGATACCTTTAGAGACATAGATATCTATATCAACATACCTATATTTTCAATTAGATATCTATGTATAATTTATATTTGATGGTTAAGAAAATGATTATTGAAGGGCCACGTGACCTGAATCTGATTGGCCCAGCTGTTCATTGGTCACGTGACACTTCTCTGACGCATTCAATCTCCGGATCTTACGTCACAGATTGACGTCAATGACCAGCAGAAGGAGAGCCTTTGAATGTTGGGCCTCTGAGATCATTTGGTCACAAATCGTTTCCTTGTCTTTGCAGTAAATGCTTGCAAACACAAAGCCCATTAGAGAATTAATGGGCTTTAAGATTGGTTTATCCTTTCTTAAGTTTACAAGCTATGCACTGCTCAGGGAAATGTAGGGTCATGAAAGGCCTGTTTGACCCCCGATGACAAGGGGGGCTGTGTCATGTGATTATGGTCACATGACACATAGGATGGGAAATAAGCTTCCATACCTAGGTATGGAAGCTTATGTGTCATGTGACATTCTCTTATGTCACATGACACATGGGATGGGACAAAAGCTTCCATACATAGGAGAATCTCAAATGAACATCTATCGATCGATATCTATCGACATCTACCTATCGATTTCTATATTTCTATCTGTGTGTGGAGACATATTTAAATTTTGTGAATGACATTTTTACACTTTGTCACTTAAGTTGTAGAAAATTATAAAAAAGTGAACACTAAGTGATCATTTCTTTTACCATAAATCCCAGAAATGCATGCGTTTCAATTCATGATTAGACAGAAACAATGTGAGCCTGCCTAATACGCCAACATTATATGCAGTTTCTCTTACACATTGGGGTTCACATTATACAGAGGGGATCCAAGTGAATATTCATGTGTGATACTGGAAGTAGTGGGTTAATATGCTGTGAACCAACACAAAGTGGAATCAACCACATAAATACAAATTATACCAATTCAAATTCCAATGAAATCTCCTAGTCTGTGTGCTGAATGGAGATTTGAGACTTAGCATAGAAATAAAGCCATTACAAGGAGGTTGTTTAAAACAGTTTTAGTGCTGTGATTTATTCTAAAACCAAACAGAAGTACAGGACCTTTGGATAAATGGATCCCTTTCTTCCTTTCAAACAGATTTAAGCATTATAAGTTGAATTAAAAGATTTTTTAAATTTTGTTTAAAACCCAGGAAAACTGATTTCCGAACTTAAAAATAGTTACATTTAGTTTATCAGTGATTGGCGCACCCCCAAATGTTGGACTTATTGCTCTGAAAGTGGGAGAAACTGTGACTGTCTGTAGCTAGGGTGTATTACTTAAGGAAAGTAAACTCTAAAACTATGTGCTTTGGTGTTGCTATGTTGAAATCCTAAGCTCTCCAACTATGTACTCTCGGATGTGATGTCGATCGCAGCTCCAATTTCCAACTTCTGAGGTAAATGAAACGCATATCCTCAAATAAAAAATTTGATTTCACAGGTTCACAAATTTGCAGTGACATTCACTTTATCGAGGACTAAATTGACACTTTGATAGAGATGCTGACAGTTACATAAAATCATTAGACATTAAAACTCTTCACAGATCAAATGTAAAAGACTGTAGTTTTTGAATAGAAAGTTAATCCAGCAAAAGGCACGGTCGTGATGTAAGAGTTTAACATTTGAAAACACAGAGAATTACAAACAATTATCAAAATAGTTTGAGGTTTTTTCTTAAAAAATAAATATAAAGTTTGAATTTTATAATTACTTGGTTTTTTTTTTACTCAGATTTTAAATATAATAAAACAAGATAATATCACATTAGGGTCAAAAATGCCTCACGTATTTAGTGATCAACTTACAAAAATACTTCAGTCTGAAAGAATCTCTAGAGTCTTTAGAAAACTACTAAGGACATCAAATAGTGCAAGGAAAATTTCTCACGGCTCAGCAGTGTTAACGCTTTAAATAATGAGCTGTGTGCGCCTGTGTGTGTGTCAGGCGACACTCTGCCCATCACAGTCCCCTGAGCAGTGGTGCGAGAAGTCCAGAAAGATCCCGTCTGGTTCCTGCTCCGAGTCCAGAGACTCTGTGTTGTGGTCTGCCGTCATCTCTATGCTGGACGCCGGACTGGGACCAGAACTCGTGTCTTGCGCAAGAACCTTGGAGGATGACAGAGAGTCAAACTCCAGCGAGCCAGTACAATGAGCGTCCTCAGCTGGAGACGGGTCGGGGAGGATGCTTGGAGAGGGCTGCTGTGGTTTGAGAGGGTGGAGCATGGAGGGGCTGTCGTCGTCTCGGAGCTGGAGGTCTTGACTGGATGTTAAAGTGTCTGAACAAACAGTGTAGAGATTATGTTATGATTTTTTGTTTCTGCTAAAGAGATTCCTTAATGATAGGTGCTTCATAAAGGTATTCACACCTGTTGAAGTCTTTCCAAAACATGACAGTACAACACACAGTGGCATAACAATGGAAGGTAAACAGTACGTGATTTTCAACTACTTTCACAGCTAAAATCCGAAATGTTTAGCAAGCATTTCCATTGAGCTCCCTTTGCTCCCACACTCCTGAAAAAAAAATCCACAACTTATTCACTCAAAACCCAAAATGAGAATAATTTAATCAAATGCAGCTACTGAGTGAAAGACCCAGAGGCATGTTAGAGAGCATTAATGAAAAATAGAGTTCAGGCATACATCTGCTGTAAAACCTCTAGCAGTCAGGTCATAAAACAGCTAGAAACTACAGATCAGCCCCAAAATCTGGATGTAGTAATGGACTCCAACTTGAACCATCAGACACACACAAAAACAATTTAAACGGCTAAAACCTGAATCACATTTCCAAGATCAAAAGGACTAATGTCCCAACAAGATCTTGGGAAACTCGTCCATGTGTTTATCTTTATTCAAACTGATTACTGCAGTAGTGTCTTTACAGGTCTGCTTAAAACTCAGACAGCTGCTTGCGTTCTCACTCTACATGGGAAAATAGAGCACATTACCCCCGTTCTATAGTCCGTCCACTGGCTCCCTGTGGCTCAGATAACAGACTTTAAAATAAATTTGATAGTATAAAGATCACTGAATGGGCTGGCACCAAAATGTATTAAAGATCTGTTGGCGTAGTATCAACCTTACAGACTTCTCAGGTCGTCTGGTTCTGGTCTTCTCAGCATTCCCACTCAAAACCAAATACGGTGAAGCAGCATTCAGTTTTTATTCTCCTCTAACCTGGAACAAACTTCCAGAGAATTGCGAAACACTGAATTTCGTTAAGTCTCTAGATCTCCAAAACCGTTCCCGCTGTAATTGCAGCAAGTATTCATCTCAGATTTCTTGCTCGTAAAGGATAAAAGAAAGGAAGGAAAACATGTAATTTTCCCATTACAATACAGAAGTTCTTTGTGTTGGTATGTAACATAAGATTCCAATGAAGCACATTGGAATTTGAGGATTTTACGTGACGAAGTGTTGGTAGGTTCAAGGGGTGTGATTGCTTCTGGGAAGCACAATAAAGAAAAAATAGACAACTTCTGTTTGGTTTACCTGTCAGTGCAGCAGAAGTGGTTGACGCTGTGGAGGAGTTTGAAACGCTGATGTCATCAGTCATCCTAGCAGCGCATTTATTCATTGAGCTGCTCTCCTCCATGCAAGAGGGCATCTCACAGACGGAGTGCCGTCTGATGCCGGTGTTGCCACCTGAGGATGAGTCTATGTCATACTCAACAACAGGAGTCAGCATGGGAACGTTGTAGCTCTTAGAGCGGACCACTGGATTCTTCACAATGGGAGAAATGTGTGGTTTGGGAGCCCTTGAGTACTGCAACTTCTTTTCTACAGTGAATGAGGGAAACGAAGACATTTTGTAATACAGAGTATGTAGTGCCGTGGAAAAGAGCATACGAAAATACCTAACAAGCAGGATGAGCAGTGCAAATTGGAGGATTCGTCTCTGGAGTATAAACCATGAGTCCCCAAATACGGAGAGACTACCTTCTGGATGAGAGACTCCAGACGAAGGTAGTCGTCTGTTACACCTTTGGATTCATGGACTCCCTGGGTCAAAGGAACACAAAGCGAAGTCAGAAAATGTACAAAGCAATAAAACATTCTGAAGTAAAAGAATAAAGACTGAAATGTGACTTCCTGGAGTGTCGCACAATCTTCTTAAAAGAAAAAAAGCATCGGAGATGTCTTTTGGGTCTTAGTTTAAAACATGACATTCATGTTTGAGCTGTGCTTTGTCCCTTTCTAAACAAAGTTGATTAGTAAGATGATAACAAAACCTGCAAAAAAAAAGTTAAAGTCTTGAGAGAACTTAACATTTTACAGATTCGTTTTAGCCAATATCAATCATGTTAAAAAACAAAAGCAGCAATTATAATAATAGACATTTTATTTATTTTTTTATTTTTTTAAAAGCAACAGATAACTTCAACACCAAAGATAAAGATTAATATACCAGAGATGATATGACTAATGGTTTTATTTTCAGTCATAATAAATAATAAATGTACTTCAATTATTATTTCTCTTATGGAGAAAAGTAGACACTACGATTTAACTGGAAACATTGCAACCTCTGGGATGTTTGGCTCAATGAAAGAATAAAACAAGCAAACAAATTTATTCTGTGTGACTTAGAAGCTTAGCCAAAAAGTTAATCTATAATATAAAGTTGATTCTGTTGCTGATTTCAACAATAATCATAAAAGCCATTGAAGGAATGGAACAAAAATTATCGCACTTAAACCAGGTTGCCGCTGCAAAACTGAACTCCCTGAGAAAATCAATCAAGTTTCTATACTCTGAATCACTGAGCTGCTGCTTGAAAACCACAAAGATCAAAACCACATGAGTAAAGTACACGTCAGTGAACTGGCGTCATGTGGTCTTAAAGAATAAAGAGAAAATTACCATCAGATGTGAACAAGGAGAAGCAAAGACATCTTAAATTCACAATTAAACCTAAACTTTTTGCTCTGTTTCCTTCCTTTCTTCCGTCCCTTGGTTTTAAAGAAAAACAAAAAAGGGATTAAGCAAAAATACACTACTTTCTATGTGTGTCTACCGTTCTTCCTGGATGCCTGTGTGACCTCTGTGTCTGAATGTAGAAGAAGCAGATTTGGGTCAATGAGTCACTACATGTTAACCCAAACACAAAGAAATACAGACTCTCATACATGCAGAGAACACAAGCACAGGAAATATTTAAAACTCAAACATGTTTAGTTGCCGATTAGTTGAACCCACCACAGCTAAATGATCCTCAAAGAAGAACTTGTCAGGAACTGCAATGTTGAACACAAATTGGTAACTTAAAAATCAAAATTATTCACACAACCAGGGGGTTTATTACCTCCTCGAGTCTGACCTTTTTGTTTAACTTTAACACTTACTACTATTTCACAATAGTAAGACAACGTTGTAATACTCAACGCTGACAAAATGAAGGAAAAAAGGGACAATTTTCACAAAGTAGCAGAACATCGATTAGGGTTTGTAAAGTCACTTCAGAAAACATCAGACCAAACCTATTTTTACTTGAGAAAACATTTGTAAAGTTTGTGGCAGAGGAAGGAAGCCGTAACAAATGTTTTTAAAGTCCCCAGAACAACTGGAGACACACTAATGAATGACTGAACCAGTTCAGATATTAAAGGAACGAGATAAAGTAAACTCCTCTTCTGCTGAAGAAACACCATCAAATCAAACTGTTATGCTACAAACAGCCAGAAAAAAAATATCAGATAACTAGAAGCAACAAGCTATAAATTTAACCATTTTAACAGCAAACGAAACACATAGTTAGCATTAGCTTTAACTAAAATATAATTTCCAGTTTGCATTTTATGAATTTCATGAAAAACAAAGGCCCTTTACAATTTTGTTGAGGAAATGCATTTCTTTTAAAGTCTTCCTGATTTTTCACCAATTCTCCTTTGCATTTTACATTAAAGCTCAGTTTTCCTTTAGTCTTTTTTAGCCTTATTCTGAGAAACAACAGCTTTCTGCCATCTTCTGTGTTGCAGTGTTACACATCTTTTCACATGCAACACAAGTTGTACTGGTCATTGCATGACAATGAGCAGTTCAGTCACAGGGGGTGACGGTTTTCCTCCAGGCTTAAAACAGAAAGGCCAAATAGTTCAGTTTTTAGAATAAAGGATCAGTGAGTTAAAAAAAAAGATTTTTATATAGTATTTGTAAACCACCTTATCACTGTTTGACAACTAAGAGTGTAAAATGATAGCTTTATAAACTCTAATGTGAAAACAAATAGGTCAAACTTTACGAAGAATTGCCTCCCAAGGGGAAGAAAAAAATCCCAATAAAAATTCTTCTGAAGCAGTTTTCAGTGGAGTTCCTTACTCAGCAAACTGCCTCCCATACCTCCAGAGTACCACTACCCTGCTTGACTAGGCGCAGCGTTCTTTTCTTGAAATGCAAAGCTACTTTAACAGCAGATGTAACAGGACGCACACCTTCCACAAAGATTCACTTTTGTCTTATCAGTCCTCAGCAATGGGAGATCTGAGTCAGGCCTTTAAATTCTTGTTCTTCCAGAGTCTCTTTAAATTAAATTCAGTTAATAGTTTGAGGAACTTCTAATCATGTTTTTAAAGCACTGTAAGGATGCAAAACCACAAGTTTAGCTCAAATACAATGCAGAGTAAGCCAATTGTGACACCATAAAAGCAACATGTAAAATTGGCTTAAATTGTCACATTTAACCATAGAAATGTTTCCAAAAGGTTCATAGCACATATGATTTAATTATGCAGCTTCATCTACTTTTGAGGCAAAACTCTTTTAATGTTTTTTTTCCTATATTATTCATATGAAGCAAAGGTCAGAAAAGCTAAGGCTTATACTGACAGTTGTTCTGGTTTTGTGGCGTTGTCATTGCTTTAGTGTAAACATGAATAATTCCCTGCAGGGAGAGTGCAGAGGGGACTAAATAGTCATGGGAAGACAACTCCATTCTGTGTTCACACTGAGATTACTTCCTTTGAGATCTCTTTGAAAGAAAAAAAAAAAACTCCCTCATCCTCTAACCTCTGCTCTTCTTCTCAAAAATATTATTTAGTCCGCTTCTCCTGCTCGCACAGCTGAAACTTATTTTAAAATAAGGTTTCACAAGGAAAGAAGATACCTGTAGTATCATCAGCATTTGAATGATGGAGGGGGGAACTCTGGCTCGAGGTCGAGACAATGCCTCATCCAGTTTCAGGTTGAGGGTGATGATGTTCCTGAAGTGGAGGAGAGCAAGTTGACGCACTGAAGGCTCCTTTCCCTTTTCAAACAAGCAAAAAAACAAAACAAAAAAAACTCTTATAACAGTAAGGCTGTCACTAGAAGGGGACATGTGCATGTGTGAGAATTTGCATACCTGCACAGGGTAGAAAATGGCCTGCAGCATGGACAGAACATCACAGAAGAAGAAATCCCACGTGTCTGCCAAGGAGTCCAACAGCTTCTGACCTTGAATGCAGCCAAGGTGATAAACATGCAACAATATAAGTTAGGTATCATAGTAAGAAAGTAAAATTATTTTTGCATGCCAAGTTTTTATTATTTTCTGCTTTCGTCTCCCTGTATGCACACTACATTATCTACTTTGAGATTGTGTGCTACATTGTGCTGCTTTATCACATAAAATCCCCCTAAAATACACAGAAAATTGTGGTTTCAAAGTGACTATGTGCAGAAAAATTCAAAGGCTATGAACACATTTGCAAGACACTGTACCTCCCACTCCTATGTACATAATTTTATTTTTGGGCACTTTAAGTCTAGTCAGAACAATATGTCTGTAGGTTTCTGTGGTTTGACTTATCCTAAATTTCTCACCATCTAGATGAAATGACGTAAAAGGATCACTTCCTGCCTATGTTTCTGTGACAACAATGCTGAAAGTCAAAGACGTATTTCTGTCAGTTTAAAACTGCTTCACATTTACTCTGCATGTTAACCAGCAACAGGAGGAACCAATGCCTTTTGTTTTGTGTTGCTCCTGTCTTTTCAAAGTCTTTGAAGTAACTCTGTGTTTGTGTCGGGAAATGTCCTTCATTAAAATTCTCCAAGGAGAGATAAAGCCATACACTCCCAGTTCAAACTAATGGTTAACTCATGAGGTAAACTCAGCATCTGGTATTGTAGTCAATAATTATTTTCCCCTGCCAGTCCTTATCTGAGACCAAACAAGATAAAACACTGATCTTGGAGTTTCCCTGAAATGAATCAGGGCTACGGCGAATATTGTTAATCAAAGCAAGACGACACAGATGTCTTACAATGGAGACAATTCTTCCAAAGAACATTCAGGCGGAGACTTTCTGTTTCATAGCTATTTGTAATGTACTTCTCCAGAAGTTATGCAAATTATCAAAAATATTGACAGCTTTACTAATTAAAGGAAAACAATAAACCATTGCTTTAAAGGTCTGAAAGCAGGTCTTACACCCAAACAAATTTGATTTTCCAATCAAGTTTGTTAAGGTGCAAACTTTCATAGATTAAATCTGCCAGCAGAACAAGACTTTTGAACCAACGAAAAACTAAAACAACTTCAGTCATCAAAGGTCTGACAACTAAAAATGTACCTCTTAACATATTCTCAAAGCTTTTTGAACCAGTGTAAAATGGTGCTCAAGCTGAAGTTCACCTTCCTTGAAGCTTTTTTTTTAATTTCTAAAAATTTAGTGACTATTTTCAACAAACAATTGAGCCTAGAAAATGTGTCAGATTCTAAAAGTCCCTTTTTGTGTGTTTTTTATCCGACCTCACCATCTGTAAATATCATAACTCGCCACTCAAAAGAGGGAAGTGATGACATGACATCTATCCGTTCTGCGATGCCCGTCACTGAACTCTACTAACCGCAATGCAAGTGCTTGAAGTTTTCAGAAGATAAAAATTTGGTCTGCAGTTGTCAGAGTTCATTTCAATACAATTTATCAGCAATTTATAGTTCTAATGTTAAAAAAATAAATACACGCATGCTGAAAGTGCTGCTATTTTGATTGACTCATCATTACGTTCAACTAGAAGTAGTTTGCACCTTCATAGAAGCGAATCTTGTCCCTCAGTATGACCATGCCTTTGGTGAGGAGCTGATTCTGCAGGTACTCTGTGAAGAAGGAGCCCAGCTCAGTCTTCAGCAGCTGCCTATAAAATGCAGATACACAAGGGCTTATGAAGCATGAAGACACACACACGCATCACTGGTTGGTTCTTATTTAAAAACAAACCAGATGGAGAAGTAAACTGCAATGTTCAAACAGCAACAGTCTCAGGAATTAGCAGAGATGCCCACTTTGTGTTCAGGAGCTAAAGCAATATCCCAAAAAGCTGGTTCACCCCTGACAAATGGAGAACATGGGCACATAGAGAAAAATATGGTTGCTAAACTGCTCACATGTGAAATCGCTGTTCAAACACTGCATATCTGGCGACTATAAAATCTTTATTGAAACTGTCATATGGCGTAGTTATGGCCATGTTTTAAAGCCTTACAAAAGCATTCATAACCCCTGGACATCTTTGTATGTTCTCATCTTAAAACCACTAGTTTCAAGAAGGACAGACGTTGCTCTGACTATTGCGCGTACCTGTATGTTACCAGAGAAAACCTGTTTGTGTGCTTTAATATTTACACCACACAGTTTTAACAACACTACATAAGCAGCCCTCAGGTACATTGAAAGTAAACAGCAGTGACCCCTGTGTAACCTTAACCTGTCTGTTCCCATCTGATCAAATAATCATAAGGTGTTTCCTTTTCAGTGGGAGCACCTACTGTTATCATGTATGTGCAAATGTCTGAATGAAGAGTTGAGGGCAACACCAATGCAGCTCAGTAAATGTATGTCAAATAAAAATCGGCCACAATTAAAGAAGTGCAGTATGCTTGCAACAGAGGGCTGTACCTGACGCCTTCATTCAGGATGTAGAGCTCATTTTCTCCCAGGTCTTTCTTCTGGAAAACCGAGATCACCGCATTGTGGATGCTGAAGACAGCAAATAAAAATGTAAGTAGTTGCTGAGAAAATCACACCTAGCTGAAAAGTTTCCAACATCATAAACTTTTGAGGTTAGAGGTTGAGGTCCAACAATTCTCAGTATATGTTGGAAAACAAAATTGTGTTCCAAATAATAAAAACAACAAGGCATGGAATATTTTTACATATTGCTTAGTTTCCTATATTGCCTCTTTTCTCTCTCTCTCTCTGTGCAAATAGAGCTTCACACATTTCAAAGTAACAGAGTAAACATGATGAATATCTAATCCGCTGACCTGTTCCAGGTGGCATTAGCTCCGGCCCTCCTCTGCTGAGTCTCTTTGTTCCTCCCGCTCTCCTCTGACAGCCCCCCAGCCGACCCTCCTTTCTCCCCACCTCCTGATGAACTTTTCGCCTGCGAGAGGTCGGTGAGGCTGGAGGACGAGCCGGTGCCCAGCCGCAGCTTGTTGTGGAGGCTCCTTGAGATCCAGCAGGAAGGAAACAAAAAATAGATAAATTTATGGACATGAGTAGCAAAAGTTGTAGACAGACTAGATTGCAAGCTGATACAGTTACCACGGATAAACTTTTATAAAGCAAAGACTGATTTATTTGGTTCAGCGAAGTACTGCGTGTTTGGAGAAATCGAGGTAGTGGCAGCATCATGCTGAGGTGTCAGCAGTCTGAGTAAAATAATTATTAGCGACGGCTTCCAAGCTCTTCAACAGCAGTAAGGCTAATAGTTTTTTTCTGCAAAAAATCAAATGATGCTGAGAAATTTTTTTTGAAAAAACTTACAGTTCTGTTGGTTTAATAATTAAAAAACTTCAGGAAGTTTACTATGCTCTATTTTTATTTTTTTTTAAAGAAAAGAGTCAACTACATTAAAAAGCTGGGAGCCAGCTTGGCAGTTATTAAAGGATGGTTGATACTAGTAACACAAGCTGACGGACCTGTTTGAAACTCAAAGGACATCGCTTTGAAGGACAAACAGAGGAATAAAACAAATAAATGAAAACCTTTCGAAAAATTAGAAGAAAGTACGAAGTGTGCAAAAAGAAGAAAGTCAAGTATCTCAAGTGGTGCTTGAAGAGTGTGAGCCGGTGCATGACGATGAAAAAACATTTCCTTTGATTCGGATCACGTAGAAACTACTAAACTGAAAAAAAAGAGAAACACAAATCCATCTTCTGCTCCCACAAACATGATGATATATACTTACTCAAGCACATAAAAGAGTATCAGATATCCCCACTCCATGACTGGATGTGTGTGAGTCACACTAATCTGGATGGAAGCAGCGCCTCTGACTCCCCTTTTCCAGTTTTGAAAAGTTCCCAGCGCTACTCGTCCCGAGCCACTCTACCTCTCTGAGCTTCTGTCCCTTTGCCAGTCTGTGTCAGCTTGGTGCCCATGTGACCATGAGAGCTTTTGTGCCAGGGGAACAAAGCAACTCTTTGAGGTTCAAGGGCTACCGAAGAGGGAGGGAAGAGTTTAAAGGTGACGTGTTTCACTCCATCTATCTCTCTGTCCATCTGTGAGCAGGACTCAGAGAAAGAAGCTGGACTCAAGCTGCTTTACTCAAGTCAGTTTTGATGTTAAAGGCTGTGGGTGGGTTTGCACTTTAAAGGAACATTTTTAAAGCCAGCAGATTAAACCCACTGATGTTTTCCATTATGGGGTTCCAGCAGATTCAAGTTCTTTTAATGAGAAACTGACCTATATTTTGTCTGGCCACATGCAGAAGAGTTAATGCAGCAAAACCCCTCCCCTACCTGTTGCTGTGCACTGCCACTCAACTATTTGAAATACGTTTAAAGCAATTTTTCTCAGCTACAGATGAAAGCTAAAGATGAATTTGGCTACTCAGAAATATTTACATGAAAACGCTTGCAAGCAATTTTTTTTGTGCTACACCTAGAAACATTTGTTACACTAGCGGCAATAAATAGTAAAGTTAGACAAAGCTATATAATGAATTAGCATGTGGAGGAAAAGGAGAGAAGGTGCGGATCTTAGTCCACATAAATAGGTCACTGTGGGAAACAGGAGCCGTGTGCATGTTTGGACGCAGACTAGACTTGGTAAACTATGCAAAGCTTCTCAAAAAAGATGGTTCAAAGTCATGCATACAGCTACCATGACTTTGCACACTTCAGTTGCACACTTCAGTTTTGTCAAGCTCAGAGAATAAATAGATACCAAGACCAAAAATAAGTATGGAGTTGCTCTCGCTGTCTAGACATGTTAACTGAAGTGGGGAAGAAAGTGTCTTTTCTGGATTTGCAAAAGACAAAAATGTTCTGATGTGAGCAGGAAGTGAAACACATTTGAATATTTTGCCCCCTGTTCTGCACAGGAAGGCTGCAGTCTAATCACCGAACAAAGGAAGAAGAAGAGTGAATGCACGAATGAGGTCATCCAGGAATGCATGCGCATTAATGTGAATTATTGTAAGTCTTTGTGCGTCCACGAGGACAGAGACAGCGGGAGCTGAGGTGAAGCTGAATTTGAATGTTTGTGGTCTCACCTCCTAAATGAGCCCTCTCGCTCCATGTTAGCCCCCGGCAGATGGCTAACAACCGATCTGCAACTGCAACCGGCGATCCAGCATCTGAAAGAAAGTGATCAGGCTTGAGATACTCCTGCATGACATGTCACAAAAAAAGCGCAGGTGTAAAAACATACGTACATTTGTTTTCATTCTAATCTACAGGTTGCAAGGTTCTCCAGTGCAGATCTCCCTTACAGGAGATGTGGCTAACAACACGCCTGATTCTAATCAAATTACAGTAAAGTGGTTGAGACAGACATTTGATCCTGCCACAAACTCAGATGCCCCCTGTTTGTTCGCGCGTAGTCACACAGACAGAGTGGCACATGCATTTCAGACAAATCTAGGCAGGTGAAGCTGAAGCTTTTTTGCCCTTTACCATACAAGTTTGGCTCCCTTTTTCTCAGGACCCCAAAGCTGGTGTGACTACGTGTGAACCGCTTTACTGCTTCAGATGTGGCTTTAGATGTTTGGCTGCAAAGCATGCAAGCAAGCAAAGTTTCAGTAGAGACCTCAGGGCTTTATAAGAGAAGGGTGTTGTGGGTGTAACCTGTCTGGTGAAGCTGAGGTCAAGACTGAGGGTGATTAGAGTCTGTTTATATGAAAACTGTTGTGTGTTTTCTCCAGTCCTGCCCTGATGCCAGCACTTAGGTCCTTGTGAAAGCTTTCTGAGGAGGTTGCTCATGCATATCTGATTTGTAGTTAAAATAATAATAAGTGAAGTGCATGTTTTTCAAACCTCTACCCAAATAAAAAATCTGGCCTTTATGGAAGGGTGGCAGGAAGAAAGCCACAAGAAGTCATGGTTGTTATTTGCCAAGAGCCATGGAGGGGCTACATCATCATGTTGAATGATGTGCTTTGGTCAGATGAAACCAAACCTTAATTTGCTGGCTTCACTGATTAATGCTACCAGTGGTGGGAAACCACTGCACATTATCCTGAACACAACATTCCAATTAGGAGAAAGATGGATTCGGCAGCAACGTGCGCTATCGGCAGGGAAGTCGATCCGAATTTCTAGGAAAATCAAGTATTCCTCGAAGACAATCTGTTGTTGCAAAAATATTTTACACTTTCACCTTTCTGTGGTCTCCAGATTTACAAGGGACAGACCACATATGAGCAACGCACTTTTCAGATCTTAATCAGTAAAACAAAGTGAATAACTTTTGTTTGTCCATCTTGCATCCTCTGGTTGCAAGATGGACCAGACAACATGACAAAATGTGAACAAGTGGAAGGAGTATGTACTTGTACAAAGAACTGCACTGCTGAAAATGAATACCCATAATCTGCTTCAACACACACACACACACACACACACACACACACACACACACACACACACACACACACACACACACACACACACACACACACACACACCCACACACACACCATTCTAGAGGCTGGCAGCCCAACAGGGAAATTATAACCCAGCACCAGACATGTGCTAAAATAAATGCCTGTGACTTGCAGGAGGTTGTTTGTTTTACTGACATAAACCACAAGTTGGTGGTCCAGCTGTTAAAAAAAGCAAACCATTGCTGTCTCTCTTTTTTTAAAATTATTTTAAAATAACTATTCTACTATTCTTCAGGACTGACAGCCTCTATATGAGGCAGCCACAGAGCTAAACTAGAGTTTAAGCGCAAAGTATAATAGTTGGACGTGTCCCTCAGGAAACGTCCAAATCACACTCCTGTGACAACTGAGACTTCAAGTTCAGGCTAAATGTTTTCTGTGAGCTGAAACAGCTGAAACAACGAAGCCAAATATTACCTGCAGGGCTTCGACTGACCCTCTAAACTCGCGTGGAAAGGTCCACGACGTTCCGCCCGAAAAGCTCCGTCACGATATTGTGAATCTCCGCGCGCGCGACCCACCGCGAGCTGTCAGCGCAGCTTTCACTGTCCGCGAGCGAGGAAGACAGGGAGGAAATGAGAGAGAGAGAGAGAGAGAGAGAGAGAGAGAGAGAGAGAGAGAGAGAGAGAGAGAGAGAAACCCGAGAGCCGCGCGCGCGCGAGTGTGCGCTCGTGTTTTTTTTTTTTTTTACCCCTGTGGGTGAGATGGAGGTGCAGACATGGTATAAATTGAGTCCACCCTCTTTGTGTGTTAGAATCGGACGCACAACAAGATATTAGTCATTACCTATTGACACCCTTAAATATGTTTTTAATTGAATTAAAACACAGAAATGTAAAAATAAAAAACACCCAGTCACGCCCCAGGTCGTGAAATCATCACGCAGCAGTGAGTTGAATTCTTTATCGTCAATAACTCGTCAGGAGTTGTTGAGGATGTTGAGCCCACTCTTCTTGGCGCTGTTTCAGTTGAGGTTTGTGGGCTCCTATTTCTTTGCAGCTCTCTAAATCTCACATTTGACACCAGAATACTGAAAAAAAAACAACAAAAAAAACTGCAAAACAAGCATCTATTCAAGGCGCTTGTGCTGAAGTTTCTTGATTGAAATATGTCCCTCTGCAAAATAAATTGCTAAAAAAAAGAGAAACTTGTTGACTTGGAAACATTTCAGTTCTAAGACTTTGCAAAGACAGAAAATCTAACTTTGCAGTTAATTTTCTAAATTGTATTTAGTTTTGTAAATGAACAAGACTGAAATGTTTCTCTTAAACTTGATAAATTTACTGATAAGGCATTCAGTAAATAATTTACATGCATGACTCAAACTCTCCTCAGTACACTCCAAAGTATCTCACAAGGTCCATCCTGAGGGTTTTGTGTAAAATTGTGCAGTTACTGGTTGTATTAAAAAATAATTAAAGGCTTGTGTGTAGATAGACCTGAACTACCCAACACAATCCATTCAGATAAGTAAAATAGAATAAAAAAAAGAAAAGGCTGCGATACTCACGAGTGTAACATTTAAGGGAAAATGTAATCTTGCTTAGATATTAATGAAACGTGGCTAACTTCTGTGGATCAGGTTATATTTAACTTACTCCTCAGCTACAGAAATACTGACCTAGATTCTGGTATTTAGTTCAGAAGTGGAGGCCAGTAAACAACTTTCATTTTATCCACTATAGCGAATGCGAACAGAAGGGTAAAAGTACAGAAACATCACCTAAGTGGATAAAACTTATTGTGTTTAATGCAGCAAAATAACTCTATAAGAATAAACTGTTTGGTATTTTTAAGCAGGAAGACTGGCCGTCCTCTTCCACACGTTTGCATGAAGGGGCATGGCTGAGCATGCATGCATGCGTGGCCTCTAGTGTGGGGGGGCTTTCAGCAGAAAGATTAGATCAATGCATTAACCACAGAGCTTGAGCTCACTGTCACACATCCCACAAACTGCATCTGCAGAGGCTGAACACGTTTCCAGCACCTCGGTTCCCCGCCTACCAATAATGCATCACACACCCAAAGGCTAAATGTTTCCCTTCCCCCCTCGTGGATGTAATAAGGAACCTGTGTATAGCGGTAAAGTGGACCGGTCAAGGACAGACTGTTTCAAAGTTCCTTGGCTCATTTAAAGCCCTCACATGCGCACGCACCCACACACACAACCAAAGAACCTGGAAAAACACAGTTTGCACGTTACTCAGTGTTACATAAACAGCAGCATCTGGCCGACACAACAACATCCAGACAAAGAAACAGTGGACATTTTCACACAACATCTCAACCACCTACGAGCTCGAAAAGTCTGAGGTAAATGAGAGCTGGCAGTTTCTCATGCAGTGTTTGCTTTAGGTCATGTTCTACTCAAAGCCTCTCATGACCTGGACATGTGTTTGGACAATTTTATTTTCCACATTAAAGCGCGGGACCAACCTCTGCGCCTAAAACGACATAATAACTATGACAAACTACTTGGACACCCTGGCCGTATAAATAGTAAAACATGAACCCAGACTACAAAAAGAACAACTAATTGACGCAGATGATTATTTATTTCCTATGATGTGAAAATAGAATTGCTCTGCCTTTTATCAGTCTTTTTATGGCATGGTTTATGGCTGTCATTTCACAGACTTACTGCTCATTTTGAACCCGAGCTTAACGAGCGAAGTCTTTAAAGTCTACAGGGTTTTGGCCTGAAGATGAACCAAAAGTGGTTGAAACTTTTGGTTCAGCTGTGTTAAACGTAGACCCAAAGGACAAAATTAGACAAAACTGGTTTACAAACCACTCGCAGACCAAGAAAAACAATTTACTCCTACATATCCATAAGTTGGGAAAGGAGATGAACCTTTGCTCTCCAGTGATCAACTGCAGGAGTTTTGGGCAGATCATCCACTCTGAAAAGCTCCAGCTCTGAAATAAACTCCGAGACAAATGTGTTTTGTTGGATTGTTAATGATATTTGTTTTTGAACAGGTTCCAAAAGTGTCACAAATTTTGTTCCGAGTTTTGCATATAACTATATGAGATTCTAAAAACTTGAAAAAAAGTACTGTTCATGTTTATGCAGGATGGGTCTCATGTTTATATAATTCTTCTGACTCTACATGACTCTGTTTTTGTCCTTGAGTGCATTTTTATACCGTGATCTGGTTTGTTTAGCTACTTTTAAAATTTGTTTAAAGCACAATAGTTGTCCGTTTTTTTAAGAACGTGACACACATTTCTTGCCCTGATCATCTGCAGACTTTCTTCAGCTCAATTTAGGCCTTTGTGCTTTTCACTTGAAAAAAAACAACAACAAAAAGAAACTAATTTCCTCTTTGGCCAAAGAGAAGCAGGAGCTTGCAGCTACCTCCACACGGCCCTGAGCAGACCTGCAGCTTCTGCTCACAAAGCTACGTGATTACACTAAACACAGAGGGGCTGCAGCAGCACGGATGTAGCAGGGAAAGCATGAGATTCTCCTGCAGAACTCATCAATCATTCTGCAGAACTCAGACAATCATGCAACATGTACGGCTCAGTAAGATTAAGTTCACCCTTTGGTATCCGGACATTTTCTGTGAACTAAATAAACTTGTTTTGCCTAAGTTGCCTCTCTCGCCTCGGTCTCTTCTCTTGGAACGATTTTAATTCAAAATGCAGGCTTCAAGCTGCATCTGCCGACCCCGGGCTGGAAAACAACTCTAACCTGTTTTCACCCTCATTGTGGGCAACAGCAGGCGTTCTGCTTCAGCTGCATCCAGGTCAGCTTTCTTCACATTTGGGTTGTGGTTGTGAGCCTAAATATTTCATCTAAGGGCAGCTGAGAAAAATGCAGATGGAGCAAGTGAAACTGAGTTTTTTTTTTTTAAGTTCAAAGGTTCTGAACGTTTGGCCTGTTACTGCCTCCGCACTCAGTTTTTCTGCACTCTAACAAACTAGTGATGGTTGCTTTATTCCTCCTGTTTAACAGAACAACAAAGCTATGAGAGATGATGTCTTTACTTGCTTTGTTTAGTACAGTTAAAGTTGGACTAATCAGAAGTCTTTTCATAAAATCTGATTTTCTTTGCAATCAGTAAGGTTTAAAGACAAATGAAAGACACTGAATGTGCCATAAACTTGTTCTGAATGTTAAAATAAAACACTGGCAGTCACAGGAGCTTCCATTACTGGTTTTGTTGATTCCGCATTATTTTTTTACACTAAAACCAAACATGAAACTTAATGGTTGCCAAGGAGCATTAAACAGCCGAAGCTGCAAATCACCCGCCGCATTTTCGTCCTCATGTGAAAACTTTCACATTTTAAGTCTATTGTGTTCAGTTTCAAGATTCTTTTGTTGGTATTTTTTCCCCCCACAGTTTTCATATCGTAGCAGGAAAACTGCTGGATTGATTTTTTTTTTCTTTCTTATTGTTTTTGTGTTGCAGAAAGTCTCGTTTTCCTTCCTCCTTTCCTTCCCCAGGCCTCCAGTTTCACTGGAGGCCAAACCATTCCCATCGTCTCCATGGCCACAGATAACAGGCGAAGATTCACACCTCACAACAAGCAGCTTCCTGATCACATGTGAGACAACAGGCTACTTTATGTTCCAACAGGATGCGGATTGTGACTCAAAACGGAGAGGGCTGTGAGGTGAAGTGAGGCAGCGCAGCCATGTGGACAGTTGGAGGTACTGCAACACCTAAGTTAGGCTTGCAGAAGCCCATTTCTGCCTGTTACAGGGAACAGAAATTGTACAATTATAAGCTTTAAAGTCATACTTATGACGAACAAGAAAATTATTGCCTTGAAAACTGGATAGATTTCATAATTGATGGAGATGCTTAATTACGCAATTATGTGATTAGAGCAAAGATGGGAAACTAAGGTCAGAATGTACCTCAAAGTATGAAAATGGCTAGAATTTCCATTTTCTAAACAATGAATTGCGTCGTGTGGAACGGCGAAACTTTCAGCTGCTTCCGTTCACCACACAGCTTTTGTGATTATTTGAATGCAACTTGTATAACTGCTCCGTTGATTGATGGCATCAAAGAAATAAATCTAGTTAAAATCGAAGGATCCATGATGTCTTTATGAATAGAGACAAAGTTCTTTTTCACACCAATAGGCAGCCGCCGTTTCGTTTAGAAACAGACTGACGTCACAAAGAACAGAATTTGCTTTGAAAGTAATACAAAAAAGCTCATTCCAATTCTACTTATACATCACTGTGAGTCAAAAAGAAACAAAACAAAAACTTATTTGGTTTAAAACCACACATCAGATATCTTTGCAGAAGAAAACCCAACAAATACCACAAGCCTCATCTCTTCCATTCATTTAAACAACTTTATTTATTAAGGTTTTACAAATAAAGTAACAAATGTCATTGTGTTGTAGCGCAAATTTTCTTTCTTTTAATTTGAAGCTTGAACACTCTATATAGTAAGTGCAAAACATAAAGCTCTGGGTGTCATTTTTCCGTTTTCCGTCTTTCGCTCAAGCCCTTCTGTATGACGCTGAGCGCCGTGCAGGAGGAGCCCACATGCTTTAAAACAGCTCATAAAAC